AACTTTCAGGAGATTGTTTGAAGGGCGCTCCTTTTGCGTTTTGATGAACCTGCAAAGAATCCGAGAACTTTCACGAGGATGGTCGGAGGGAAGTTATGCCAGAATGCTTGGACGATCTGGATGAAACTTGCAGTGAAAAGAAAGGATACACAAGCACAGTCCCAAGACGGCCGAGATACAGGTCGTGACGAGACGAATCGTGATGCAGACGACTATCTTGTGACCATCCCAAATCCAGTATACGGCACACTCCTTTTAGGATCAATCGTGGAGTTGGAAGACCTAGAGCCTCCGAAAATTGACTGATGCCTCCGAACAATTGACTAATGCCTTACTGGTTGTAGTCCATGTCTGCGTTCGTCCAATGCCGCTGCTCATAGTCCATCTCCGTCAGTTGGAAATCCAAGTTCAGCGCCCATGCCATCGTCTTCTGCAGGTACCCCACGATCAACACCTTCCAGCTTCGCCGCTGTCGCTGCTGGGCCCGTCGAATCTGCGCCTTGGTCACGATTCCGTACTCGATCGCCCTTTTCCCGAGCTCCATCCCCGCTAGATCGTGGATCTTCAGACCTTTTTCTAGAGCGGCATGGTACTGCCGGAGGGTGGTCTCGAGAGAGGGGGATGTGCGCTGAACGGGCCGGTCGATGGCTTCGATCAACTCCTGCGTCTCTTTGTCGGTTACCATCTGCAAGCGGAGGAATGTTACAGGCTCCTTTAGTGCCCTGGAACGAGAGTTGGTAAAATTGAGCAGCAGCAGCCGCTTCAGGCTTGTCATATGCATGCCACCTTCTGGTTTTGGATTTGGATCAGATTTCACTCTGCGTACGACCGAAGCAACTGAATGGACAACGACACAAAGGGAAAGGACACAAAAGTCAGTATCCGTAACAGGACATCAATTAGGATGAGGGCAAAGCAAGATGGGTCAAGGCAATGACGAAGGTGCAACAACTTTCTGTTATCTGACGTCTTTTCAAGAAAGCTTGCTTAGAAAGACTGTTCAAACATCAAGCATGCGAAGGTTGTACCATAACAGTGGATGGAGCTTCTGGTGAAAGTACCACTATGAGCCATTGATCCCATATGCCCCAACAGGGATGTTTCCAAGTACACCCTTGCTTTGACTTGGCAAGCCCGGCCTCATGCCTGCGGGCCCGAAAATTGTACAATTCTCGCGCATTAGCAAGCCGGCATCAGCAGACATTCTAAAGGACGGTGTACTTTTTTGCAACAATAAAGATCTGATTGTGCCATCATGAAATCCATTCGGTTGGGAAGAAGAAGCCCTACATGGCCCCTGTAAGGCAACTGTAGCTAGATCACATGCTGACAACTCGTGATGGTGGCAATTCAACCAGCTTTCTGGGTCTGGAGTGCTCTGTAAGGGTTGCATTTTGGACTGGCTCCAAAAAGGGTACTGCAACGCCTCAGTGGCCTTAGGCTCACCCCCTCCAATGCTTGTGATAGGCATAGAATGCTTCTCTTGCCAGCCTTGAGAAGAAACCCTAGTCTGTGCAAAATGAAGGCAATGCAACTGTATGGAGCAAAGATTTCTTCCAAAAGATGGAATCCCTTGCACTTCAATGGTCATGCCAAAGCTCAAAAAGCTCGTATTTAAGCCTCTCAAATCTGTCTCTTACCTCGTAGAGCACTCTGTCGTAATTTTGAAACTCCTCCTGCAGGCCCTGGTAGTAGCTCTTGTCTGCAATGTGCACACACGCAACCAGGTCCACCTCGAGCGGCCGCCTTCCAACAAGGCCCTCCCACCACTCCCCCTCTTTTGAGTATGTCACAATGGCCGTCTGGAGCTCAGTCCCTGCCTCCCCCATGTCTTTGAACCGCATAAAGTCCGTACTCTTGCCAGCTTTCGGCACCGACTCGCGCTTTGCTTTGGCCGCATGCTCCTGTATGCCGGCTGCATGAGAAAGCATTCGAGTGCCCGCGCTCTCGGCTTGTGCCCTTGCGCCTTTGGCCCCCACATTGCGACGAGACTCCTGACTGCTTTTCCGACCCAAAGGAACCTTTCTAGCGCTTGTAAAGAGAGAACCTTCAGAGAAGCCCGTGCGATCCAGACAACGCTGCCCCCGCGCGAAGGCGCAGGACAGGCAAATGCCAGCCGGAGCCCCAACCTGCGCTGTCGTCATCTGTGCTGCCTCTAGATGCCGCGGGCCAGCTAGCTTGCTCCAGGATCCTTGTGAGAAGATGGCAGACCTTAGGCTTCAGGATAAGAAGGCGACAGCTCGCCCAGCCGACGCTCGCGCCCTGCTGAAAATATTGCCTGGAAATTCTACACTTCGAAGCTTCAACTTCATGCACTGATGCAGGGAGAGGGCCAAATTTGGGCGCGGATCTGCATTCCGGTCAACTTCCGGTCTGACGTTCCCTCCAAGGTCCGGCGGAATGCCTGCTGCCTTTCGACATCTACGTAGTCTTAGAAGATCCAAGCATGCGCTGTTCGTAGGCTAGTAAGGGACTCGGCAATTCATGCATCATTGCCATGATGTCCACCATGTAAGACGTGGGCCGAATGCTTTGTTATACAGGCAACACGCCACGCAGTGGAACTCAATGAAGCCATACCATTATGTGCAGATCACCTAGATAATTCACAATATACGGTATGCTTGGGCATATTGTCACGCAGCGTATCATGTTAGAGGTTCATGCACCTGACCGCTTGGTCGCAAGGCATCAAGAAAACCCCTTGCACATGGTCATAGCTTTGGGGCAATTGATTCTGGCCAGATTGAGAAGCCCTGACCATGGCATCTGACAGAATTGATGCCTGAAAGCTCTTCAATGGCAAGTCACAAGTCAAAGGCTCAAACTTCGCGTAGAGGAAGCACATATGTTCAGAAGTCGGAAGCGAACGACGTAGAACTCGTCACACTCTCCCACAGTTGGCTATGTTAACATGTCAACAAGAGCGTGTTACAGCACCAATGTATGGACTTATTACAAAATAGCGTTTCGCAACAGCACAACTTTGCAAACACAGGTACTTTATCGGAGGCCACGAGGATTCCGCGAGATGGGGGTCCGTTTACATAGGCCCCAGAGCACCGTATCCGCCCTGCTCTAGTTCCTTTGCCAACTCTTTTCCGCCAGTCTTGACTATCCGTCCGCTTTGCTGCAGAGGACCAAAAGTTCCACGTTAGCACAAGGTGAGGCACAGCTTTAGAGCAGTCAAACAAGGCGTAGTACCAGATACAAAGTGTCGTTCAGTCCCGTGACCAGTGTACGTTACGTCGTGATTGCTTTGCCTCTGAAATCACAAGGAACTGGCCGACAAACTTCATTACTGCCCGCAAATTAGCTTCCAAGCTGACAAGATCAGTCCGGCTCCTTGGACATCGAAAGAACTCAGTAGACGCTGTTCATTGCTGAAGCAGAGAAGTTGTCTCGTAGCCTTCTTTACTGGAGGCTCAATGCAGAAACGAAGAGCCTGACGGACTCTGCGACTCTGAAATGCGCCCTCGGCTAAGTGCTTGAGCCCTTTCTTTAGCGCTTTTCTTGCAGCAGAAGACTCCGCCAAGTAGGAGGGCACGCAGACAAGTTTCTTGTGAAGCAAGGAAGAGGAGGCGATGGTGGCAGAGTCTGCACAGGAGGCATGCTCAGAGAAACCACTCCCTCGGATGGAGAAAATCCATTCCACGATGACGTGAGTACACAGGTCGAGCAGCGATGCCAGCACGAAAAGTTGCAGGCTGACTAGTCACCCGCACGGAAAGGGCTCCATTAGAGTTTGCATTTCACACGACGTGCTCACCATGATGTAAACGTACTCGTGCATGCTCTAGTTAAGAAAATGGGGATGCGCACTTGGTAGCATGACATACCCCGAAAAGATTGAGGAAAGATGGATAAGCGCAAAAAAACTGTCCACCGAAACTTTAGAAGCAGGAGGTTGTTCTCACCATGATGTGCACAAAGTCGGGCGTGATGTAGTCGAGCAGCCGCTGGTAGTGCGTGATGAGCAGAACCGCGTTGTTTGATTTACGGAGCCCGTTCACCGCCTCCGCGACGTCCCGCAGTGCGTCGATGTCCAGCCCGGAGTCAATCTCGTCTAGGATCGCGAGGTCGGCCTCCAAAACCTGAATATTGAGAAACAGGGTGTTGCATATTCTAACGTTTTCGAACCGAAATCGAAGAACCTCGTTCAGGATTGTCACGTTGGCCTCCAGGATCAGTACTCAGAGTCTTGCCTCAAGTTGTAATCCAGATCTGAAATGAAACAATCATTCAAGGGTACAGGCGCTACTCGCTAAAAGTCCTCAAATTCAGCGAAACATGATGTAACGGCTACTGCAGTTGGATGTCCGAGGGCAAGGCAAAAGCCCAGAAGCTTCAAGATGGTAGAGTTTCCAGAGACAAGCACTTACGGCGAGTTGCAGAATCTCGTTCCGCTTCTTTTCCCCCCCGCTGAAGCCCTCGTTGACGTTCCTTGAGAGGAAGCTGGCGTCCATTTTGAGCTGGTCCAGCTTGGGCGTCAGAAACGCATAAAACTGCAAGAAAGCAAGAGAGTGTATCAAACCTTGACCAGCCGGGACCAACATGGAAGAACGGATACCGTAGCAGGGTTCTCTGCGAGGACGTCTGGGTGCCGGGAACGTGTATCAGAAGGAACAGCAATGGACAAGAAACGAAATCTCTAAGCAGCTCTAAACCAGCAAGTGAATTTCTGCAGTGCTTCCCTTGAAGACGAAGTTGTGCAAGATCAAGACCACCAGACACAATTTCTTGAGATTCAGACGGAATGCATTCTTTGAGTTGTGTTGTCTCCTCTTGCGAAAACCATCAAAAACCGGTCAAAGTCGAACAGCGAAGCAGAAGCCTGAGCTGCTTAAGATGAACCATGCTGCGTTCTTCCCCAACATTTGCCACAAAGTACGACCTCATATGCTTTGGAAACGATCACCGGTGCTTGCTTAGCACTTTCGCCTGCACGCATTGCAAACGCCACGAAATCTATTCCGCACAATAGGAGTGTCCATGCAGACCCGTTCATTTTCTGAAGAGGAGCTGCTTTCATTATGGGCTTGGTCATCTCCCTAAAGTCTGAAGTGGACAAGTTTCTGAAAGCCAGGCTGCCTCCTGCCTCACCTCTAACGGGTCCAGCTCTTTGAGCCCCTGCGCTTGCCGCCGCGCGTTGTGCGCCATGCGCAGGAAGTCCGTGTTGCTGACACCTGGCACCTCGACGGGCGACTGGAAGCTGAGGAACAGGCCCGCGTGGCTCCGCTCCTCCGGCTCCAACTCAAACAGGTCCTTGCCCTTGAACTTGGCGGAGCCCCCTGTCACGTCGTAGTCCGGGTGACCCACGAGCACCTAGGCGATATCGACAAGTGGTCTCATTGACGGGAAAGAATGTTTGCGAGGGAGGGGAGTGGACAGCTGATTAAGTTCTTGATTTTTGGATCCATTGAACGACTTCTACAGGGGATATTTTCGACTACCAAAGTGGCATGAACTCCTCAAGCGGACTGGAAAGTATTTCCACCGTCCTACAGATAGGCAAAGCAGAAATTAACAGGCGCTTGCGACTATCAAAATGTTAAGGATGCTTTGCACTGCTAGAAACTATTACTTCGAACTCAGAGTTGATTGAGCTAGCCGATCGAAAAAACCCGGTACAAGAGGAGGTGCTCCGTCAATGACCTGAAGCACAGCGTACGTGAAGCACTCACCTTTGAGAGGGTGCTCTTTCCGGAGCCATTCTTCCCCATGATTGCATGGACCTCCCCCTCTCGGATTGTGATGTTTAACCCTTTTAGAATCTGCCGGCCCCCATCCGCAACTTCCGCTTCTAGCCCCTCAACCTCCAACAACACCTGTGCCATCAGAAAATAGCCATTACAACAGGGAGTATTTGAGGCAACTGCATCTCTTTATTCAATCATGGAACCCTTGGACGTCAGAAGGACATACATTCTTTGAGAGGAGTGGCCGACCATATGTAGAACAGCTTGTGTCAACTCTTCTCGTAATGCAGAAGATACCAATTGCACCATTTGCAGGTAACGGCTTCTATAGCACACTTGTCAAGCAACCTTGATTGCTAGCATGCCCCTCTGGATTACACTTGCTCTTTGGTCACAATTGAAAGTGGGTAGCCACTCGACATTGCAGCGAGTGCAGTCGTTCTGACCCTCTGCTCGCACGGCATTATAATTGTGACACAGCCTCAGGCAACGCCACAGCAGACAATTTGAATTGCCACCAAGAAACAGTACACCACGAGCATCGATGTAAACGATGACATGTATGTTTAACAGAGCGATACACGCTTTTTGCCAAACCAAATGCCCTTGACAACATCAGAGGGGAGCTTTTACCTTGCCCGGTTCTGTGCTTGTGCTAGTGGGAGCTTCTGACGTTGACACCGCCGCTTTCACACAGGTTGGCTGCCGGAACACAACAGTTTTTCCTACCCTGGACACAGCTTTTCTACTTGCACCACATTTTAGACCAGAATGTACCACGTCTGCTTTGTGCAGAGGTGATTGCGGGAGCAGAGGACACCTTGCGTTTGTTTCATATCGCGACTGTCTAGACGTCCCGCACGTCAGGTTGTGTATGGAGGCCGCTTTTGCCGCCGCACTTGTCGCCATTGTTCAGAACCTTCTCAGAGCTGACAGGTCCAATCGTCTCACAACCTAAGAACAATGCTGGAGGCGCTCTAGTCGCAGCCAATGCTCTTCCGTGCGTCCTCCGTGTATCTTCTGCGGCAAGCAGCAATGCTGCAGTCTGCCAGTCTGAGTACGCAGGGAAGCAGGGCTTAGAAGCTGAACTAGAAACGTGAGGTGTGGGAACGGTATTAGTTAGATTCATGTTTAAAGAAGCTCAAGATTGGTTCCGAGTTCGGCACGGTAAAGGTAGGGCGGACTTGCCAGCCTCGGCGGACGCAGGGCGGGCCAAGAACGCGCGCGGCCGCGCATTTCAGACTAGCCTGAGCCCATGAGGCTGAGCCTGCTGGAGGCTGGAGGTACAGTAGCTAGATTGAAGCACTAAAAGAAGTGAGGAGGGGCGCCTGAAAGGACATTATACTGCCAAGGGCTGGCCATACGAAAGGGTCGGAATCATGGGGAAGAATCAGCATTCAAAGGATCGGATGTATGTGACCGCAACGGAGTGGAAGACTGAAGGCGGGGGGAACAAAGATCGGGACCTGAGGACGCCGTTTAAACGGCTTCCATTCTATTGCTGCGCGTAAGCTTCTTAGAACAGCGATTGTGCAGTTGAAAAATGAATCTTTTTAAGGCTCTGGTTTGGTTGACGCATTCTGAGAAGCATGATGATCAGGACAATTGGTGGTATAGTCAGCTAGGGCGCGGGCGGTTGAAATCATTTGAAAGCCTAGGTATGTTTGAAGGGGTCCCCTTTCTGAAGGAAGGCCGCGACACGTACATCTCTGGAATTCATGATTATTGTGTGCCTCTAAGTCCACCGTTGCTGCTCTGTATGTCAAGGAGCCTGACTTATCCTCCAAAGTTTCGGCAAACTTTATAAAGGCCTGGAAGCAGCCATAGCTGGGCAACTAACACTCTCCCTTTTCGATTGCTGTGTGACACTATAATCACGTATGACCACCTTGATAATTGGTGAACGGAAAGGACATGTCTACAAGATGTCTGCGAGGAATCATACAGTTAATGGTGGTGAACCACCTGCACAGCTCCGATCACAAATTGCCACTCCGTCTGTCTGGGTGGTTCTTCTTTGTTTCTTCTTTGTTGGTTCAATCCCAAGGGAGATGATTGCAGTTGCTTCATGTGAAAAGTTCTCAGGAGCCATTGGGATGCAGAGTCCATCTTGATTCTACCACGTTGATCTTCAAAGCTTCACCACCTTCCCCACGTTCAAACGCATACACACCAGCAATTTCCCTCAAGCCCCCCTAGGCCCCCAGGGCATCGCACGCCGCAACTTACAAGCTGTGCCTTGCTGTCTGATGCAGGCTTACATTTGTGCCATTCGAGGACCCAGTTTGCACTGCAGAGGGGCATGTCTTCGAAATCATGTGAGTTCCATGGACAAGCCTCTTTCTTTTCGTTTTTGGGGAAAGGTCACAAGGGGATCTCCTAGAAATTGCCGATGATAGGTGTCAAGGTCAGCCGCCCATGCATCGCGATACCCAGTACTCAGAGGTGGAGACGGCGCAGCAATAGCCAGAACGGTTTTTCGTGTTGAACATTTTGTCTGGTGTCTGCTGAGTATGCTGCTCAAATTGCAGTGTTGGGACCCTTTTATCCCCTTGTGAGGTTGGCTATTGCTGGCAACTCCAACTCCGTCGTAGCCGTTTTGAGAGCGGAGGGTAGATTAGAAGAATATCGGAGAGCTCAGCTGCTAGCAAGTCACATGAATGGATACTTCCAACTTTTGTCAAAAACGATTTATGCTTTTCAGTCCCCTCCCCCGACCCTGGCAGTAACATCATCCAGTGACTATAGGAGTCTTATCTTAACCTCAAGTCTCAATCAGTTGTGAAGAGCTTACGAGAGGTACTTCCACCCCGAAGTCACATCATTCCTACAGTCCAACTCTTCTTGGCAGCTGAACAATACCACATGGAACATCCAAAATCCTGAAGCGTCAATCTGATCGTACGTGGCCCCTTCTGCAGCAACATCATTCCGTACCTCCAAAAGTTCCACCGCAACCCGGTGACGGGCAAGCCGCTGGAGGTGAAGGACTTGATCAAGCTGCAGTTTCACAAGAACGGGGAGGGCGAGTACCAGTGCCCCGTGCTCGGCAAGGTCTTCACCGAGTTCACGCACATCGTCGCTGTCAAGCCCACCGGGCATGTCTACAGCTACGAGGTAAACGGCGCTGCTCTTAACTCCCCTTGTCCGTCTGGGTTTGTGTAATCTTCCTACTTTCAGCCGTTTTAGGTGAGAAAGAAGCTCCGGGCGCTGCATTGGTCTGATAGATCCCCATAAGGTGGTCGCTGCCGGCCCGGCGCCCCATTCCATCTCACTTGGTCGCCTTCTGATGTTGTTCGCGCGAGTAGTTTTGATTGGCGACGGGTGAGCGACTGGGAATCCCGATGATTTGAAACAATCAGGCTCATCAATCTCGTCGTGTGTCAGCTTTCAAGGGAAGGAGTGAGTCCAGTTCCGCTCTGGGACATCCTTTTTGGGTCGAAATATTCTGTGTTGAAGTTTTGACACCTTCTTTCTTGAGGCCGTTCGGAAGCTGAGCAGCAAGGCCGGGACTTGCCGGAATGTCATCGTTTCTGCTTAGAGCAGCATATACTTGAAGAGGGCGTCAGGGAACCGGTCCCCCCTGACATCAGCCGCATAGCGCGATTTTTGATGGCTCGGGCGATTCTACCCGTTTGAAGTCGAATTTCAAAATGGGTGTAGGCCCGACCTGCCCGGCGTACGGACAGATTGAAAAAAGTTGTTACGACCGAGTTTCGATTGCTTGATTTCGTAGTGCAATTTAAGCGCACTTCCCAGTTGTGCTAAAATGTTCCCTGTGCCCAAGTTTGTTCGAAATTCTACCGCTCGGGCCGGTGTTCGAAGTCTGACGCCTTCTTTAAGTTCGTATCGAAACCATTTTGGAAGCTGTCTTGGTGACTCTCTTTTGACGTAGAATTTACGCTCGAACTCTTATCTTACTCTTTCGCAGGCAGTCCGCGAGTTGAACATCAAGGCCAAGAACTGGAAGGACCTGCTGACGGACGAGCCATTCACGCGCGCTGACATCATCACGATCCAGGACCCCAACAATGTTGCCGCCAGCAAGCTGCTGACGGAGTTTGACCACGTGAAGCAGAACCGGGCAGTGGTTGATGCGGATGCGCCGCCGGAAGACCCAACGCAAGGGATCCGCATGAGCGAGGACCATAAGCGGGTGTTCCAATCGCTGGGCACAGATGAGGTGAGCCGTTGGACAGATGTGCAGTTATTTGCATCACAAAGGTAGGAGCGCTGTTTAGTTTAAGTGAAAGTACGAAGCCTTCTGAAGTCGTTAAGTTGCCGGGAAAATAGACGACTGGTATCGTAGGATCAGCACAATTCAGCACTTCGAGAGAAAGGAGACCATGACAGACTCTTCTGGGAAACGAAGTTCTTCACAACACGTACATTTACGGATTCGCTTAGATAATCTCAATTTTCCGTTTTAAAGATTGATTTTGCGGCAATAGAGAAGCTTTTTTGAAATCTGTCTTTTCACTTCTGTCTCCCCATTTATTCCGCTATCACGACGACTGTTCTTGATTCCTTGTCTCTCTGCAAACTTTGTTTACGATGATATTTGTTCTTTCTCTGGTCAGGCTAAGAAGGCCATGGCTATGGGCGGAGGTGGGAGCAAAGCGCAGAGCGAGCGCGCGAAGGCGCTGGCAGCTTTAGAGGCCGCAAAGGCGCGGAAAGCTCTCGACAGCGACAAGAAGCCTGAGAAGCAAGCGCCGCTTAGTATCGTCGATGCTGCGTCCGCCAGCGTGGCCGGAAGGAGCGCTTCCGCTGCGAAGGCAGGGACAGCGGAACAGGTGCGAGCCCTATGTTGTGCGGTTTCACATTTGAAGCTTACCGCATGAAATAGTGTAGAAGTTGCGAGCGGAGGGCCTCGTAAGAACAAGAAGGTCGTCGCTTGTCAACTGGACACTGACGAAAGAAGCTTGACACGTTCTGCTTCCGCCGTATAAGGGTTGATTCACTCGATGGCTCTGAGAGAATTTAAGCTACATACTTTTGATCAAGAACTGCCAGACACGTCCCGACCCCGCTTCGACGACATCTCAATGTTCATAAGCCTCACAACGGTCAGCACGGCTTAGAATTGACCATCTTTGATGGCTTGAGATCCTAAAATCCAAATGTAGAGTGTTTTTGCCATCTCAATCCATACGTGCCTGAGGTAGCTTTGTAACCACTCCAACGGCGATATCCCGAGCCAGATTGTCGCCGTTTCTACACACCCTCTTCTTGCTCTGCCGACCCTTCTGAACAATCCCCTGACTCCGTTTTGCCCTGACTCCCTTCTCCCTTCGCTGATGACGTACCCGCCCGGAAACCCAAAACAAACCCTGCCTGCTACTATCCAAAAGTACATCCAAAAGTTTAAACGGATTTTGAATTGTGTCATTTTTCGCAGACGGCGGCTCGAGTGGCTCTCCACGCGGCCGGCGCGCGCGTGCCGGTGCGCGCCAACGCCAAGACGGTGGTCAGCCGCTTCACGACGTCCAAAATGTCCGGCTCCTTCACATCCACGGCGCTCACGCCGTCGACCAAGCAGGAGTTCGCCATCGAGATTGTAAGTTTTGCGGTTTCGTTTGCGTCCTTAAGTTTTGCGGTTTCGTTTGCGTCCTTACACTCCGTGATCGCTTCTATTCAATTTTGGTTCCAAAAAGGGTTGTATATGCCTGGCGTCGTCCCCGAAGCAGGAGGTCGCCATGTTATATGTTCGCTTTTCTTTCATCAAGTGGACTTTCTGTCCGACTGAACTCCAATTCTCACTTTGGTCAGAAACCTTGGGTTGAGAATCTGCTCAGCAACAAACGTGACTAGGTTACTGGTCTGCCGCTCATCTTCCGAAGCAGATCTTGTGGTTCATGGTGGAGGAGTGAAAAGGATTGGGAAAACCGCTACTGAATCCTGGTAATCAAGGTCAAGTCCTCAAGAGCTGCGTATTAGTCCATGCGCGCGCAGTCAGCTAAAAACCGTGCAGGTACCCTCTGTGAACAGTAAAATTTCACTTGCGTCTTTTTTGACGGCTCTCATCAGCGAGTTTTGGCCAGTCAGACGTAAGTGTGCAAAAAGACAAGCTTGCGCTTGCTTAATAAGTGCTTGTTTTCCACGACGTTTTGAGACAATATCAATAGCTAAAGCGCACTGCGGAAGCATTCTTTTCCTTTCTTTCGTCCGGGCAATTCACGAGATAGCCTCCTTCAATGAACCCTAGGTTTTCTGCCTCCGTTTTTCCAGGTGGAGCGCAACCCGAAGAAGAAGGGTTACGTGCGGATGCAGACGAATCTGGGCGACCTGAACATCGAGTTGCACTGCGACCTCGCGCCGCGGGCGTGCGAGAACTTTATCACGCACTGCGAAAGCGGCTACTACGATAACGTCATCTTCCATCGAAACATCAAAAACTTCATGATCCAGGTGGGCTTATTCGCAGCTTTTTATACCAAGTCGTAAAATTTTGCTGCCCTCTCTATCAACTGACGTGTTCCAGTCGCATGCTCTTCCTCGCTTTCGCATGTTTCAGGGCCAGTCAGAAGACCAAGTCGCAGACACCCCTAGTAAGCAGATTGAGAGTGGCATTGCGAAAAGGACAGGCATATCTTTTTCAAGTCAGGAGAAACATCTGCCCGCTCACACTTTCTTTAGAAGCGGACCCCTTTTGTTGCCATTACTATGTCGGGCACGTGATTCTTTTCAGTTGGAAATCTGCTTGCTCGTTAACCCAGTCTTCTTGACGATGCCGGAAAATGCAGTCCAGAAGATTCGCTCGCAGAAGTTTTCAGTACCCCGTCGTTTCACCTGGGTTTGTTGAACCATCTTTCAAGCATGCTGAGCAATTACCGGCAGCAGTTGCACACCCCATGTGGACGATTTCACGCGCAGGGGGGTGATCCAACGGGCAGCGGGAAAGGGGGGGAGAGCATATGGGGGAAGCCGTTCAAGGACGAGTTTACGTCACAACTTACGCACTCGGGGCGGGGCGTTTTGAGCATGGCGAATTCGGGGCCACATACGAACGGCTCGCAATTCTTCATTCTGTACAAATCGGCGCAGCATCTGAATAACAAGCACACCGTCTTCGGCCAAGTGGTAAGTCCATCAAGGAATGTAGGGGTTTTAGAACAAAGACTTGACATGGTTCCTATTTTTCCAAGATGGTCCGGTTGGCGGGTGCGTGATTGGAGGTCGAGGTCATGAATGATCTTAAATGTGGCTCAGGGCTTGGTCCTTTTAATGACGCTCGCTTGCGTTATCGAGTGTTTTTCTGAAGTTGCATCAAGGTCAGAACGTAGATTGCGCTGTTTTGCGATCAAGGAGCAGGTAGAATCTGAGCAAGAGCACAGGGGCATGGGTTGTAAACCGCTTGAAAAGGACTGAGTGTCTTGCTGTTGGGCCGTTCAAATATATTTTCTTTTGTCTGTATCGGTTTTCGTGTCGCAAGCGCCTTAGCGGCAATCTGTTCGCTCGCCTCGCCTTTTTATGTCTCGGCAAATGAGCACCAACTTTCATGGCGACCATCTGCATACCGGACTTTGTTTGTGTCGTCTGCTTTGTGTCTCTCAGGCCAGATTAGAATAGAGTCCTTTAAGCTAATATTTGTTTACTCCTTGCTGCAAATGGTCCCACACATCTCACTGCATCGCTACAGACCAACTGTCGTAACAAGAACTCTTTGTTTCGTTACATGCAATTTCTTACAAAATCATCATGCAGATGGCAGATTCATGCGGAGTCAGTTTCGCGTCTCTGAAAGCTTGAAAGAGTCGGATGAAGTCATGCGCTTCTTTGAACATGTCCAGGTGGGAGGAATGGAAACCCTCGCCGTAATGGAGCGGATACCGGGAGACGAAGAAGACCGACCAAAGAAGGAAATCAAGATGTTGTCTTTCAAAATCTTCGTCAATCCGTACACGGAACCAGACGAAGAGGAGGTAAGCAGAGAAAGCATCCTGGTGTCCAAACTTGGTCGATCGGATCAATGTAGACTGAAGCAAGCTTTTCCAGTTTGCTGTGTCAGCCGAACCCTTCATAGACTGGCGAGGTTGCCTCATAAGCTTTGCGAGTACTGATGCAAATATTGCATCTAATATTTTGGGGCTTCTTCATAGGATTACAAGTCCGGATCAAAGGTCGGCTACCTGTCAAGAACCATTGTGATCTGATGGTAAATATCGTCTGTTCTGCCGGAAGTATGAGGTCCTTGATTCTGGTGACATCATTTGCTTTCGATCTTGCTTCGTATCAGATGATTTGTCAGCAGGAGTGAGTCCACATACATTCATCCAAAAAGTTGCGTCGCGCTTGGGACAGAGCCCATATGGTCTGAACGAGCATCCTTCTTATCGGCAGGAGGCGGAACGGAAAAAGGCGGAAGAAAAGGCGGAGAAGGAGGCGAGACGAGACGAAGAAGAAACCGTGGGGCAATGGTTCAGCAATCCAACCGGAAACAGTGACCTAAAGCCGCTTAGGGCAGGTGTAGGCAAGTATATGAAATTACCGCCAGCTAGTTCAAGATTAGCAGTGAGCTCCAATGGTGGTCTAGAAGATGGCCCCCCTGCCAAGCAACGAAAAGTGGAGAAAAGCGGTGGCGGATTTGGCGACTTCTCGTCTTGGTAGCGATCTTTGTGACGCTCTGAACCAATCATTTGTATATATGTAGAGAGGCTCTTGGTGTCGCGTCGGCATTAGCCATTTGAAAGGTATGGCCTTCGTGCTGGCCAATATTGACAGCTAGGAATGCAAATCCATACATGGTCACATCTGGGCGTTCAATGAGCCTAATATCACCTGCACCTCTTGGCTGTCTGCAAGGCCTTCAATAATACAAGCAACCAAATGCGGCAGCTTTCAGACTCGATGAGGGCCTGATATCATCTGCCGACGCACCCACGATGATGCGGTCCGCGGAAGACGATGGGACGGCAGTGTACGTACTCTCTACCAATAACAAAAAGAAAAACAATGTCCTGATTCGATATACAGATTGTTATTCGGCTGCCAAATCAGGCTAGCCGCTGAGCGCTTTTAGGCATGTCATGCACTACCCAGGAACCACGATCGGTCGCCGCCCGTTCCTGACCGCGTCGAGGGTGTCGACGCCCTCGCGCTCCCAGGGGCCGCGCGAGCCCCAAAGGAACACCGGGTTCGACCGCCGAAGCAGCGGAAACTCGGCCAGGATCTCGCCGGCCTTCCGCGCGACGCCCTCCGCGTTGGCGCGCTTGTCCATCACTATGACGATCGACGGCCGCCGTATCGTGTGGGCGTACGCGCACATCGCGGTGATACCGACCGTCTTGTCCGTCTGCTCCGGCGCGTGCGCGACGTACAGGCCGGGCCTGACGACAGCCAGAGGCAGGCCCGCGTCCTGCACAGGGATCAGGATCCCCTGCCATTCAATGATTGTGACTGCGGTCACTCAGCAGTACACTTGTGCCATGTGGGACTGCAGCCGGGATTTACGGAGCAGTCGAGTGACGACAACTGACGACAGTGACGAGTGGGCGGACCGGCCGGGACTGATTGTACGGCCGCCGCGCACTTATTGCATGACCGTACGGCTCAGCTGTGGCTGCTGGCAGGCAGAGGCGGCAGCAGCGAGGCTGACTACTAACTAGAACAAAGCTTACCTTGAACCAAACCCTAACCTTAAAACCCCTAATTACGTACCACATATCGTACAAACTCTTTTCCGTACTGCTGATTCCGTTCCGCTTCACTCTTCGGAATCCCCACCAGGACGGAACGAAACACCCCTGGAAAGCAAAGAACCGGAATACATCCCAAGCTGAGCGTCTTCTTCGTTTCAATGCAGAGCTACAGGTTACTACGAAGAATCTCACTCAGGTCGAAGGAGTGACCACAAGGAACTCAGCCAGTAAGAACAAAGGGGCTTCAGGCGGAAAACCAAACCGCACCGAAAATGACCCAGAGAATTCCAAGCTCCCCGTAGGTATACCTCAACTAAGTCAAAGTTCTGGATCATTCCGCTCTAGAGAATGTCCTTGTATCCTTTTCCTATGCTGACGGAATGCTTCGCTGACTCGGACTGTCTCAATCCGACCGTTGGAAACCGCTTAAACCCTGGCCAGCCGTCGGCGAGCCAGCACGAAACCTGGTGGTTCGCACTTATGAACTGGAATCGCGCGAGTCGCAACAGGGGCTGCGCACTGAAATATTTAACCAGTCGACCGCGCGTCAGACTCAATGTGCGACTATCCGTTGTTTACTCGCGCCGAAAACGGAAGAAGGCCATGTCGCATCGCGAGCGACGAGCGGTCGCTTTCAGGCGCGAGACAACTCCGCTCGTCAATGACTTGCAAAGAGCTAAGAGTTTGTTCAGAAAGACGTGAGAAGAGTAGGAGAAAGGTTGAAGAAGAGGAAGACCGCAGCGACAAGTGGGATGCTTCCACTTTTGTCATCAATCCAAGGGTTTAACATTTCTGTGCTCTCTACCTCACATCTCGACTACGCCCAAGCTTCAAGAACACCAGCCAAGACTGACAACAGCTCCTCTCCCTTCCCCTGTACAGGTATGAACGGTTCCAACATCGTTTGGATCAACTATGAGGCAATGAAAGCCGCAGGGAATGCATGATTGCATGACGAAAGCTGAAGTGGGTTAAATGTTTGCTGCACGTTTGTTATTTCTGATTGTCCAGCAAGAGGTGTACACCTTTGCATCTGATCATTCATCCCCAGGCCCGGTACTTGGTCCCCAGGCAGATTATATAGGTTAGTCAGTCAGTTTACTTGCATAGCTCCAACGGCAGCAGTTGCGGGTTCAATCCCAAGAACTGAGCAACAATAGAGCAGACCAGAACTGACTGGGATTGTGAATTAGCATCTTGGACAATCTATATTGCATGTGCAAGAGCGATAATTAAGTTGGAACTCCATATACAGACCTTTCAGAATCGGAAGGGTTTCGGTTGAATTCTATCAAGCCTTCTCTCTGGATCACTGATCCAACATAAGATATATCTGCTCTCAACATGCCTATGATTTAACGTTATCGTTGCTAGGGGATCAGGATGCGGAGAGGGTTCTCTCGTGCCTATGAAACGAGAGACAAAACTGATCTTGCATTATGGCTTGGATGCATTTTCAGTCTTGTCGATTTTGTCAATTTATACTCTGAGCACCCGCGAGGGGCCGCGACTTGGGCTGACCTGCCTCGCTCCGTGCATGTGCTTCAGCAGTCGTAAATGCTCTGCTGCAGTGGGAATCTGACATAATCGATTGTATGTTGAGTTAGGTTGACGTTTGAGTTTCAACCAGTTCCCCGGGCACTACATAAATCAAGAGTCAACATAGCCGTAACTCAACATCGAATCGATACTACTGGCACCCACGGCTGCATGATTGCAGCCTTGACTTCCAGCATTAACACCGACAACTCCCGCTTTCGCTGCAACCTTCTGATTTGAGGCTTTGGAAGCACTCAGTGACACGTACTCAGGCCTGTGACACGGGTCTGAGGGTCTGTTACAAGACATTGACTAGAAGTTAGCCGACGCAAGCGACCAATCAAAGTTTCAGGCTCAGAGCGCTGATTTTCAGCCAGTGTTGAAAGTCTGCAACTCCGGCGACTTGCACCTATTGGGGCGACCGATGTGACGTCAGCTTTCTGACCATCTAAATCCTGCTCAAGTCCAGCTACGACTTCCTGCTTGCCGGGCGCATATGACTTTAGTGTATGCCCAACAAGGGCCGACAGGGATGCAGCAGTAGTAAGTGCGTTCATGCGGTTTTCAAAGTTGGTACCTTCTGCCGGCCGGACAAGCAATCTCTGTGGGTATAAAAGCGAAGCCACACCTCGCACTTTCTTCAAAACAACTCCGGCGCTAGAGTTAGCAGTTCGCCTCAAAGCGCCCCCACTGCAAACCTCAAGGCAAGCACGCGCAAGAACCACTCGCCCTAAGCGCTCCAATACCAATTCCCTACTCACCCCTTTCCTCCCACTCCTCCTTCAAGCGGCTTTCAGGTCCCTTCTTCCACTGACGCCCCAATCACTGCCAGTTTGCTCAGACCCTACAAACAGTGCGAAGCAACCAAGCCAACGCAGGCCTTTCACTCTGACCACTTTTGCGGCGACCATGGCCGCTCGATTCAGTAGCCCCCGGGCAGCGACCCTTCTCCTGGTCGCCGCGCTCTGCCTGGGCAGCGCCGCCGCTTTTGCGCCGCTGTTCAGCACGGGAAACCCGGACGGCAGGATCGCAGTCGCGACGCGCCCGGATGGAGTGAATGGCAAGTTTGAGATCGAGGCCGGGGACGACTTTCTGGCCAAGGCGGGGCAGAGCGTCTCTAAGGTGGGCAGAGGTTTGCAGACATTTTGAGTTCACATAATTTCTTGATTGGATCTTGCGTAGAATCTGAGCACAAGTTGGTATACTAAACTGACCCGAGAATTGAGAAAAGCTTGTGCAGAGTGAGATCAGAGGCCCTTGATTCTGCTGTTCGAGAAATATAGATGACTGAACTTGTTTCGACATCGACTCCTTGAAGCTGCAAGGCAAAGCAGAGTAGCGTATATGAAGTAAGAGGGTACTCTTGTGCATCGGTACTCTTGTACATCTCTACTTTCACTGCGCAGCCGACTCGTGACGAACACAGCTCTGCGTTTCCGGATTGTTTTTCTGGCCGCTGGCGTCGTTCCGAAGTCTATCACAATATGCTGAAGGAGCAGCAGTATCAGTGATTGATAGGACCTCATTCCGATGCCTTTACTACAGATTGAATTGAGCTCTTGAGATCGGAAGATAAGGTGGTGGCAAATCCTACGCGCTGCATCTTCTCGCGAAAGGGGTGCAAAACATCATGCATTTCTTCAAAGATAAATTCCTTTTTCAGATCAGATTTCGAACCAAAGGAGACAAAAACGACAAAAACACCTCTGACCTAACCTCGGTTTATCTAACCTCCGACCCCGCCTCCTCTCTGTTTCCCAGGTGACTTTCACCGGGCTTCTCCCCTCGGGCTTTTCCCTCGCCTCCGCCCAGGACTCTGTCGTCCAGCTGGAGCTGTACCGGGTGTTCTCCCGCGACAGTGACGTCAGCCGCTGCCAGGACGCCGACCCTCACACAGTCTGCCCCACGGAGAACGTCGTCACCCGGGCCAATTCCCCGAGCGACGAGGCGGCCCCCGAGTTCGACCGGTCAACCGAGGACGGGACGCTCTTCTGCGAGGTGTTTGGGGCGAACCCGAGCGATAACTTCAACTTCCTGGATAACTCGGTGAGAGACTGGTGGGACTCGTTTCAGATCTGGAATGGTTTCGGGATAGTATGAGCGTATATGTACAGCTCGTTGACCTTGCGAGCTCTTGAAGAGGGGCCACTCCAAAAGCCTTATTACAGACGAAACAGGAACTCGGAGAAAACGGCTAAGGTTCTCAACTGCTTCTTATCTGAAGTGCCAAAGTCACGAGATCCTTGGCAAACAGATCAACTTTTAGAACCGGCCCCTCTGGTCTTCCAGTCTTCGTTAAGAGCAAGACTTCAAGCCCTCTGCGTTCTGTCGGAATCATAAGCACTGTCCCGTCTCTTACTCTGCGCAGATAGTAGAATGCAATGGCCTGAACGAATTTCCACAACCGCATTCGATCAAGCACGCAGCTGCCTTGATGACCGAATTCCTGACCGACCTCCAGGATTGTACTTTTACCCCGTCTCCATTCACAGCTTTTTGCTGTTTCAGAAGAGCAAGAGCGAGCACTTTAATCAAAGCCATCTTTCCCTCCCGCCAGGTGGTCGACTTCTATTCCGCCAACTCCGTTCTTCCGGGCGGCATCCACAAGAAGACGGAACTGCCCACCGGCGGAAACGGCGGCGTGACGGGCCCTGTCGTCACATTCGTGTGCGACTTCGCAGCGAACCACCCCTGGACCTTCTCCGCTGACGAGCACTTCTTCTTCGTGCCCAAGGTCAGCCGCCAAGAGATTTCTGCAAATATTCGCGCTGATCTTTGCGCTTTGCTTTAGGGCAACAAATCTTCAACCAATCGTTTGTTAGAGTCAGCTCCCATATGATTTCTCGCAACACTTTGCAGCATGACAAAACACAGGATTCAGAGGGGCCGCTCGAATTCAGTTCAGTTGTTTTATCGTCCGGGTCGATCAGATTCTGAGGAGTTACGATATCAAGATTTCTGCATCTCGTCGCATGCTCCCTGCGTACCGTGACGCAATCGTGTTTCTCATTCCTGCTGACCTTCTTTGTTCCGGCTGCGTTCAACCGGTCTACAGACATTCCTCACACCTTCTGAATAAGACTCACAATTCTATACCGCCACATTCCAGTTGAGACCTTTTTTCTTCTCTGAAAGCACATGACGCATTAGACATCGACTTCAAGCACCCTTTATAAGTTTGCTGTCTCTTTTTAAGCGATCTGATCCTTAGTTCTTATCAGAGACATCGTGTTTACATGTGTGCTAGGAAAAACTTCAACTTTCAGCATTGGAATCCGTAGTTTACCACTCTACCCATCCGAGCTCCGGAAACTAGTGTGGCTCGTCCGGCCGTTGGCGGATCACCTCTTTCAGAGCACTTTCCCTAACCACTTGCGAAACCCGGCGGTTTTGAGGACGGCACGCGAGAAACGTCGGCACATCAGCTCCGGCAATCGCTTGTTGCCCTAATCCGACGAGTTTGACGATCAACGACGCTTAGCCAGAACCCCTTGTCACCCCCAAGGCGGCCCTTCCCTTGGGCAAGGTCCCGATGCTAACCAGCACTTCGTTTGACGCTAACCAACATTTCGTTTCCCCTCAGATCGCCCTTCCCCTGGGCACGGACAACGCGGACCGCGGCGATTTCCTGTGGCTGTCCGCACCCAAGCCGCTTACGAACGGCTTCGCCTTCTCCCCCGACCTCCAGTCGTGGACCCGGGACTTCACCATCGACCCCGACTGGGTGCGCATCGGCACTGACGTCGTCGGGGGATCCCCCGCGCCGACATTCAACCAGGTCTTCGCGCTGTACCCGACCGGAACCCCCGGGCCCAAGTTCTTGGCGCAGGGCGACTTCTGCGCGGCCGGTAACCCGTGCTTCAACGCCGTCGGCACGCGCCAGGTGTGCTGCCCCGGGAGCTGCGCCCCGGGCACTCCTCCCGCGGGGATCCCCACGTGCGAGGGTGGAGCCAGCCCTGTGTTCCCGTAGAGACTGACCGAAAGAACCATCTTCAGTGCAGAGTACTAAGAGCGAAGAGTGAGGAAGAGTTGACTTCAAGGATGCAGCCTTTGCCAGAAGTGTAATGGAATATGATATGCCTACTTTGAGAGAGTTCTATGATACCGTAGAGCGCTAACAGTTTCGAATGAAGAGAACCATTGCATACGACTTGCTTGAGATTGACGTCCTCCGCCACGTTTTGTTTGAGAGAGCTTTTATGTAATCGGTACTGGTTAGAACATTTCAATATCTGGACGTTTTGTGTGACAGCTCAATAGATATCAACCCAACATGTAATAAGAACCGCAAAAGATGTTCCATAGTACCGGCCCGGGTATATGTAAAAAGGTTCGAATCATGAACGAATCAAACGCAGATGCTGGTCTCTGCTGCGACGTCGGAGTATATGCTACACATTCATGCACATGTATACGATTTTGTCAGTGCAGCGCCAGCTGAGGATCGTATGCGGCCGCCATGCCCACTTGCCAGAGCATGCGCACGCGTTTACAACCATCTCTCGGATCATTGTCGGCGCGACGGCCGCCCGGAGATTCGTCATATATTCAGCACTTGAAGTAATTCTCAAGCGGCGGATGCGCTCCTTTATATGTGCATTAAGGGGATGCAGCGCATCGGGACATGCATGGAATTTTATAACGTACGCGCAAATCATTGCATGATTGATCGGGGATTGGAACTGAAGACAGGGTACGTTATCATCATTCACCCTGACTGCATGACATGATTCAAGTATCTCGCGTCATAATTGTCGAAGCACGTATCACAGTGTATGGCACATGCATGTGCAAACCGACACAAGCAGAGTTGGAGCGCCACTATAGGCACCGGACAGGCTCCATTCGAGAAGCGGCGGAATCGTGAGCCGGATTATTATAATGATAACCGACTTTCAGGGGACAACGCGCATCAAGCATGCAACGTTCATTGTCAATGAGTCTCGGTCCGACTCGTACCACAAAAATCAGTAAAAGATCGATGGTGGATCTATAAGCTGTTCATCATATTCTTCGTTACATACCTTTCTCTGCAGCACATACCTTTCTTTGCAGCAAAACGGACGGTCAAGTCCAAAAGCTTCCATGAAACAACGCGCGACGCGACCTGTGACTGTACCTACTCTACAAAATATGATCTCTGGCGTTTCAAGCACGTTTCGAGGATTGTTTATGCGGATACATGGAGTGAAGCAACACCCCGCCGGCCACCAAAGGCATGGCTACCACTACGGGCCCTGTCGGCCATTCCTGGTCGAGCACTAGTTGAATCACCGCCGTCACAAGAAGCGCCACAACAATCGCAAAGCCCTGGCAGCGCGAGACAGGGGGTTAAAGAGGAAAAGCGTCGAGGAAAACGAAGGGGCTGTGCTCCTTGATTCGTCCACTGACTCTATCCTCCCTTCAACGATAACAGCCGAATCAAGCTCAGGACGAAGCCAAACAAACAACCACCGTTCAATGGTGCTCTTAAAGGGTCGCTTTTTGCGTTAAGAAGGAACGCTGGACTGAGACTTCGCGTCTGATTCGAATTCGTTTAAACGAATAACGCTTCTGTTGATTTGTGTACAAGGAATGGGCCGAGAAGTCGCTTGCCAAATTGGAGCAGCTGTATTGCTTCCGAGGATCAGTAACGCGAAACGACACTCTACGGCAGACGTGGAACTCTGCTGGTAAGGGAAGCTAGCATTAGGGCTTCTGAAGGGTCACGCAAAGTGGTCAGTACTGGCAGGGGCTCACCTTTTTGAGGCCGCCGACATACTTGGTGACGAGGCCCACCAAAATGCCCCCCGCAGCGTACAACAGCACGGGATACTGCACACACACGCGTTTGCAATCCTCAGCGCTGACCGAAGCTCATTCCGGAACAGAGGCTACCAAGGGTTTCGCATGAGGGCTTTCTCACAGGGCCACTCCGATCATATCACTTAGGAGATGATACGATTACAGGAAGGTCCGGATGCATCCTCACGAGACTGACGAGGCCGCTTGAACGTCAGAATGAATGCAGAGGGGAAAAGAATCATGGACCTAGCGTAAGCAGAGTCCGATCCTGGCTTAGTAAGTTAGAATCAATATCTTGTTTTGTAAACGTATCTTGTACACGCATCTTGTACACGTATCTTGTACACGTCACAGAGAATCATGTACTTCAACCGGGTCGCTTTCTGTGCTTCGATCCCGTTCCTTAAAAGGATAGGTCGATTAATCGGTCTAAGAAGCGCACGATTGATCACGATATCCTTCTGTTTGTAAACGACGAAGCAGCAGACATGCGATCCGAGACACACTCGCTTGCTGTAGTACCAAGCACGGCATCCATGGTTGTGAGAACCGACGCGATGGTGTCTTCTTTCCTTTTCTCGGAAAGAAGTAAGCATTCGTCACAGGTCCTCAGTCCCGGGGCGCAGGTCGACATCGTATCTCGGGAACCGTCGGGAGAAGCGATCAGGAAAGCAGCGAAATATGCGAAGGGAGACAATTTGTTCTGATTGTACGCAGTCCCTCTGACCGCCCCAACGCAGCAGTAAGGGCCCTCACCATAGTGGACAACTCCCAAGCATGGAAGAACCCTTTGCTCCGGATCCGCGCCCCATCGTCAGAGCCCGCCAACGTCAGCAACAGCACCGCAATGCCCAATACGCTCATCTCCATCGTCATCACATACGCGTCCCGCCGTCGTACCTGCATCACACGCAACGTCAGCATAATATTTTTAAGCACTCCGGTACTACACCAGTGGGTTAGTTTCCCCGCCAAGCAGGGCGAGACATGAACCGGGACCTAATGGTCGAAAAGGATCCTTAGGCCTTTCTATCAGGGAAAAGCGAGGGCGTTAATGCTGAGCTCCATCCATTTGTCTGCCCCCCATTTGGGCTACTGCAGCCGTTAGTGTGAACCATAGCTGGTAAACATTTTCAGACCAGTTAGGGGCGTAAAACACACATACGCAGATGTACCCTTCACCTCGCAAGAAGGACAAGGGCGTCCATAGTTCAAAATCATGAGCCCACTCGATATCAACAGACTTGTCTTCCGAGTAGAACATACCTCGTTCTAGATTCTTCAAGCCAGGAGGACTATCAATAGAGCCAATATCAAGAAGCCAAGCCTATTAACCGTACTCACGGACGAGACTCAACCAAGTACGGACGAGACCCAACTGGACGTGGAATCGACTGTTCTCCAGCTTTGTGAAGGAAATTAGCCCATAGGTTCGGGCAAGGGGTCGACCTCGCACCTTGGAACGAACAATAACAACGTTCAAATTGACGAGCACGTGCCTGGCCCTGTTACCCTATCGAGTTGGGCAAGGAGTCAAAGTCAGCATCTTAAAATCAAATACTAATGTCATCGACCTCAAAAAGCACGTGCCTGGAGGGTCCGCTGGCAGACGGTGGAAGCGAGGCCCGACAACACCGACGCCACGAGCATGGGCAGTACGCCCAGGAAAAACCGGCGGTCGGGCGGCGGCTGCTCTCCCGAGGGGGTCGGCGCAGCCGCAGGGTCCCAACTGAGAAGCACTGCGGCGACCAGCATGCACAGGAGCGCCACAACCTGGGGGCCGGATTGGCGCTGCCTGGGACGGGAAGAAAACGGGGGGGTGAATTTTGCAGCTTAGGGAGGGGGGGAGGGCGAACTTCCGGCGACCAGCATGCACAGGAGCGCTGCCGAAGAGACGGGAGAGGAACGGGGGGGTGAGATTGGCAGGGCGCGGAGGGGGGTGAGATGGAGTTCCTTTTGGTCGTCGGCGCCCGCGCGAGCTTTTCGAGGTAGAGAAAGGTCGATGTTGTCTGGACCAGGAGGAGGACTAAGAAGTCCTGGGCCGAGCGAGGAGGAAAACCCCGTACGAGGTTCCCAGGCTGTGATGCTGAATGTCGAGTCTCGAAGGTGATGATTGTCGGCCACTTTTCTGAAGTGTGTGTCGGGTAACAAACTTCAGTGAGTTTTAACTGTTTGCCAAGACTAGGGGCTCGAAACTAACAATCTCTGGGTCAAAAGAGATGATATCAAGAGGCCAACCTTGGGTGAGCGGAAAGTTGGTGAGCGGATTTTATGTAACAGGTCCTTGGGGACGGTAAGAACCGCGTGTTGAAATTTCGGGTGAGAGCCAACAGCGTTTTCAAGGGGCATTTGGAGGCATGCGTAGACTGGTACAAACCCCGAACGACTAATGAGTTAGAGAATCAGGACGAGTTATAGGATGGAGATGCGCCCATCTCTTGCAGGTTCTGACATGAACGGCCTTGAGCTATCCGTTGAACTCTCACTTCTCGTTCCATACTTTTCAGCTTCAACTGGTAAAAACGGATGGGGAAGCGTGACAAGAAAAGAGGCAATCATAAGCCAAGTCAAGCAGCTAAAGGATTCAACGTTGAAGGTGCGGAGAGAGGTACCAGGTTTATCTGGTTTCAAAGACAAAAGCTTCTCAAGAGCCTCGAGACACTGCCAAGGAGGAACAAGCATTCCGCCACAACGAAATTTACGCACTGGCTTGGTGCCGCAAACGTCCCCCACCCCCGCTTGGTAAGAACAACGAATGGTTGATCAGTCATTTCGAGGCGCTGGGCTGAAGCGCTTCATAGTACCCATATAATAGCAATCAACATATTCGTTCACACACCGCGGTTGGACAGCAAGGGCATCGCAGATATTGAAAGTACACTTCTCTTCAGCTAAAATGAGAATGCATGGTTGTGGCACGGGACTAGAAACAGGGCCCTTAGAAAGGGACAGGACAAAGTATATCCAAGAAAGAGGTTAAGTGAAGGGCGCGTCAAGAGGGCTTACCCAAGAAGCAGAGCGGTGAAGAGAGCAGTAAACAGCAGCTTGGTTTGGTTGAGCATGGAGAGCGTGAGAGGGTCTAGGTGGGGGTATGCACTCTGCACCAGCACGTTTTGTATTGCGTAGATGGCGGCCGGCAGGGCGGATGCAAGCAGTGCATCCCCCACGCTCCAGCCAGCAAAGCGCGGCGCGAGGGGGCCTTGCACCAGCAAGATGAGGAAGGCAAAGATGATCTGAGAGGGGACGAGGGGGATAGGCTGTGAGGCCTTGAAAAGGTCATAATTAGGTGGTATTAAGCTTCGTTTTTATCCAGGATTGAGGCCTTCAAGGAATATCTAGGCAGTACTAGGCTTCATTGCTCCAACTACAATACAGAGCCATCAGTAGGAGGAAGCTTGATTCTTGATGGAAATAGCTAGAGCCATCAGGCCTCCAAGACACTGATCGGGCAGGAGTTGCTTGGCAGCGAAAGGGGGAGCCACAGGAATGAGTGAAACAGTACGGCTGAAATGCTATATACCAGACTATCTTGTGAGAGGCATCTGATGCTTGCAACCACCTTGGGGCAAGTGCTGCCCTGTCCAGGACAATACTATCATCACAGGAGAAAGGCTGGGCTAGTGGGTCCCCTACCTTGCACAGCTCACAGACAAGCACAACTGTGGTCTTGTTGACGGCAGGACTGCGAAGACACAAATCCAGATGATGCATAGTCAGCAGCTGGCGAATGGGGGAAGGATACGCAAGCCTCCTGAAGACACTTTTCTGGAAGAACCTTAGTATGGCCTCTATGTAATGAACTCAGCAGAATAGGATAGGGAACAGGCGGACAACAGGAGGAAGATGCTGAAAATTGGAAGGAGTTCACAAACCATACAGCGAACTGAAGGGTACTTGTTCAATTGACCAACTCTAAGAGTGAGGGAGCTCACTGAATAAACCTCTTGGACACCACTGGTTGTAGCGCATACTGAACGGCCAGCAAGGCCATGCAGATCAACCCTTTGAGCTCGTCCCCTGCTAACCAGGTTTGACTGCCTCCAGCTTTTGCTGACCCAGAAGCCGCCAGCTTCTCCCTGCCCTTTCCAGATGCTTCTGGAGTTGATTGATCATGAGGCTTTCTTTGCCGGATATGGGGCGCGGCAGCCGCTGCCGCTGCTGACTCTGATCCACGTGCGTCCATCAGTTCGCACCAGAATATCTTGATGATATGGGGTCAATCGAACAAGTCAACACCGCAGTTCTGATCTTAGCTCTGATGGCTTGAGGTTGAAGAATTGCTTGCCGAGCTTAGTGTAAATCTGAAATGCTTCCTTGATTGATCCACTGAGCCCAAGAAACTCATGCAGGTGCACCTGTGATCAGGAGGATTACAAGAGTGGATGTTATGGAGCTGAAAACGTCTTACTGCTCATGATCAAATGCAACATCATCAGCACCAATCTGACAAATTCCTGCAGTTTCAATCTGATCCAAGAAAAGGAGACCCCCTAGCGAGCGCCTTCTGCAGAACTGTTCTCAGCAGTGCAGATCAACGCACTGATGTTGCGAGTACAAGCACAGCAGTTCAGAGCTGGCGCCAGCATTCTAAAAACAAATGCACCACCTTTCGACATGCTTTATACTTGCTCTGTCACTGTGGCGCTTCTCTTCACCCACTGTAAATATTTGAGGCAGTCAATAGCATATGGATAAACTTTAATAGTAATAATAAGGAACACGAGTACGGGTGGGGTTAGTTTGGTGGTTAGGGTGGGTTCGGGTTTGGAGCAGGTCATTTTGTCCTTAGGGTTTTAGTGTTGGTTAAGCCGGAAGATGGAGTACTTTCAGTACCTAAGATCCTTATTACTATTAAAGTTTATGGTTATGTCAATTTCGCTCAGTGTTTTATCGGTACCCCCCAATTCGGTTATCCAGATTAACTATGCCCGCGCCAAGAATTATTTAGCTGTCGGGACAATCTAACCGATCATGAATCAGAGGCTTCGTTAAGTGTCGGGTAGGCTGACCCGGTACCTTGCCTGGTAGACTCTGTGCGCGCTCTATGATACACGGTTGCAGTAGGATCTATGCCCCAGGGGGGTAAAGATGCAGGCCGCTCAGAGCGGGGACAAGGAGAATCGGTACCGGACGGAAGCTAAGGCTGGGGCCTGTTGGATTTGCGGTTATTTCAAACCACAGTTAGACTTCTCTGGTTCTGAAGCGTCAGATCCAGAAGGAGTGGTTATCCGACGGCTGCGATGTGCATATTGCCTGTATCTCGAGTTAAGGTTTTAAACGCATTCTATGCCGTCGGATGCTGTGTAGCTGACCTTTGAACGGCCGATAGTCGACAAGAAGAACATAGCAACCTGAGGCTGACGTCATTGTTGAGGGTTCCAACAGCCCCTAGCCTTAGCTTCCGTCCGGTACCGATTCTCCTTGTCCCCGCTCGCTCAGCTTCCCTGTTCAGCATTCTTCCACGCATGCACAATTTGGGGCGCATTCATTGTTCAGGGTGTCTCTTTTGTTCTCCTGCACTCTGCCCGGTGGCAGTGCCCGCATCTAAGCCAGGTTCAGCCAAGCATTCTCTCAATTTAGGGGGACGTTCTTAGGCTTCGATAAGCCATGCTCGCGAGTTGAAGCAGGTACACAGGTCTTCAAACCCACTTGCACTCAGTGCCACCGCGGAGCATCACGAAAAAAGGACAGCGTATCTTGGGATCCTCATTAAGATCTTTTCTCCGCCAGCTTGTAAGAACCTAAACCCGTTTCAAAGTTGTTTCTTTACAGAAATAGTGATGAGTTCAGACTTACATGGTGTCCTGGGCGTACGAAGGGGCGCAAGCAAAGATGAGATCAAGGCAGCGTACCGCAAGCTGGCGCTTCAGTGGTGAGACTAGTGTCAGCGTGCTCAGATTGCTTGCTTGATGCCTGGACTTCCCCCAATGAAAAGCGGAGCGCTGTTGATTGCATTAGTCAAACTGATCTCAAAGTTTATATCAGTGAGGTTGCCTGGTTTCTCAACAGTGTGGCCCAAAACTATTGTCTGGACAAAACACTGTACCTTGAAAAACCATCTCCATTCTAGTCCAGAGAGATCGCTCAAAAGAGCAGTCAGCATAAGCCTGGAGATGTGGCTGCCACCTTTTGTGACCAACTGGAAGGTTTGATACGACTGCAGAAACCTGATCCTAGGCCTGGATCCATCCCAAACTTCCTTTGAGGGTGATCGGCACAGGTGGACTGAGGAAGCCTCAGGTATCACAACCAAATGATTTCTGTTCCCTGCGGACAGTTCTTTCGCCCCTTCCCCATCTAGTAGGCTGAGGTACAGTACGCCTGAGGCTTGTCATTTTGTCTTTCTTTCGCTTTCTCATTGTAACCCACCTGCACTTTGTCTTCTTGTGCAGTCACCCAGATGTTAATCCAGGAAAAGTAGAGGCCTTCAAAGAAATCACCCATGCTTACGAGGTCTTGAGTAGGGGGGAAGCCCAACCGATACGCTATGTAAGACCGGGTCCAACGGTCGCAGGCAGCATGTACAGTCAAAGATACCCATCCACGTCAATTCCGGTGGCAGCTTGGGGAATAGGTCTTATTGCAGGTTGTTTGCTGTTTGGAGGGGCCATAATTATCGGGAAGTCTGAGATGTTTAGTCACAACGTTGTTAAGAACATGAGCGTCCGTCGAACAGTCGAGCCATCCCATAACATAGCTAAAAGGGAAATGATTCGCCAGATACTGTTAGAGAGGGCACAAGCGGGCAAAAGGACTCACAATGACCAAAAAGCGGAAGGTGATAGGAGTGACGGTGGTCAGGGCAACATTGACAATGATCACCGAACGTGAGGTGTGTTCGCACTGATATTTGCGTCTCGTCAAATTAGAGCTAGGTGATTGGTGTATTAATGTTGCAACGCAGATAATCTCCTCTTTCCCAAGGTCCAATTATGTATACCTGCAAGGGCGTTCAGTCATGCTTTGCAGGGTCGTACAGTTCACGTTTGAACTTGAGAAACGATAGGCAAAACACACTTCTCCTTATCCTTCCGCTAAATTGCACTGAGGCGGAGCGAAGTCAGGTTTCGGACAGGTGCCATTGCCTGCCGACGGCAGACGCTCGAACAGTCTTCTCAATCATGGACGTTCATAACTTCAGTCGGCACTGCCTGAGTTAGCAACTAGGTATCGGGTTCGACAGGTGCAGGAGGAGCTTGAAGGTGTCGACGAATAGGTCCCTAGAATTGACCGTCATCCCGGAAGGGGACTTTGGATGCAAGCAGAGGAGTCTGGACGAAAGAAATCCGGGTTTGGAAGCAGAGAAAAGTTTTGGAAGCACAAGGACCGAAATTGTCGTATCTAGAAAGAGTTTCAGACGCAAAAGAGCCAGCGGATCCCTGGCCATGGACACGTGCTTTTGGGGATGAAGAGCACAGCACCGTTGGCATACTGAGCGGTGGGCGATTTGGAAAGAGCAGCACGGCAGGAAGGAGTTGGCTTATAGAAGGAGGGCGGATCGGACTTCGGATCCTGAGAACCGTGGGCCAGCTTTTCAAGGGTCCGCGGCCGCCTTATCATCCATTGTAATTCTTAACCTAGTGATGCAAGACTGTGTACATGATCCTGCATCGAGACCCTTGCTCTTAGATTTGCAACCAGTCTGCGGCCGTCATATGCAGTAGTGACCTAGCTTTATGTCATATACTAAAGGTGTTATACCTATAACGGCCATCCTATATGTTAGCTCCGGCGTGGCCGGCCCATGCAGCCCGGCCTGCGCGTGCGAGACTAATTGACTGACACCGTTCCATGTGGCGGCCTGGTCTTCAAGAAACCATGGGTAAGTTATGCACATGCATGTCGACGGATGCATTGCATTGTGACACCATTGCGAATGTATTGAATCAGGCTATATGGCCCGGATGGAATTTGCATGTGCTGCATAGGTGTACTGAAATCCACAATCGACTGTATGCATAAATCACTGTAACTGGAACCCCCATGTACACCCAATCATTCAAACAAGCAACACACAGCTAGGCCGCTCGCCTTCTGACCCGCTGCGCTTTCAGGGGTGTGTCACAACCAGATGCCACACTCCCAAGCTCGCACATGCGGTTTCTATTCGCTGGTTGTGTGTCTGACTCGGTTCAATATGGAAAAGCAGCATGCAATCATTCTCACCAGCTGTAAGTATGACAAAGTACTTCAAGATCGCTCGCGTGCAGATCACACACACGACTTGAACTCCGCAGTTGTTTGTCAATCGGCAAGTCGTCTCCCTGTTCCTGCAAACGCTCTGAACCCCGGCCGTGCCTCTGGCTGCGGCGGTGCAGCAGCATACGGCGGCCGGTTTCCTTGTCGGCCTGCCGCAGGTGGTACAGGCCGATACTCCCCAGGTTGAAGACCCCAGCTCCGCACCATGTCGTGTCTGTCGAAGTCTCGTGTCAAGGAATATTTCACTTCACAACATTACCATCATAGACAGAGTCCCGCCTCCTATACAAGTCTCTTGGCTCCACAGCGTTTCAAACGTGGTTCCACCCACTGTGTCGAACACACGATTGGTGAGATGAAAGCACAGAAGGAGGGCGCCATTTTTGAAAGCAAGCAGAAATAATAGCACATCCTTTTGAGAGCAACCGGACGAAAACTCGGACAAGCTATCATCATGCTGCATCGAAGTCGACATTTAGACGAGAACCAGAGGGCACACAGAGCCGAACGGAGGATACACGAATTTGGGCGTCCGGAGGAGCTCTGTCCCGTTCGATAGCCGGGGGTAGACGGCCGTTAGGAAGTAGTAGGTGTGCCCCACCAGGATGCCCAGGAGCCCGGGAACAGGGCTGTTTCCGAAGATGACGTCCAGCGCCAGCATGGCCCAAGGTAAGTACAGGGCCTGTACAAACGACCCTTTCAACAGTTTGAGGAAAGTGAGCGACATTCTCGTCCTTTTTATGTGGCACAAAGCGCAGACCCCTATTGCCCTGCAACCCGAATCGGGACTGCCGGATTTGGGAGACTGAAAGCTTCACAACGTTGTTGGCTGACACAATTCTCTTAAGCCAGGTTCTGCATGGGCTTTCAAGGTTAGGTCTTGTGGTGTTGTAAGTAGGCATGCTGTGCAGAGGTGGACTACTGCTGGACAGAAGCTTGGGAAGCTGTTGCAACACATGGGACGCTATGCAGATGGTGACCTGCAATATCCGGAGAAGCTGGTCACCGATTGAATTTTCCTTTGCTTATGTCCACCGTGAGGCGGCTCGCTGACTCGAAAGGCAGTGATGATCTTTGTTGACGGTGCAAGTAAGCTTGGTAAGAAAGCTTACCTGTACCGACACCATCCCCATGATGCTGACGTTTGCTGATGTGTTTGCACGAGACCAGAGGTAGATGAGCATGAAGATGAGGGGAGGGCCGAGCAGATACAGCCCCAGGAACGGAGCCAGAAAGGACACCAGCTGCAAGAAGGCTTCGCATTTAGTCAAAACGAGTCACAGCGCAGTGAAGCAACGACAGAGAAATACTGTGAACAACACCGTACTAACCTTGTTGTAACTCAAGAATTCAATTCCTATGTCTATGTCCGGGAAAAATCTGCTTGCAAACGACGAGATTTCCAAGATAACATAAAGCCTTCGACTATAAGCTGATCAAGCACCGGGAGAAGAACAAACAGGGCAAATGACGAAGGCCTCTGCTGACTGGCTCACCAGAAGAACAGCTGCCCCGAACATCATCAGGTAAACAAAGTCGGCCGTCCTATTTTGATAGTGGTGCTTCTCTAGTTGCACCGAGTACCTCGCACTGGAACAGCAAGGTATAGTTAGGAAATGAAAGAGACATTTGATGCTTTACTGCTGTGAAGTGCAGGATAGCCGTAAAATTCCAGTCCTGATTCTGACTTGTCTTCGATGGCTTAGGAATCCTGTCAAGGAGAACACGCCTTCTGCTGATGTCCTGACGTCTTCTGATAAACATAAGATGTTCCTGGCATGAGGACTGCTTACTTACATGTACATAAGGAACATGGCGAATGGAAAGCTAAATTTCCCCAGGAAGATGAAGTTTGTGACGAGGCGCCATATCTGCAAGATGGAACTAAAGCTTCAAAACCATAGCATTCATCGAAACTCCTACGACGTGTACAGCAACTCTATCATGTAAGACTTCAGATAATCTGCCGCAAAAGCAGGAGTTTCTCTGACACGATTCTCAGAAGAAAGATCTTAGAAAAAACATTTGGAGTTGGCAGCATCATACCATCAATCAACAAAGGCTTCAATTCGCCGCACGTGTGCCAAGGTGCTGAACTCAAGGTAACTCTTCATAAAGGAAGAAAGGGGCCTCTGACGAAAGAAATTGCCAATCCCTTACTTGGAATTTCTTGAAGATAAGATCCCAGCTGAGAATCAGCGACATAGGGGACACCAGACCAAGTGCATTCGCGACGGTCGCCCCAAAGCATAGTGTGCCAAATGTTCTGCTCACTGGTGGTAGAGAGTGATACCACCTGCAAAAGGAGCTATTTGAATGAGCGCTTTAATTGAAAGACCTTAGACATCTCGCTGGTGAGAGTGACTACCAGAAAACCACATAAATTAGGTACTCGTTTTCTTTGCAGCGATACTCTCAGGCAACGAAACACTGCTAAAGACATGGTACTCTTTCTAGGTGGCAGAGAAGAGTCAGAACCATCGTCACAATTGCTCAAGCTCGGCCTTGATGCCACCAAGGTGCAGCTAAGATCTCAGCAAGTCGCCATTCAATGTTGATATAAAGGAACTTTCCAGCGCGATCAAGATGAGAACTGTCGATGTGTCGGAGAAGTGTGTCATCTTACTCTCCGGGGGTGGCCATGATGATTGTTCTTCTTGCTCCGGCGATGAAGCCCGATGCCTTCCGTTTCTGCGATTTCCTTGCTGCTATGTGCCTTCAATATACGATCCCCTTCGCTGACATCAGTAAAAGAGCCGCTACCTACCAACCTACCTTCAAGCAATCCAGGTTGCTCAAAGTTCTGAAATGGTCCATTGCAACAGATGGGCGGCGCACTTGCTCAACCACACGCGGCCGGCCGCCTCTCTCTGATGCGCGGCCGCGCGCGTGCCGCTTGGGCGGCCAGTCGGACCCGCTCCCGACCCGCTAACCTACCATGCACTGGCCTGAGCGCACCAGTCCAATTTTCCCGGTCCAATTCCACAGACAACTGCTGCAGATTTCGGGCCTCGGTTCAGTCGTCTGGCATACCATACTCCCGGCCAAATGGCAGTCTGCTGCATCATGGTGCGTACAATATGACGATCCAGATCAGGAAGCTTCGAAGCGAATTTGCGGGGGCGAACGTTGGACCTCAGATTGAGAGGTTCGAGGTTCGAGGTCGTCGGACCTGACATGAACATGCATCGCGGTTGTTTCTTCTGACGCAGACGTCTTTTCCCTTTTCACCTGAGAAGATGAGTCATCAAGCAATCAGAATGCAACTCGCGATACTAGAGTGTTCGAGAAATACCTCAGACAGTATGTCCGAAACTTTTACGGTACAATATTCATGTTGCTGAGGGGTCGAGAGTAGAAAATACTTTGCGCCTGGCAACAATTCCTGCTTTCCTGAAGTATTGTTCCGACGAGCCGACGAGCGCGCGGCACGGCGCAGGGAGTCGGAAGACCTGTTGTCAGGCATCTGTCTGCAGTCCTCGCTGACCCGGCCCCTGAGCATCATAGGTTACTTGCATCAGGAACATAAGAAGCGTTTCAAGAAAGAGCAGAGCTCCACGAGCGATTGCACAAAAGTCAGATTCGAAGCGTCGTGACGAAAGCAATTGTGCGCAGCTTCAGCAAGCCGCTTTGTTGGTCCTGGTACGCTTGTGGGCCTCTGATTCAAGCTTGAAGGTTTCTAGATCAACATCCTAGGAGGATGCCATCTCGGATTGCCTTTCAGACATTGACGCTGCTCCGCTGCACCCTCGTTGTTGAACACACGGACACTTATTCATCCATCTGTCAGACCGCTCGCTCTAACTTTGAAAGCCTTGTACTAGCCGGAGGATTTAGGCCGGGCTTGCTTCCCGTCTAGAAGCCGCAGTCTAGGACCGACATCACGACCGATTCCGCAGGTCCGATTCTTCAACAAGCAACATGGTACTCTTTGGATGCTTGCGTTCCGCTAAGTCACCCGGCGACCAGGCTTCTCTCGAAAAGCGGAAGCGCGTGCAGCTGCTTAGGGTTATGGTCGCCAATCTGGACGACCTCCGACAGCGTCTGGAGGACGACTGGAACAACTTCGCAAATGAGCTCCGTCATCGCATCCTGCCAGTCATGCGTGCACAGAATGACGGCATTGATGACGTCAGCGTGCTGCACAGCCTGGCTGACGGCATCAAGGAGCAAATGCTGACGTGGCCTGGGAAGAACGGGAGGTTTCTGAAGCAGATGGCCGCACATGCTGCTAGGATTGCAACCGAGCTGATGCTGCCGAAGGGCTGGAAAGAGAAGCAAGAGCTGTTGAATCTTTTGCAGCTGATGTATGTAAAGTTGGAGAAAGATAGGGAGGAGCCAAGTGAAGATTTGCAGACGATGCAGTCCGGGACCAGTAATGGTAAGTGAGAAGATTGCTGCACTAACATTCTGCATACAAGACCTTGAAAACAGTTTTGTCTGTGGGGCAAGTTAGCGAAATAAAACCTGCGGTTCGAAGCAGCGAGACTCTGAGTACTGCGCCGATAAGGATGTCGGTTATCAACCTTCTACTCTGAGCTACAAGGCCGTTTCTTTTCGGCTTCAAGCTAAGGAGAACAACTTGTAGAATCACAGATTTCGAGTTTTAGCCTTCATTCATTGAAACAGCCAGCTTCCGAAAACATGATTGGCTGCTTATTCGTCAAAGAGTCGACAGCGTGACGGTATTTCATATTCTGTTTCTCGTATTGATTGCTGCTGTTTCCCGTCAGGGTTCTTTGAAAGAAAGTGGTTCTAGACATAGTCAAAATTCTCCTGATCGGAAGTGGAAGGAATCCTCTACGAGGTAGGGGGCACCGTTTCTCCTGTAGTGTCGAGAAGCTACTGAGTTGGAGGCTAGCTTTGAAAGCGCTGGTTAGTATTTCTGTGGTATGAAAATTCACCGCCACCACGTGACGTGTCTCCGGTGTTTGAATGACTTCGCCTCCTCGCTCTCGAGCTAGCCTTTCCTCAGACAGCCCTGACCTGAAGTCTCCGCAGCGGCATCTAGAAAGTGTGCTCGAGACGAGTTGGCTTTCATTGCTCCATCTTCACCTCAACAACTGCTTCAGTCCATTTTGTCACCCGTTCTCAGGCGACTCCTCCAACGGGCGGGGCTACATGGAGGTCGCCCTCTTCTTCTGCTCCGTCCGCGCGCCCTCCGGCCGCCGCACGCCCGGCGACTTCTTCGGGAAAGCGCGCGCGCACGCGCCCTCCACGGGCTTCGTCCGCGTCTCCCTCCCCGACTTCGACGACGTCGCATCAAACGGCCCGGACCTGCCCTTCTTGTGGCGCTCGTATCGAAAGCGGCCAACCGGGAACACGAGCAAGAGCATCGAGATCGAGAGCTGCCTCGTGATGGACGTGGCGCACCTGGTCGGGCGGAACGGCGACCCCCGGGAGGCAATCGTTTACGTGCATGGTAGCTTTTATCTGTCTCATTTCTCGATTTAAAACGCGTCCATTTTGTGCAAGGTGCTAAGTAATCGTATCAAATGTCTCTAGCTTTTCCAGATCCGCTCTCTGACTGTTCGTTTCCGTGCCTTCTTTCTGCGGCTGACTGACTGGTCTCCTTTATTTTGACCATCGGCTATTGCTCGAGAGTCTTTCAATTCACGGATCATCGGTCATTTCTATTCCCACAATTGGTCTTCGTTTTGGTACAGGTTTTAACTGCCGCTTCGCAACGGCGGCCAAGTACATGGCGCTGTACGCATACAAACTGCGGCGGGACGTTCCCATCTTTATCTTCAGCTGGCCCTCGTTCAAGGTACGACGTGGCAAATCAGATTATTATCCGAGTTTTCAAGTCTATCTGGTTTTGCAGGTCGAGTATTGTTCGGGCCCACTTGGTTGTTGCCACCACGTCACAGTCGTGGCGTTACGGTCTCGCTTCCGTTCATGCAGACGTAGTGTTTCCGATGGGAGGCCTTGTCAAAGAAGGAATCTCAATCCAAACCAGGGGCTGAAGACCTGAAGACCAATGAGATAAAGAGCTCTCATTTCTGTGAGTGGAAAATTATTTTCCGCTCCAAATCTGACGAGGCCGAGATAATACGAGCTTTTTACAGGCTGATGACATCCGTCTCGGTGAAGTGAACCATCAAGAGTACTTGAAAAACGCAATGCACGTCCAAAGATAACCCCTCAAACTTGCCCGTCGGTCCTTCTTCACTTCGCAGTCGGTCGACCTGTACGAAGGGGACCAAGCCAACGCCACGTGGTCCGTGCGTCACTTCGCCAGCTTCCTCGAGCGCATGATGACGTCATACCGGCTGGACAAAGTGCACGTGTTCGCGCACAGCATGGGCAGTCAGGTGGCAATCAACGGCCTCCTGCGACTGACCGGTTGGAGGGCCCCGAGGGGCGCCGCGCGGCTGGGGCAGCTGGTGCTGGCCGCCCCGGACTTTGACACAGGGGAGTTCTTCGAAGCGCAAGCTGACTTGGAGAACCTGGTAAGAACAGATCCTCACCTGCCCATCTACCATTTGATTCAAGTGACGCACTCGGTTCTTTCATTTTTGTCTCCGACGCTGGAGTTTTCAAGCGTTCGGAGGCCGATTTGTAAGAGGTGGTGCAGGACGGGGTCCTGAGTTTCCATCTCTCTTCGGGGACCGAAAATTCCAGGAAAAAACTTGTCTCCTGGGCTCCCCAGCTTCTGAGCCGTTCAAATCTGTCTCTTTGCCTTGTGAGCTGGTGAGCGAATGGTCCTTAACGTCAGCCGTCCGTTTGGTTCTTCTCGAAACAGATGTGTCGGCCTGAGAGACAGGGCAGAGCTGTGACAATACCTCTGTTTTACCGACCCTTGCGTCACCTTCTGCTCAGCGTACGGAGCATCGCGAGAAGGAATCCAGCCGGTCCTATTCAGATCGGATTGCCGGAAGAATATTGTTTCGAGAATGGTCTGTTGGAGATTGAAGACCCGTTTCGACATCATTCCTTGACCTCGAATGCAGCGTTTCTGTCAAGCCGTCTACATGAACATTGGATCTGCGAGATGAAGTCCCTCTTTCTGGACCTCATTCTGACAAGCTTGAGACAGCAAATTCTTACACTATATCGGGACGCGAACATGCAACGAATCATTTGTTTTAGACCTCTCATGATTCGTTCGTCAGCTTTTCCGACCGCAGGTCGATCGAGTATCCGTCTACTGCTCGGCCAACGACAAAGCGCTGCGCATGTCGGAGCGCTTGCACGGGGAGCTTCCCCGACTGGGCCATTTCCGGATTGGCTCCCTTCTTTCTGAGAGCCGCCACGTGGCGCTCTCTGACAAGGTCGACGTCATCGACGCCAGCGGCTTCGACAAGAGCGTGGTCGGGCACGCCTACGCGTTCACCAGCACTGACGTCATCGAGGACGTTCTGAGGGTTTTGAGGGACGGGGTTACGGCGACGGCGCGGCCGGCCCTGCGCGCGGCGCGCACGGACAAACGCTTTTATTTCTGGCGGTTGGTGGGGTCCGGGAAGAAAGAGCCCAAGAAGGGGGAGGAAGAAATCGTGGAGTCGCAGCTTGGTGAAGGGATGGATGCGGAGGGGGATCCCGTATAGTTTGAAACATACAGCGTGCTCGACACGATCGCTCATGTCTTCTTCTGAGGTCGAAGCTGTGTCGAAGAGCTTCTTTTAAGGCACGCAGTTGACGCTACAAAAGGGCTTGCAGGGAGATGGATTCAAGGGCCAGGACCGCTTTCCAGTTGGCAGGCTGAGTTTCCAGATGCAACTTGCCCATTTCAGTATTGGCGTCCTGGGTATGGGGCTCTATCTTGTCCAAAGACTGTACTTATTAGGACATGTATCTTCGACAAGCACAAATTCAGTCCGCTTACGGTTGGCCTGGTGACTTGGAGAAGTTTACTTGGATAAAAGGCTCAACTGATTGCCGGCTACCATTGTCATGTGCCAAACAGGCGTCAGCATACATGCATCTGTGATAAGTTCAAACGACGGTAACTGTACGCAATCTTACATGCGTACGTACTGCCCTATGACATACTACTGAAAATGGATAAGTGCGAAGTTAACCGCCACGCAATCAACGAGCTCTCGTCGTGCTCTTTTTAATCTGAGATAGCTACGACTCCAAGATTCGAGGGAACCAATGATCATCGAGTCTGTGGGCCTAAAGTGAGCGTGATGATGGTTTCTAAGCGGTTTTTCCTGCAATCCGTGCAAGACTCATCATGGTACTGACGGTAGGCATGCAGTCTAGGCCAATCAAATCAGAGAGAAGGAGCAGATTACGTACGTGCCGCCGATATATGAATAACTCATTAGCCAATGATCGTTCCCCTAAATTTCCCGGCGGGCCGTCCTTGCAAAATAATTGCATAAGCGCACATAGGTGCATGTGCTGCTTCGATCCGACGACACCGAAAGATTTATTCGATGCAGCTTCAATGGACAAACAGGTTTCAACTTACAACGTTTCGACCGGCCTGGCAATGTCTCAGCGAGATGCTCGGGTTGGGGATCAACCGCTGCAAGTTCACTGCACCGTCTACTCAAGAGCTTCCTTCCATGACCCTCCAAGCCACAAAGCTTCCAGATCTTCTTGGAACCGCACATGTGTCCTTCGTGATACATACTTATTCTCTGCAAAATGCGCACGATCGAGGAAGCAATGACTTCGGTTGTCCACTTTGCATTCGCAGCCAAGTGTCTCCTTGCTTAATCCGATCACCGCAGTTACTATAGCTACTCACGGTACTGGACCGCGTTACTCTAAGCGTTTGCCACTTTCAGCCTCTCATATCATATCTACTATATGCGCTATGAAATGGTTTACAGCCTATCTTCACGAGAACGTGCTCATCTGTACCTATGCCACCGCTGCAACAAAAGTACGCGTTCGAACTCTCTTCTCACACCTCGTAACCCGGAAACTTCGCATTTTCCGGATCCGCCAAGTCCAGATACAGACACGCGGTCCCCGCCAAACCCTCAAACAGCGACCACGGACGGTCGCCCCCGTGCATGTCGCCCGCCGCAATCAGGGCGTCCGCGTCCTCGTACAAGAAGCGTCCGAAAGCGCACGCGCGCTGAAGGTGCTTCGACTCGCCCGTCAGCTTATAGAGCGCGAGAAAGACGTACGCGTTTCCGGCGACGCCGTGGCAGAGGCCGACCTTGCGGAGGAGGCCGCGCTGCCAGACGACCTCTCCGGCCTCGAGAGCGGCCTGCACATGACAATCATTGCGCAAATCAAAACTAGAGTTACGTATCTTTTCCCCTCCATGTTCAGATTTGTTGAGAACGCGTGGCCCAGCGCCATCTGCCGTATGACAGGAAGCTTCGCTGCCAGACGGATTCTCCGGCCATCAAAGCGGGCCTGCAATCGAGACACGGGGACATTGATTGGAGCTCGTCACCGTCTTGGACAGATGATCGTCAACGGTAGTTCCTGGAGCGAGTGGAACGAAGAAAAGCGGCTTAACGTCGTACAAAAGCGCAAACTGATCCACGGAAGCCCCGGAAGAAGAGAAGCTGATTCTGCGTTGAGCATCTCAACGTAGACATAGACGAACATTTGTCAACGGTCCTACGCAGACGACTGCCGCAGACTCTTATAATGCATATTGAGAGGTCAACAGGCGATTCAGACGTAGTGGCACTTTTCCGACCATCCCCTAGACAGAAGCAGACGTGTATAATGAGCCCACCTGTCCGAAAGGACGTCAGCCTCCTCTCATCGTCGCGCACAGCATCAATGCCACAGATGCTTGCTCCGTCACTCAGAGAAACGACTCCCATGATTCGAGCCACCCAGTCTGCCGCCGTCTTCTAACCCACTGATGAATGGGAAGAGCTTGCCGTCTTCGTCTGAGAACCGCCGTGTTGCGGTGCAGAGCGTAAGCGCCCTGCCCATTTCTTTGGCCCAATGAAACAGGTCAAATAATCGCGACTGCTACCTCGATGTTGCTCAGACAGACATGTTTGGAAACAAGCTCAGTTACTCAATTGTTAAGAATGAGCAATCAAGCCTACCTGCAAGAACACTTTGCCGTCTTCGTCGTTTCGGAACCGCCGCGCGGCGGTGCAGAGGGTGAGCGCCACCCCCGCCGCCCCGTGGCACCATTGGACGCGGACGTCCGACGTTTCGCCGACGACGGTCGGGTAGTTCCCGCTTGGCAAGCGCGTCCGGAGCAGCTGGTGGAGCGTCTTGCGGACGTCGGAGAGATCCGTATCAGACAGGGGGAAGTGCAGTAGAACCTGCAAGAGCAGAAGAATGTTGTCATGAACCGAAGCGTTAAACTGCCTTCTCTCTTGCAAGCGTTGAAAAGGTCCGCATCGGACAGGAGCAAGAGCAGTAGAACCTGCACAATCAGCATAAGTTGTCGTCAAGTTGTCGTCAGCTACAGGCAGTCCGGAGTTGCCAAAGTCTAATGAGGTGCTGGCAAACAATCCAGGAGATTGGTCGGGAGGTAAGCGCGTCAGAATCAGCTGGTGGAGCGTCTTGCGGACGTCGGAGAGGTTCGATTCGGACAGGGGGAAGTGCAGTAGAACCTGCGAGAGCAGAAGAATGTTGCCTTTGACCAAAGTGTAAAACTGCCTCAGGCAGAAGAATGTTGCCGTTAACCGAAGTGTAAAAGTGCCTTTTGCTGGCGAAGCCTCTTGCGGACGTTGGAAAGATCCGAGTCGGACAGGGGGAAGTGTAGTAGGACTTGCAAGAGCAGTGAAAAGCTGGTGTCAAAAGCAGGAACTCCGGCAATTTGCGGGTCCGGAGCAGCTGGTGGAGCTTTTTGCGGACGTTGGAAAGGTCCGTATCGGACAGGTGAAGTGCAGTAGAACCTGCAAGAGCAGAAGAATGTTGCCGTTGACCGAAGTGAAAACTGCCTTTTGCTGGCGAAGCGTCTTGCGGGCGTTGTAAAGATCCGAACCGGACAGAGGGCAATGCAGCAGAACCTGCAAGAGAATCAAAAGCTGCTGTCAACTTGAGGAGTTCCGGCACTTTGCGGGTCCGGCTCAGCTGGTGGAGCATCTTGCGGACGTCGGAGAGGTCCGAATTGGTCTGGGGGCAGTGCAGTAGAACCTGCACGAGCAGTAAAAGGCTGCTGTCAACTGGAGGTAAGTCCGGCAGATTGCGGGTCCGGCTCAGCTGGTGGAGCGTCTTGCGGACGTCGACGTCCGAGTCGGACAGAAGAAGGTGCATGAGAAATCTGCACAAGCTGGCCGTCAGCTGCTGTCAGTCTGAATTTGCTCGAAGTTCGGAAGAGGAGCTGACGAGGGATCTGGCAACTTCGTGTGGCGACGACTTTGACAAAGACAAGGATCATTGACGAGCCAAAGCAGCGGCTGAGTCGAGGTCTTTCAGACATCCAAGAGTGCCTCGTCATTATCAGGAGAATGCAGCAGGACCCGTTCAGAGGACGCGACGATAAAAATCTGGGTCGCACCAATGATGCCGAAGGCCTCCGGACACGGTCTTGTAGAATCTTTTGTCTTAATCGAACCAGTGACAAACGGGGAGGAAAGCGTCCGGATCCGGAGAGACTAGGCTCCGTAAGTGGATCGGCAGGTGGAGTGTTTTCGGGATGTCCAACAATGCTTTGTCAGACCTCGCAAAAATGCATCACGATCTGAACAGAGGACCTCAAGCAATGTGCCATTCAGATTATCAATGATCCTGAAGGACAATGCACGGGGTTTAGCGGAATTTGATGGAGTAGATTAGCGGGGTGCAAACGGAAAATCATTCAGGCGGACCATATTAATTGTGTGTCTGATCAGCTCGTAAGGGCTCCCAAGATGTCCGGGAGCTCCTTGGCAGACAGCAAAAGCGCAGTTTGGGAAGGGAAAGTCAGAAAGATAAAACAAAGGAAGTCGGAAGACTCTGCTAGCCGACCAAGCGAGAAGACAGCTGTCAAAAGGCTGTCGTCTACTTGTCAATCTTATTCAGAAAATCCAATCAGTAGTAAGATTGCCTCAGAACCAGGCTCTTTGGCTTGATAGGACATCCTCGTATTAGTAAAGATGACATTCCTGGGCCAGTATGCACACTACAGTAGCGCATGGTTTTCTGGGAGCAGCAAGAAAATATTATCCAAGAATCAAACGAGAAGGCTAGAGGAAGGGGGTAAAGGGAGATGGAACAAGTGCTCCAAGTCAGCACCCCACAACAATTGGAGTGTAGTTACTGAAAAGATTGCATTTTGTTTGCCCAAGGGCCTAGCTCAAATGCTGATATTGTTAAAACGGGAAATTTTAGCTAGCTGCAAAGGAGACCACGAATAGCGACAATTTCTCAACCCACGATAACATCCTGAAATCAAGCAACGTGCTCTTCGCTCTTCAAAAACTTAAGCAGCATCGTCGAACAGTAGACCAGCGGCACTCACATGCATGATCCCAGCCACGCCGTGTGCCGCGCCCAGGTAGCGCTTCCCATGCCACTTGTACATCAGAGGCCACTCGGAGCCCCTCGCGCATGCCCTCCCGTCCGCCAGAATGCTTGACACTATTGGTTGAGTCACACTCTCTGGAATGGTTCCTTGCCCTAGGTGAGTGTTAAGGAACAGGGCGGACCATAGGAAGCCCGCTCTGCCATACAGCAGCTCGTCTGGGGGGTCGGAGTTGCACAGCAGGGACGGCGTTGCGAGGTTGGGCATGTGTCCAGCCTGCAAGCAAGGGAATATTTTATGTCACGGCTGGAATACATGAGATTCCTTCTGCTTGCACAGATTTGTCAGGACGACATAGACATTGCAGAGGCTTTGAGTTGAATCAATAGTTTGTAATTCTTGTAATTGTCATGCACCAATACGCCTCCAAATGAATCGGCCGCATGAGATGCAGGCACCCTCCAAACCACCGTGACTGCATGTTCTGTCGTCCGTGCTGGCTGCTCACGAGTATTCTGAAACGGCTTGAAGTACGGGCTGCGCTTGCATTTCAGATTGCATGACGTCTTCAAGCACGCATGCTTCTCTCAAGAACCTGAGCACATATATCGTAGATGTACCTAGTGAAGAACATCTTCAGCCCTCAAGTATATAATGGCCAAGAGATAGTCATGTTTCCGTAGTGACGATGAAGGTGGTGGTTGAAGAAGTGTACACCTTCCCCGTCTCTTGTAATTGAGATTACTCATGCCACAACTCACCTGCAGAAGCATCCTGAGGTAGACGTTCTGAGCGTCTCGCTTGCCCGCATGGAACGCCGCCACCGCGCCGAGCGCATATACCCCCGGCTGCCCCAGCAGGAACGACGGGTGCTCTCTGATCATCCCCGCCACTTTGGCGCACTCCTCAACAATCTCCATACACGTCTCTAAATCGTTCGGGTGTGTGGCCGCAAGCGTCGATTTGAGCAGCAGAAAGGCTGTTCCCCCGCTGCCAGTGTACACATAAGGGTCTCTGACGCGTCCCGCGTCCCCGTGCGCTCCAGTCCAGGTTTCGGAGACGATCCTGTCGATGAGCGCACATGCATGCTTCGTGAATGCTCTCCGGGCCAGAACGTCCAGTGCTGCGGATGCATAGCGGTTGAGCAGAGAGGTGCTGAAGTGACGAAAATCGCCCGCCATGGCGCTTTTATGGCGACTGCATCTCTCCTTCTCAGCCACTGATCGATGATGCTGAATACAGACCTGAGATGTAGCCTTGTAGGCTCTGAGCATCGCTGCCTCCCCCTGCATTTCAATGTTTTGAACCATGTTTGCTTTTGCAGGGCCCGTGTTTGAAGGGGTCCCCCTCAAAAGCATGCAGCCTGCGTGCCGACGATTTGGATGCGGAATTTTGAAATTTCATGAGGGTCACGAACTCATGAAAACCAAATTCGATCACCCGGTGTCAAACCCGGTTGATCTATCAAGCTAACCGACTGCTATGACACCCGCAAGAACTGGTTAAACATCCCGGTAGCTAAGCTCGGAACTTCGCTCCACGCTTCCGGCAACCTTGGTTCCCGTCGGCGTCGATGGTTTCTTTCCCTGGCGAAGTCCACTAAGCTTAGTGCAGTGTTCAGCCACATCGACAATATTCTTTTCCGTGGTCGAATGAAGCCTCGGAGTCAGGGGCGAGGGAGGAGCAGCAAGGAAGCGCAATGCGCAGTTCTACGGAATGTTCTTTCTTGACAGCAGCGAACCACCGATACAGTACTTACAATGTGTTGGCAATTGAACCGAGTCCAACCGAGTCCTGTTGACATCAGATCTTCTTGCTGTTTTTGGTGCGCCGGCCTGTAGAGTGTAGTTGCTGCAGATGCTGACAAGATGAGGTCCTTTATTTTCTGTACTTTCCTTTGTGGTCGGGTTGTGGTCATTTAGTTCATTGCTAAGTGGTCATCAGGGCAAAGCATAGAAACATTTACCAGGAAGAGTTAGAGAAATGGCATCTACTGTCAGAGCTCCCTCAGCACTCCCTTCATCACCAATGGCTGCATCAGCACAGGCATCACCACGGTCTCGCATTGTTCCCAGGGGTTTCCATATACCTCCCCCTTACAGCTGCACTGTAGTGGGTTTGAGCAATCGAAGTTGCAACTGTACTGCAGTGGAAATGTGGAGAGAGAACGCTGAAAGGAGGTCAGAACTCGGGGGCCGCGGCAGTCAGCACATGATGCAAAAGCATGGAGTTACTGCCATAGGCTTAGCGACGGCCAAGGGAACAGCACAAAGGCAGATTGCGATTCGAAGGAGGCCACGTGTGGTTACGGTCGTGCAAGCATTGATGCAGGTACAATCATTTGGAGATCAATCCCTCATTTGCTAGAAAATCAATATGCATTCTGTGATTCGCTCAGAATTGACCATTTCATTGAGGTCCGAATCAATCTAAGAATGAATCTTCCTTGACAAGAAACGGCACATTCGATGTGTGCCCCTTCATTTTGCCAGGCCTAGAGACGGTGTCCTTGATACTTATGCTTGTACTGATTCAGTTACGAATTGTTACAAGGTGTGCTGACGTTCAAGTTGCTTTTGTTTGATCAAGCATGGTCTTTGAGAAGGTTCAACTAAGAATGGCTGCAAATCGGTTGGACCTCATCATGGATTACAACACTGATCGATCTACTGGAAGCCCTCACCATGAGTTTTTTTTATTGCAGCCGGTTTTTGAGAAAGATACTCAAGACCGCGGCCGCCAGACCTTCGAGCTGAAGGTGTGTCCACCGTTCTATATGATACATCTTTTCAGATTCTGTACTTGACTTCAAATTCAAGCAGGTAGTAGGTAACAGGCTGAAGTTAATCTGAGCAGATGAATAAGGCTGGCATGATCAAAGTTGCAGTGTCATTCACATTTGCTGATACTCTGCCATACTTATCCAAGTTGCAGGTCTTGGACGACTTCCCGGTTCTGCATGTTGCAACAACTCTGGACCAACTCTTGAAGGAGTACGACCTGTCACTAGATCCACGCTCTCTCAGTCAAACTTGCCTCGACGTAAGTGCAATCTTAAGTGCTACTACGAGTGTTTGTCAATTCTTAAAACAAGAACCAACTGTTGCAAAAAGTCTGTTCTAAGCTCTGTAAAAATGTCTTCAGCATGATGCCACTGGTGTCGTCACATGAGGATGGAAAGTGACATGCGGAAGCTCACCCGTTCCAATGCAAAGTCAGGTATTCCCTTGGGTTTGCAGGTGCAAAAAGTTGCGGTTGCAGATGGATACCCAATCTGCGAGGTCGGATACATGGCCAACGCATTGGAGGGCGCAGGAGTACCAGAGGGGCTGGCCCTGCTAATGGCAGTAGAGATTGCGGATGCGTTTTCATCGTTTACAGGGGACTGCCATGATCCGGGGGTGGTGCTTTTGGGACGGGAAGGTGCTTCATTTCCATCCATCAAAAAGGTGGGAATCTTGGTACTTTGGAATTATGAGGTTTCTTCTAGTTACTGCTTAGCATACATCTCACACATGGAACCTGTAAGAAGGTCCTCACCGTTGGAAAGCATTCTGCAAATTTGTGTTGCAGCTGTTCTTCCCTCTCGTCGCGACACTGTGATTGGTGTTGTTGATGAATTGCTAATCTGATTCTTTTACAGGGCGTGCTACTGTGGGGCAGTCTTCTCGCTGCTGTGTCAGCAGTGCTCATCTTCCATGTAAGTCCAATGAAAGTCGAGCAGACTTTGGTTGAGTAGCTCTAATGATCGTGCACAAAAAAACCTCGCGAATCAGGTCGCACAAATCGATCTTGTGTACTTGCAATATGAGTTGCTTGCGCAAGTTGGTGCAAGTATGCGACAAGCTGAGACTTAGACGAGCAAAACCGTTTGTTACTAGATACGTATTTCTCACGAGCAGATGTTGTCTTTTGTTTTGCAGGGCTCGTCTAGCCCTGGTGCAAGTGGCTTCGGCTTGCTACCTCTTGCTCACAGGGACCTCTTCCTTCCATCTATGCTCCAGCTTCTGGTGAGTGTCTCTATCTTACTCGAAGTTGCGGCTTTCCATTACCTTGTGTTCTTTTCCTACGGCGAAGTGCATCTGTCTTCTCAGGTTGGTTCGACACCGTTTTGATTCCCGAATCCAAGGTCCTGAAAGGCCAATTTATTGCAGATTCTGGACAGATATGGCCTGAGCTACAAAGAGATTGTCACTCAGCACAACATCCATCAGATCGCCAAGATCTCAGAAACTCTTCGGAAAGCCTTGTCGGGCCCAAAGATGCAAAGGGTGTTGAACGGCATGTTGCGGGACGGATTTTGGAGCAAACTGAGCAACTCAGCAAGCCCGAGCAGAAGACAGATATTCATCGCTTTGGACAAGCACGTGCAAGCTGGTCTTCTGCAGCTTGGTCAAAGCAGTGTCCCGCAAGTCCAACATAGAGCAGGCGATCCTCCTGAGCAGACAGCAGCGAAGTTCTTGGCGGCAGCGTTCTTGCACCCTTCCAATGCAGTCTTTACAAGCAACCTGAGAAACATGTTCCGCAATCTAGCCACTTGTAACTGGACGGCGCCACAGGAACGCTTTCTGCTGAGTGCGTACTTACAAGCGCTGCGAAACCCAATCTGTCATGCCACGGCGGAAGAGGGGACCGTTGAACACTTGCGATTCTCTGCCGTCGTCAAAATGCTTTTCCAGAAACCAGGCCCAACCAGCGAGCTCGGAGAAAAACTGATCAAATTCTGAGATCGACATTTTCCAAATACAGTAAGGTTCTAGCATTTCTCGCATAAATGGATACTTGATATGCTTTCTTCAAGGCTTCAATAAATATTCATTGCTCCATCTCTTCCAGGCCGACTCCGGATGCCATGAGATATATGCACTTGTACCTGCTCTCCTTCTGCGACAATCGTTTGATACCCTTGGTGATTGCAGGTTGACTTATGTTGCTGAAGACGGTCACCGCATGCAGTAACGCTCGAGGGAACACAAATCGGAGCTGCGGAAGTCTGTAGGATGGTCGTTGAAAGTGAAGTGGCCACGTCGCGATGCGCCGCAAGATATTGTTTCTATTTCTCGTGAGAATCGTTCAATTCTTATATGTTGTACATAGTTGTCATCTTGTCAATCTGGAGTCCTTGGGTCTAGGGGCTGTGTAGACTTCGGAAAGACCTTGATCATTTTTGGCTGTGTACAAAGTTAATTGACATCTACAGCCATTTGGATAAGTTTCCTTTGAGCAATATAGCACTTCGAAGATGCAGTAAGTCAATGTTGAGGCAGTGGGCGACATATGTGGTGTCATCATTGCAAACACTTTGCGATTGACTCGCTACAGTTGTGTAGATGTGTTAGAGTGCCGGCCGCCCTTATTACTTTCCACCAAGCGGCTCGTTGTTGAGAGCATTGCACATGCGCACGTACGATAGGCTCAGTGAGCGGATCGACGCATTCCAGTTTTAGGCCATGCGGGCTGCATCGATACTACAAATATAATCTGCAATTATCCAATTGCAAACTCTCATGATGATTCTGAATTGTAGACTGATTGCAGTCAACCGTGCAGTGATTGGGTTGCGAATCCACCCCGCTCTATGCGCAGCTAGATGACCAACTGAGCTGCACCAGACGGTGCTTCGAACCTCTCAATATTGAGCTTCCATACATCATATGACCATATATACATACCCATCCAAGCCATACAGCTTCTATACAAAGTCTTATGGTTGACACCGTGCATGTGTTGTTAAGAAAACATAGATACTCTCTGCCAAGTGCGCACGAGGAAGCAAAGGCTTCTGAATTGTAGCGAACAATTCGGGGGGCGCCAAGTACGGTGGTCATTCTTCTTGCACTCGTTCCGAAAATTAAGCGCAGCTACTATAGCTGCTCATGGTACTGGATCGTGTTAGCCAACGCTTTTGGCACTTTCAGCCTCTCATTTATATAATTACCTTGCCGCGCTACACAACCATGAACAGCCTACTCTTCAAAGAACGTGCTCATCTGTACCTTTGCCACCGTTGCAACAAAGATACACACTCGAACTCCTATCTCACACCGAGTCGTAGCCCGGAAACTTTGCGTTTTGGGGGTTCGTCAGATCTAGGTACAGACACGGAGTCCCCGCCAGACCCTCGAACAATGACCACTGACGGTCGCCCCCGTGCATTTCGCCCGCCTCGATCAGGGCGTCCGCTTCCTCAGACCGGAAGCGTCCGAATGCGTGCGCGCGCTGGAGGTGCTTCGCGTCGCCCGTCAGCTTGTAGAGCGCGAGGAAGACGTACGCGTTTCCGGCGACGCCGTGGCACAGGCCGACCTTGCGGAGGAGGCCGCGCTGCCAGACGACCTCTCCGGCCTCTGTTGCGGCCTGCACCCGAGAAAAGGTGTGATGTGAGACAAAACCGACGTCTCTCTCTCCAGTATCAAGGAGCTTTGAGAAAAGGCGTGACCCAGCGCTATAACTCGCGAACTGACAGGAGGCTGCCAGACGATTCCCCGGGCCATCACAACGGCCCGCAACCGAGAGACGTCGGCCTTAGCGGTCGGAGCTCACGGCACCGGGCGAGGCCGAAAGATGTTCGACAACAATTCCTGGACCGACTGTGCCGCAGTCAGAACTCATTCTTCAATCCACCTGCAAGAACGCCTTGCCGTCTTCGTTGTTCCGGAGCCGCCGCTCAGCGGTACAAAGCGCGAGCGCGATGAAGAACATGATCGCAGCTGCCAGCTCGATGTTGCTTGAACAGACATGTCCAAAAGGAGCCTGGTTATAAAAGAATCAAGATTGAGGCGTCAATCTTACCTGCAAGAACACCTTGCCGTCTTCGTCGTTTCGAAACCGCCGCGCGGCAGTGCACAGCGTGAGCGCCACCCCCGCCGCCCCGTGGCACCACTGAACGCGGACGTCCGCGTGTCCCCGACGACGGTCGGGTAGTTCCCGCTCGGCAAGCTCGTCCGGAGCAGCTGGTGGAGCGTCTTGCGGACGTCAGAGAGGTCCGTATCGGACAGGGGGAAGTGCAGTAGAATCTGCGAGACAGAACATTTTGCCGTCAACGGAACTTTTAAATGGCCTTCTTCTTGCGAAGCCTCTTGCGGGCGTTGGAAAGATCCGAATCGGACAGGGGAAAGTGCATCAGGACCCGCAAGAGCAGTGCAAAGCTGCTGTCAAGTGGAAGAACTCCGGCAGTTTGCGGGTCCTGCCCAGCTGGTGAAGCATCTTGCGGACGTTGAAGAGGTCCCAATCGGACAGGGGGAAGTGCAGTAAAACCTGCATGAGCAGCAAAATGTTGCTGTCCAGCGGCAGGAAATCTGAGGATCGCTGGAAGTCTGGAGGTAGGTTCTGGCGAAACGCAAGTTGAGAAGACTTGTACATGGGGAAAAGCCAACCGAGTCCAAGCAGCGGCTGGAACGTCCTCAGCATGTCCAACAATGTCTCGTCAAGAATGGGAACGAGCAGCAGAGTCTTGCGGAGGACGCAGTGAAAAGATATCTGGGCCGTACAATTCATGATGCCGAGAAGCGTTGAACGGGCTCTGGTGATGTTCGTTATGCGGGGTCTAGTTTGTGTCTTGGTTCAGCAGCTTGGATTGTTGTCTAGATGTTCGGCAATGATTTGTCAGACTGGCAAGAAAGGATCATAACTTGTACAGAGGGACATTTCGTTGGACTCGTCCATGAATCCAAAGACAATGCACAAGTTTTAACGGATATCAATGAACCAAGAAGAAGGGTGCAAAGGAAGGGGCTTCCAAGCGGACTAGTTTTCAGGCCCGATCAGCTCATACAACTTATTATTAAGATGTTAAACATGTCCTCGGCCGACAGCATTCAGCACAGATGAAGATGAAGGGAAAGTCAAAAAGTTGAAAACGAACGAAGTTAAACACCCCAAATTTTGTTAGCGGATCAAACGAGAAGACAGCTATCAAAAGGCGTTCGTCTACTTGTCAGTCTGTCACACACATCATCAAGGTGAAAACAGTATTGCCCCTCCACTGGAACCAGGCTCTAGCTCAAAGGAATCCTGTATCTACAACTGACAGAGCGGGGGCAAGAAGAATTTCTGGTCCGGGGCCGGGGACGCTGTTGGAAGGCATGACGTTGCGAGGTTTAGGTCTTTGACCGGGGCCTCCTCATCATGATTGGCTGAAAGGAGCCTAGCCCAGGGTTTTGGCCCTAAACCTCGCCACGTCACACCTTCTAACAGCGCCCCCGGCCCCGGTCCTGAAATTACTGATTCTCCTTGACCCCGCTCTGACATTTCCGGACCAGTATGCAGATAACTGTAGCACAAGATTCTTGTCACAAGATTCTGCGGAAACCAAGAAACCTAGCATTCAAGAATTTGACGAGAAGGCTAGGCGTGGGCAGCTAAGGGGGAGAGGACAAATGCTCTTAGTTGGTAACCCACAAAAAAAAGAATCTATCTCTTAAGAAGATCAACAAATGAATCAACATGCCCAAGTTGGCGGTTGCTGCTATCACATGAAACTTGGAGGCGCAGTCAGCCGCACTTGAGACGCCGTATCCTCAATTAAAAGACAATCTCTCAGCTCACAATAACATCCCTAAATCAAGAATCGTGCGTTTCGGTCTTGACACACTGCTTAAGCAGATCAACAAAACAGAAAACCAACGGCACTCACATGCATAACCCCAGCCACGCCGTGTGCCGCCCCCAGGTAGCGCTTCCCATGCCATTCATACATCAGGGGCCATTGGGAGCCCCTCGCGCATGCCCTCCCGTCCGCCAGGATGGTTGACACTATTGGTTGAGTCACACTCTCTGGAATGATTCCTTGCCCTAAGTGAGTGTTAAGAAACAGGGCAGACCACAGGAAGCCCGCCCTGCCGTACAGCAGCTCGTTGGGGGGATCGGAGTTGCATTGTAGGGACGGCGTCGCAAGGTTGGGCATGTGTCCAGCCTGCAAGCAAGGGGCTAATCTATGTCAAGGCTGAAATACATAAAATTGCTTCTGCTTGCACAGACTGGTCAGGACGACATAGACATTGCAGAGGCTCTGAGTTGGATTAATGCTTGGTATCTTTGGTGATTGTCATGCACCAATACGCCGCCGAAAGAATCGGGCGCCTTAGATGCAGACACCCTCTGAAGTACATGACTGCATGTTCTATCATCCATGCTGGTCACTCATGAGTACCTATTCTGGAACAGCTTGAAGTACGGACTGCGCTTGCAATTAGAGGGTTGCATGACGTCTCTAAGAGTACTTGCTTCTCTCAAGGGAGAAGCAAGTATATCACAAACCTGTTGATCAATTGGAAATCTTCAGCCCTCAACTATTTACGGGCCAAGAGGTAGTCATGCTTCACTAGTGACGATGAAGGTGGTGGTTGGATGGGTGTAAACTTTCCCCGTCTCATGCAATTGAGATCACTCATGCCGCAACTCACCTGCAGGAACATCCTGAGGTAGACATTCTGAGCGTCTCGCTTGCCCGCATGGAATGCCGCCACTGCACCGAGCGCATACACCCCTGGCTGCCCCAGCAGGAACGACGGGTGCTCTCTCATCATCCCCGCCACTTTGGCGCACTCCTCAACGATCTCCATACATGTCTCTAGATTATTTGGATGCGTGGCTGCAAGCGTCAATTTGAGCAGCAGAAAGGCTGTTCCTCCGCTGCCAGTGTACACATAAGGGTCTCTTACACGTCCCGCGGCCCCTCGGGGTTCAATCCATGTTTCAGAGATGATCCTGTCGATGAGAGCACATGCATGCTTTGTGAATGCTCTCTGGGCCGCCTCATCCAGTGTTGCGGAAGCGTAGCGATTCAGCAAGGAGGTGCTGAAGTGACGAGATTCGCCTGCCATGGCGCTGTCATTGAGATTGCATTTCTCCTTTTGAGCCAATGAAGCCAATTGACTTTCACTGTCAAAGTAGCCAGGCTTGCCTCCTCCTGCATTTGAACATGCATGCTTTTGCAGGGCTCGTGTTCGAAGGGGTCCCCCTCAAAGCATGCAGCCTGCTTGCCGTCGATTCGGATACAGGGCCATCGGACGGTCTATAAACGCTCAAATAATAGGAAACTAGCTACGGCCCCAGCCACTTTGTCTTGCATGGTCTTCAGTCTTCGATCAGAGCAGGACACACACCTGCCCATGCAACTCCATGGCAAGAGCAGGTGCTGCCTGCACTCCTGAGTTTCATCGTCAAGTTTTGACAGGCTTCTGATTTGGTAGCATCTGATTTTCAATTGGGCATTTTCTCTGCTCACGATGCTTTTTGCTCAAGCAGGTTTCTGACGGGGTTGCGTGGCGTCCCCCGCAATGGACGACGCAGACTTGAGTGCCCTGCTGGACGAGCTGGGGAGCGACGGCAGCGAAGATGAGAGCGCGTTTGAGAGGACGCTGGACGATATCCTGGGAGAAGACGGGGACAGCGAGGATCTTTGGACAATTGACCCCCAGCCAACAAAGGAGGTCAGCAAGGTGGTCAAGGTCCAGCCGATCAAGGAGTTGACACCAAGGCACAGCGGCGAAGAGTTGGAAAGAGCGGCGAGGAGTCCAGCTAAAAGTGCATCCGATGGGGGCAGTGTCAAAAGTGGGAGAGGTATCATGCCGGTACAATCAATCAGTCCGCCAAAGCATGTGCCATTGGCGAGCCCTCCAGGGAAGAAACTGGCCTCCAGTGTGCCTGAGACGAAGCGGGCCGCAGAGAAGAGCTCGCCGGAATTGCCGGTCGCTGATCAGCGGAGCACCCAGCAATTAGCGCAGGAGACTGGCGAGGGGTTTGGTTTGCGGCCTTCGGTACTGGCAGAAGCAAGCCATTCGGAAGCTTCAGTGAAAACTGCGGCCGTGAGGGGTCAGGAAGCCTTTCCAAAGTCGCCCCCGTCCGAGGTTAAGAAGAGGGACAGTTCGAATGAAAGGGTGGTGCAAAATGGGGTTGAGTCATCGTCAAAGCCGCAGGTTCTGGCAAAGCAGCGGTCGGATGCTGGGAAGCGGTCCGAGGCTGCTGTTAGAGAAGAGGGGGAAAAGGGGGCAGTTCCGGGTCCAGCACCGAAGGTTGCGGTTAACCATGAGGAACCACAGCAAAACGAAGTCTTGGAACCTCACCGTGTGCAAGAAAGCCACTCGGCAGCACCTCAACCGAATGGGGCTGAGAATACGGACTTGGCAAGGGCTGAAGTGGAAGCAAAACTGAAGCTGCGGGAACGCGACTTGGAGCGGCTTTTGGAGGACAGCGTTCAGGAGGTGGGGGCGGGGGCGCCTGTGGACGAGAAAAGTGCGGGTGAGGCGAGCGAGGGGGAGACGAAGGGGCTTGAAAACAGCGAAGTTGCGCCAGAGGAGCACCTGGACCGTCAGCCAAGCGCCTTACAGATCGTGAGGCCGCTAAGATCATCCATTTTTCCAATTTGTGCATTTATACGTGCACCAGTGTCGAAAGGTATGCGACACTGGCTCCGACTACAAAGTTTGGAGAGTGTCTGAGGCATCCTTGTCTTCCCAAAATCTTTTTTTGTTGTTTCTATATGCCACAAATTTCTACCCACAGGATTTGCCTCCTGAGTATGGGAAAAATACGGCGATGGCGGTTACTTGAAGATAAGTTTTTCCTCTCACACCACCATCTGAACTTTCCTGGAATGTCGAGGGCCAATTGTTAGGCGAGCGCTCCATTGGTTCATCCTGAAGAGACAAATAGCTTCAGCTTTTTCTATATTTGTCAGCTTGTTCATTCCACCATCCATTCAATGACTGGAAGACTTGGTCCATCATTCTCCCCATGCATTGTGAAAAGGCTCCAATACCTTTGTTAATCTGGTGCTATCTCGTGTGCAAACCTGGCCGCTTGCAGTATTGTGATGCATTGGTCGCTGTTTGAACTTGAGCATATGTCCTCCCCAACTTGGAGCGATGCCGATGGTTGATGTAAAGGAAGGGACACCACTAAAAGACAAAATCGTTCATGTTCAGGCTGAGGAACTAGAGCGGCTGCGCTCGTCTTCCGGGGCTCATCTGGAGGAGGGCGCGGCCGCACAGCCGATGCAACTGGAGGGCGCCTGGGCTGGGCCCCCCGCAATTGGAGTTCTTCGGGTGGAAGAAGTGGAGGCGCTCTCTGCCGCACTCGGAACACCCACCATGAAAAGAGACCATGGCGAACCGCAGGTGAGGCCTGAGGCGGGACTGTTTCTATACTTGTTGCCGTGGCAGTCCGAGATACAATCAAATCTCGCTGCTGGAGTTGACGTTTTCAGATCTTTTTGTTCTTTGTCGTATTTATATGGGCTTTTAAGGTGTGGTAAGAATGTCATCTCATCGACCTCCCCTGACTTGCGGATCGCTGCTGAGAGATTGTCTGAAGCTTTCCCTGCAGCTGAAAATGATCGTTAGCGAGTGCAGAAAAGTCGAAGGGTCGCTACGACGCCTCTTCAGTCGCAAGCTCTTCCCGGCCTCCACCTTCTTCATGAGAGCCTCCCTTGACAACAAGAATGTATTAATGGGGCAAATGGGGCGTTCCAATTTGAGAACATGCTTGACAAGCGCAAGGGGCGATCTCAAACTCCTTCAAATTAAAGTCTTGTCAGAAGCGCACACTTAGGACACGATTGGGAAGCCCCCCCCGAAAAGAAACTCACTCTTGTCACACTGCAGGCCCTCGCCCTCCACCCCAGCTTCATTGCCGTCGGTCTCTCCCGAGGGGGGGTCCTCATGGCTCCTGGGAAGCCCAGCAAAGACAGCGCTCACCAGAACCAGTCCAAGGCGTTCGTGCTCGGAGGGGGGGGACACGTGGCATGCTGTGCGCTGGACGTGCACCTGTCGGGGGAACTGCTGCTGGCGGGGTATGCGGACGGGACGCTCATCCTGTGGGACGTCCAACGTGCGACGCCAGCGAGGTATGGCGGCTCGCTCAGAGCCGAATAATAGATTTTTTTGAACCTTGACAACGCGGTTTGAGCTTCCGGGACAATCTCAACTGCAGTCTTTCTCACGTTTACCTTCTTTCTGGCCCCGTTTCGTACTCTTGAAACGCAGCCCACTGAGAACTTTTAGATCCCCACTGGCTTTTCTTCTCTTTTGTCCAACGCCTGTTCCAGTCGAGCCGTCCCCCTCTGTTCTGCTTAGCAACGTCCTTTCCACCACCTCGCCTTCAGTTTTCAGAGACTTAAAGTAGCATAGTGGTTTTGCCAACAGATCTTCCTGGGATTTCTTTTTGGCGTTCTGTTTCTCTTGCTTTTACCGATTCCCTCTTAGCCAACTCAGTTGGCAGACAAGTGGGCGGCCAGCACTAATCCGGACCCGCCCTCGTTGGGCAACGATTGGCGTCCCACTTCCATTTCCCCGCACCGGGAAGGTCTACGTGAGCCCAGTTGCGCGGTTCAAGATAGCTGCCTAACGTCAGCCGCTTTCTCTGACGGTGTCACGATGTGAAAGATCAGTTCGGCCACCCGTTTGAAGTCTGTGGATTTCTGCTTTTGAGTGCAGGGCTAGCTTCGGCGTCGGCCCCGACGAGCACGCGGCCGGCTGCCCGATCACGCACGTTCGATTCCTGGCCGCATTACCGGACCAGCCGCGCATCAGCCGCGCAGTGACGGCGGATGCCAAGGGGATCGTCATGCTGCACATCTTCAGCTCGGTATGCTGCGCCCCACCTTTTTCGGGCCCACATCATCGTCCTTCAGATCAGCGATAGATGTCATCCAGAGAAATGACGATGGGGCTCGGCCCCTACATTGAGAAATCGATAGACGCCTGGGTCTCCGATTAGTCGTGTGAGTAGATTCTGCATGCACAAGCAGCGATTCTGTCTTCGTGCATTTCCGCGTCCCTGTATGCATTTCTTGAAGTCGGCTGTGTCCAAAATCCCAAGTGCTCCTCCGAGCCCGGGGTGCTCTTTGCTTTGCAGAAACCAATTCACTATCGCTCGAGGACAACTTCTGCCTCTTCAAACCCTTCATGGTTTGAAAGATATCGTTGTTTTTGGGTAACGATTTTCACGCACCTTTGCCCGCCCAGGTACCTATTCTCCGCCGCTACACGGTGACCAGTCAGCGCCTCCTCGACGGCTCTCAAGCGATCGGCCCGGTCCTCGATCTCAAACCCCTCATCACTTCTGAGCCCTCCCACCCCCCTCCCACCCTCTCCCTTCCCGCTGGTGTGAACGCCCACCAAAACGAGCCGAGGGGCGTGTTAACACCGAGGACGTCCTACTCGGAAGTAGGCGCGCCGTCGCCAAAACCTGCGGGGACCCCCCCGGGGGAGAGGTCGGTGGGAAGGTTTGATAAGGGGCTCGATATGGGGCGGAAGGTGCTGGTGGATGCCGGACTGGACAAGAGCTTGGACATGGGCAGGTGAGCAAGGTTCCAGAAGGTTATGATAAAGATGGCGTCAAAGAGTCAATAAATTGTCCAGGTTGGGTGGCAAAAAAGCCAAGGTTACAGTAAAGGTTCAGGAGTTGCTGCAAACTTACCGTATGTGCAAGTGGTGGCAAACGGATGTGCGGCCGACGAGCTTCCCGGTCACTGGAGGAGGACCACGCTTTCAATGCCCTCTTAGACTTCGTGAAACCCCCAAGGTCTCGAAAGGCCTTGCACGTCCAATCCTTTGTGGAAGGCTTGATTCCTTGACGGTGTGAATGGCGGGTTTGGCGAGTTCAGATTCTTCCGAGGCAAAGAGACGGCAAAGTCGTGTGTCGTGCCTTTCCTTTGCATCAAGACAAAAAGGCTTGACTTACAAATTAAGGCGGGAAAACTCACTTTGTGATTGTTGTCAAGCTTCCTCCCACAATGTCACCACGCGCGTTGCGTTGCCAACACGAGCATCAGCAAGAATTTCTAACTCTGATGGCCGCTTTTTCGCTGTCAGGAAGTTTTTGTTCGACGCTGTGAACACGGCTGCCGACGCGGGCAAGGTGATTGCGGGGGCGGGTTCCGTGAAGGGCGTGGCGGAAGACCTGATCGAGAAGGGCCTGGTGGCCATGCTCACGGGATCCACCATTCTAGTTGCGCTGCTGGCCGAGAAAATGCAGGTGAGCAGTTTTCAGGGCCTTGTAAAGCTCGATATGCTGCACATAAGCTGCATCTAATCGAACTTTTTCAAGGAGTGCTTTGTCGCCGCTCGAGACTGCGCGACCATCTATGTACATAGCTGCACCAAGGTTGTACAGTGTGATTGCGCTCATCCCATCGGCTTGCAATATGCTTGGAAAGCCTGTTTATAACAACGAACACTCTTGACAAAGTAAGCCCAGACATAGTGGGTCTTCTTTTCGGCCGTCCTGACGCTCGCTTGTACTGCAACCCTGACGTGCGATATCACGGCTTATACGCGTCCGCCGTTCAGCCACAAATGCAACCGTTTCAGTTTCTGAAATAAACACCATGTTTCTGCAGGTTCTCGTCCGCATGCCCCGTCCCGAGAGCGTCCGCGACGGCGCCGTCCCTTACTGCGCGTGGCGCAAGCCCCACCACTGGCCCGCGTTCCAAACCCCCGACACCCCGCCGCGCGTTTCCGAGTCCTCTTCCGACCCCGCGACTTCCCCCGCCCCTGAAGCTCCAAAAGTCTCCACGCTCGAAGAGGACCGCCTCCGGCGGCCTCCGCTGCTGGCCGTCGGATGGGATCGGACGGTCCTGATCTGCCGGCTCGGGCGGGGGGGGCTGAGGATCCTGTCCAGGTGGCAGCTGCAAGGGGATGCTGACGTCACGGGGATCACGTGGCTTGGGGATGACGTACTTGGGGTGCTGACGGGGCGCGAGGAGATGTGCGTGTACTGGGTGACGACGGGAGAGGAGATCGAACGGTTCATGATTGGGGTGACGGGGGGTGAAGAGGCAGCGGTCTCTCATTCGCACTACACAAGCAGCGCTGGCAGGTGAGAGGGAATTTCGTTCAGTACAGCTTCAATGATGAAAATATCCTCGTTGTATAGCTTTCGACATATTCATTGCCTGACCGTGATCCATACGCGGTAGCTGTTAGACCTTTTTGACAATTATTGTAGGTGCAGGCGCCATGTTGTGTAACCAGCGTAGTTGGTTCAGAAAGCTTCGATACCGTAAAGGCACGTCGGGACATGGTTCGCACGAAATAGGAGTTGAAATGAGATTGGAGTCCCGGCGAGTTTGCCAGCGGATATACCGCCGAACTCATGTCAGGCGGACAATAGTATGCGCCAAAAAGGAGCGTATGCGCTCATAGATATCCAGAACCACATGAGTGATTGTTCGAAATAGTCGTTTGTTTTACGGCCTCTCTCCCGCAACCCCGTGTAAGGCGTACCACAAGTCGGTCGTCCCTCGCCCATCATCTTTGTGCTCGACCTATCGGCAATAAACTTCACGCGTTAGTACCGTTAACCAACGCGCAAAGCAGCGTTCTGCACCCTTACCCGCCCTAACCTTCATACTGATCCCCACCTTCCCTGTTACTGTCCACCAGGCTGACTGATCGCAATAACATCTTTTCCTCTGCAGTACCATCAAAGCGTACTTACAACTCGGTCGCAGCGCGCGGGCCCGCCATGTTCGTGCTCGGCCTATCTGCACCAAAACTTGCGGGTTTTGCAGCCGTACCCATCCTTTCCCCCTTACTTAACCCCCAGTCCCCGTTACTGTCTCCCGGGCTCACTGTATAATGTAGTTAACGGACTTCTATCCTCTGCAGTCCCGTCAAAGCGTACCACAACTCTGTCGCCGCGCGCGGCCCCGCAATGTTCGTGCTCGGCCCGTCGGCACTGAAAGTCGGCCGACTGCTGCACTGGAAAGAACGCTTGGAGGGCCTCCGGCAGGCGGGCGACTGGGTGGGCGCTTTCCATGCAGCCATGGAATTGTACGATGGGAAAGCAAAGGTGAAGGAGTGCCTGAATCCATTATTTGAGGCTGGTCATTGACTTCAATGATTGGGATTGGCGAGAAACGGCTGCGCTCTTCGGCAGACTTTGCATGATCAGGCGAGAACAACGAAGGGAAGGTTGTTCCGACGGCGGGACTAAAAGTAACAACTGTGATCATCTGATTTGGAGTGAAGATTTGTATCTGATCTTGGTTGGACGTCCCCTTGCACTGTGTTTTGGTTTGGTGAATGTTTCGATAGCTCTTGGGTTCACTAAAACCAGAACGAGAAGGTCGTATACTTCGTCCTTTCGTTACTCTTGGGCCTCGTCCATGAACGCTCGGTTTGAGGATCAGACAGATTTCCCATGCCATCTCCCTGAATTGGGGAGCCTCTAATAACGCCGAAACGAACTCTTTGCCAACGCTTTCGCAACGAACCTCCAAAAAACTCACTCGTCTCGCGTCTTGTCTCGCTGCCTCGAGCTCAGCATGCCTCTCAAGAACGTTGAAACACTTCGGATATTCTCCCAGGGTCCCACATACGCGTCCACCAATAAGAGTTTTTTAGTAAGGTCACGATAAGCTAGCCACTGATAAGCTCCGAATAGCAACGGGAAACCCCTAATCCAGAAGAATACCTGCTCCGCACTCCTACCCACCCTAACTCCAAAAGTAACCCGACCCGTCCAACACTGTTACCTTTTGATCATCACAGCTGCTTGTCACACTTCTTGATATCGGTTCTGCTGATACTTTCTGCTTCATCTCTGAGCGGATTTGCGAGACCCACACCTGCGTATTTTCTTTCCCAGGGCGTGCTCGGCGTGCCGCCCTCGCTGCCGGCGTTGCACGAGGCCATCATGCCGACTCTGCTGTCGTTGTTGGCGGCATACATCGACGAAGCGATGGCTTACGTCGGCCTTTCTCTGGGCACCAGCAAAGGGGAGCCGGAGGAGCAGTCGGAGGGCGTCGCACAATATTCTGGGGTGAGTGACTTTTCGTTTCAGAGAATGCAACTGAGTTGCTGAGACCTCTTTGAGTTGTTTGTATCCTGGCGCCTGTGCCTCTTTCTGTCTTAATTGGCCGGTCGTTCAATAAAGGGCGACTACGTTTGCTCTGCCCGTGATTGGAACAATATCAAAGTGACGCTTTAATGAAACACCTAAATGACGCACACACTCCTTTGCAAGACTGAGCGTTCTTTAAGGCAAACTACAAGGTAACACGGTCCCCTTGAAGTCATCCTACTAGCATGCTGGCTCGTTTGAATCTCCCTCTGCAGCTTTTCGCATTCTTTCCCGTCTTCCATAAGAACATCTCTTTTGTTCTTCTGTTTCTTAATCCAAACCCCAGAAACCCATAAAGCCACTGCTTGGTCTCGCCAGGTCGGGGGTGTCGCCATCGAGTTCTGTGTGCACATCGGCCGGCCTGAGGTCCTGTTTGAGGACGTCTTCGACAAGTTTACAGCAGTGGGGCACCAAGGTGAGGGCATGTGCCGGGAATTCGCTGGCACTCACTTGCCCTTGCGCCTCAATTGCGCCTCGCTACCTTTCGAATCGCTGGGGTTCTAGACAGAAAAAAATTGTTGTGCCGCCAAGCGATCTGCTGATTCTTCGGTGGTTGCCAAACCGACTCCTGATCGTGGAACAGCGTGTCCAACACCTCTTTTCGATTGCAGCTATTTTTGCTGACGCTCGCTCCGTTACCAAACGCGTCCTTGACACGAAGCGTTCGCTAAGACCATTTTCTAATGCTCAGTCCGCACAGCTGATGCTCTTTGCCAACGTCGAGTCCCTCCGACGTGGTCAATTCATTTCTATCGCCATCCGTTCCTCTCGTTTTCCACAAGGCCGACTTGCATACGTACGGTCGTGCCCACTTCCCAAATTAACGTCCTTGCAAGCTGGCGAACCTGATTCCTGCGGCTACTGATAACCTCGAGCTTTCCTGAGACTCTCAGGTTTCCAACTCTGGCTTGCAGGCACGTTTCAGGAGCCGTATTTTTGAAGGATACGGTGCAACGGTTGGCCCCCGCGGTGATGCGGGCGCTGAAACGACACTAGTAACTGGGAAAGTTGAACCCAGAAAGTTTGAAGACTTCAAATGTGTATTCATCCTGACTTCTTGTTCTACAGGCACATTCTTGGAGCTATCAGAGCTATCATAGGACACGCTAAAGTTTTGACCCTCACGGTGATGCCGGATCTAGTAGAGCACTACAAATGCAGTTTTCCGTGTTTCAGGGGCCTTGAAATCTCAAGCTGCGTTTTATTTTGTTGTCTTGTTCTACAGGCACGTTCCTGGAGCTGCTGGAGCCGTACATTCTGAAGGACACGCTGCGCGGTTTGGCCCCCGCTGTGATGCAGGCTCTGGTGGAGCACTACAGCGTCAAGGGCTGGCTGCAGCGCGTCGAGCAGTGCGTGCTGCATATGAACATCGCAAGCCTCGACTTCAATCAGGTGGGTTAGAAGGATACGTGATCTAGGCATTTGTCTCTTTATCACCTCTCGTTTTGGAATCTTATGGGGTTCTAGAAATATTGTGGGACCCTCGAGTGGATCGTGACATTGAGTGAGTTTGTACATGAACATTACCTCCCTTGACTTCAGCAAGTCGGGTCCCAGGGAAATAGAAGGGTTCTGTCTTTCTATCACCTCGTCTGCTCACTGTCCGGGCTTCTTATGGATGCAAGTTCAGGTATTCAGCTTTAGAATTCCCAAACAAAGGGTCCACTCCAGATGACAGCTTTGCTTAAAGAGGGCGTCTGACCACGTGGTACCTTGGCGGCGACTTCGCATGATATACTGCGTTCGTGTCGCCGAGATTTCGACGACGCAGTATCGGGTACAGCGATCAGAACCGCGGGCAGACAATCAATCTGGTTGCCAGGGCGTTACGGGTCAAACGACGCCCCCTGTAAAGTTGGAATCGTATCACTCTCCAGGTGGTCCGGCTGTGCCGGCAGCACATGCTGTACAGCGCGCTCATCTACGTCTTCTCCAGCGGCCTGGACGACTTCGTGACGCCCCTCGAGGAGCTGCTCGCGGTCGCGCGGGACACGCAGAGCGCGCATGCGCGCGCGTTTGGGTGAGGACAATCAAGTCCAACTTTGCTAACAAGTCCAATAAGCAATCTTGAATCCACCTTGTCAATCAAACAGGGTAGCACCTGCAAGAGATGCCTAGCTTTCGCCAGCAAGGGCGGGCTAGTCTGTCCTTACTCATCAAGAGTGACCTTAACCCTTCGCAACGTTAACCTTGAACAACCTCTGAAAACAAACCCTGGATTGGATGCGTCGCCTTGCAATCTTGTCCTAGCCGGTTGCGTTTCTTGGATACGCACTCGCTTCGATAGCCGGTTTGTTGCAAGGCCGTCAAGGTAAACTGGTCCCTGAAGTCGTCGAGAATCTGCTTTTGGTTTCTCCGTTTTTTCTTAGTCCCCACGAATCGACCAAAGCATGTGCCAGAAGCTAGTCTTACACAAACCAAATCCACAGCGTTTAGACGCCTGGAATAGCTGCCTGCTGCTACAAGCTCTTCATCACATCAATGGATCAGATGCGGCGCTGATCTGATCTGCTTTTATGAGCGGCAGCGAAGAAACACTCAAATCCGCCCTGTTCAATTAGCGATGCATTTTCGTTCCGGTTTTTGTGACGTCTCTTTTGATCCACAAGCTCTAGATGCTTCAATGTTGGATCGCTTCTAAGTATACAGATCACCGCCCCTGCCGGAGCAAGGAGGTCTTCTGGAGCTCAAGTCTCTCCCGGTGCTCCTTTGCTGATGATAGTGGCAATCATTCCTGAAATCGACGAATCAAATCAAGCGTGGTTGTAACGTTTTGCAGAGCTTTGTTTCCTAATTTCTCCCAGTACAAGCTGTTGGTCAATTTGAAGCACTCCTTCCTGGGTCTCGCCTTCCCCTCGGGCTTCCGACACTTACTCTTCGGCCGCTGGAAAAAGGAATACGGATCTCAAGCACGTCTTGTATTTTCACCAGGTACAAGCTGTTGGTCTACTTGAAGCACTGCTTCCTCGGCCTCGCCTTTCCCCCAGGCAACGGCCCCCTCGACCCGGGGCGCCTGCCGTCCCTCCGGTCCGAACTCATAAACTTTCTTTGCGCGTCCGAAGCGTCCGGACACGTCAGCGGAGCTTCCAATGACGTGAGCAAGGCTGAGGCAAACGGGCGCACAGGCGAAGGGGACAGCGTCGAAAAGGAGACCAGATTCGCTAGACTACGCTATCTACTGGGTCTCGATACTGAGGCGGCCTTAAGAGTTCTGAGCGCAGCGTTTCCGGAATCGGGGCCGCTCGCAATTGGCAGGTTTGGGGAAGGGTTCCAGGGCGACCGGGGGGAGGTTACGGAGCCAACCGACGAGGTTAGAGACCAGGTTGGGGATAACGGAGAGCTGAAAAGCGCGGAAATGGCGGAACGGGTCTTGAGCAACGACGAAGCGTCGACTTCGAGCCCCGGGAAATTGCGACTGCGGAAAGTGGGGGCGCGGCTTGGAAAGCGGTTTTTAAACGGCGTCGGCTCTTGGCGAGGGGGGGTGGATTCGCCTGGTGGGCCGCCCCCCGGACATGGAGAAGCTCCCGTTGACATTGTTGCCGGGGGGGAGGACAGCGCACAGAACGAGAGAACGGAGGCGGGGGCTTCAAGCGATGGAGACGCGCTTGTGCAGATGGTTGTGGATGCTCTGATCGAGATTTGCAGATCGGAGGAGGGGGGACTGTCAAGCTCAGTGCGGGATGGAAGTGTGAACTCAAGCCCCGGCCGTGCTTCAAAGGCTGACACCGCCAGCCAAATGTTCGAATTCTGCGCTCGGTTCATAGCTACCGGGCACGCGGTTGTCTCCCCTAGTGTTCTCGACTGGCTCATCCGACGGCTGTGTGGAGCCCGGGGCAAGTCACCGGGCGCTTCCGATAAACACGGTTCAAGAGCTAACCCACGCGCTAACCCAGCGAAGCACGCACGGGCCGACTCCTCGGAAGCCGTCGTCGTTTCCCTTCTAAAGGGCGCTCTCGGCTTGCCAAAGCCGCTGGGAACTCTAACGGGTTTTGACGCGGAGGGTTTACTTGTGTTAACGGACGGTTTAGGCTTTTGGCACGCGGCCGCCCTGCTGCACGCGGCTCAAGGGCGCTTTGCCGCAGCGCTGGATTCGCTGCTGAAGGACCCCAGCCTGGCGGAAGAGGCGTTTGCGTTCGTCAGCAAGTACCTGAGCGGGGATCCCTCGGAGGGGGTGCAAGCAGGTGGGCTGACGTCACAGCTGCATTGGATCATGCTAAAGCGTTGGGTGCAAGAGCGAGAGGAACGTGGCAGCACAAAAGTAGAAGCGGAATGTGGAAGCGCAAAAGCAGAAGCGTACTTCTGCTTTTGCGCTTTTCTCCATCTACCATGCTACTGTTAGCTGCGTTCGTTTCTGCAAAAGTTGGGGATCGGTGTAAATCTGCAAAAGTTGGAATTTGGTGTTAATCTGCTAAGGACTGAGCACGACGAGACCGACGAGACTTTGTACCAATCCGCTTCGGAAATTGGTACCTGAACTGTCGATCCTGCTGTCGGTGCTCTTAACTTTCTCAGTGCCGAATCACGACCGCCAGCTGACCACTGTCGGCACACCACAATGAAGACTGCTGACATCTCTCCGTGACAATCACAAGGAAGCCTCGTACTCTTACGATACTGCCTTGTCTGACTTGTTGCACGACGACTCACACTGGTTCGGTATCCATACCCGTTTCAGATAGTTCGTTCGGTTGACCAGCCTTTCTCTTCACCAATTCCTTTCTGTTTTGGACCGCCTCCGTGCTCTGCTTCATCTCTTAACGCCAACCACTCGCCTTTTGATTGAAAACGCCAATCCCTTGGCTCTTGACACTGCAGACGCCGTCCGTTCTGCCGTGCTGGCCCGCCTCCCCGCCCTAGTTCGCCTCGACGCCAACGCGGCCGCGTGCATCGTCGCGGACCACCTCGCCTCCGACAACGACCGGGTGCTCAAGGCCCTGGGGTCATTCCCCGACCTCCAGTTCGCCTATCTCAAGGGCATCGTTACCGCTCAGGCAGTAACGGTGGCGCCCGGGGTGGGCGGACCCGGGACGTCGAAGCTGGGGGATTTGTTGCAGCGGGCGGGGATCGAAGTCACGGATGAGGTGAGAATCATTTGCAGCGTGTCGCTTTTTGAGATGGAGATCCAGGGGTTTCTTGATCGGAGTTGAATTGATCAGAATCGATCTGATCTTGGTTGATCTGGACAAAGCTTTTTGAGCTCAAGCGGGCGGAACAACGGGGAAGTGACCGGCGCTTGTACCTGCCACTGCTTTGTTGACGGCTGGCACTTTTGGGCTTTGAAGTGTCATTTTGCGGCTGAATGTTTTCTACGTTCATCACTTGGTCGACATCTGAAGCTGTCCTGAAGTGCTTGCCAGAAAAGGCGACTCGCTCCGCCATTGCAGATGGCAGAGTCGTACGTGGTTTCGATGTAACGATTCGAGCGTGGCAGCGCACTCCCCTTCTCGGAGCACCGCATCATTTTTTACCAACTGATCCCCCTGGTATCGAATTTTCGTGCGCTCATTCGAGGATCATGAAGTATGAAACTTAAGAGATCCGCTTCCCCACTGCAGATGGCGGAACTGTACGTGGGTCTGATGTGCCGCTTCGAGCCTGGCAGCGTGCTCCCCTTTTTGGAGAGCCACCAAGCGTACCGCCTCGAGCAGTGCCTCGCGCTCTGTCAGCGCTTCGGGGTGACCGACGCATCAGCGTACCTTCTCGAAAGGTAGAGTCCTTGATTTAAATCTTGCAATTTGTCATGCTGTTAGTCTCCGACCTTCTGTCCGCTGTTTTCCCCGGCTCGCAAAGATTGCTTAGAAGGTTTGGTCATGTCTTATCATAATCAGCAGGGGCGATTGGTAGGAGTGCATCTACAGCGCCCATTCATAACTTCGATTTAGCGGCCAGGCAGAAGCAAAAATGGTGACTGTAGATCGATGATAAAAGTTGGGATCAGGCTTTGATGAACGAGCCCTGATATGACGGAAGAGCAAGTAGAAGATCCATCGGATTCCTGTGAAGAGCCCACGATCGCTCCTCTGCATCCGGCCCGTTAGAGATGTCGCCCAACCGAGCCTTAAAAGAAGCGCGGGTTGTTCCCTTGCTTCAAGAATCACCCTCTTGTCCCCTTAATGTTCCCCGTTTCTGAAAGCCAGTCGTAGCAAGTCAAACGACGTCCGCTGACGTCACAGCTCGTGTTCTCGCAGGATGGGTGACGTCGGCGCCGCCCTCAACCTCGTCCTCAGCCAAGTCACTGCCAAGATGTCCGCCCTTGACGCTGCGGTCGCTGCACGCTTCTCTGGCGCGCACACGGACGACTTTTTGGAGGGCGACCTTCCGGATTTATCGGACCTGCCGGAGCTGCCGGCGGCCGAGAAAGCGCTAGAGGTCGCCGTGGCGTTGTGCCAGCGCAACACGCAGCGGATGGACCCCCGGGAAACGGAGGCGCTGTGGTTTCGGCTGGTGCGGCAGTACATGGAGCCTCTCAGGGGGCTGAAAGAAGGGGCAGCTCGCGGGGGGGTAAAAGGGACCAGTGCCAAGGGGGGGGGAGACTACCCGGCTTTTCAGCGGGAGAAGGGTAGCGACGGTGTGAATGGGCACGGGCCGAACGGAAGGAAGAGCACTGGGGGGCTAAAGGGGGGCACAGGACGCGGGGAGGGGGGTGCTTTGCAGTGCGCAGGCAACCCCCCCGCGGCGCGCGCGCTGCGGCGGGTGCTGGCACGGTTCATCAGTGCGATCATGTATGCTATGATGGGCCACGTGCCTTTGGGAACAATTCTTAACAAGATTCTGCAGGATCATGGGGGGGATGAGTTTGGGGACTTCAAGGGAACCATTTTGGGCATGCTTGGGACGTTTGGCTACGAGCGCGAGATTCTGCGCACCGCTCGGGACCTCATAGAAGACGACACGTGGCAGTCCCTGGACCAACTGAAGCGGCTGCGGTCGCACGGGCTGGCGCCGAACCGTGCCACGTGTTGCGTGTGCGAGCGGCAACTGAGTGAAAAGCCGCCGCAAGGAGGGGGTAGTGAAGATGGGCAGAACGCGGGGGGCACCAGCGTGCCTACTTCAAAAGCACCCCCCCGGAAGAAGCGGAACCCGTCCCAGGAAAAGCTGCCGGCCTTGCGCGTATTCGTCTGCGGGCACGTCGCGCACGCCGCCTGCGCTGAGGCGGGGGGGTTGGATTGCCCCGTCTGCGGACCCCCCGGAAAGGTGGAGCTGAGCGACGCGCACGACAAGGGCAAGCGGCCCCTGGTTGAGGAAAACGAGTCGAGCTCGGGCGGGGGGTTGGGCGGGGGTTTGGGGATCTTAACCCGGGGGGTTCAGCCGCAAAACTCACCGAGTCAGCGGTCTCGGCTGGCTTTGTTGCGGGACTTAGATCGGGGTAACGACTTCTACGGAAGGAGTGAGGGGCTGCAGTTGGCGCCCCCTCCGGTGGCGCAAACCCCGAGCTACGTGGAGCGGAAACCGGGGAGGCTGCCACGGCGGGCGGTCTACTCGTCATCGGCGCATGGTAAGGAGCAAGCGATGGTGTCACGTAGCGGACGCACGCCAGACAAGAAATAGGGGTTTTAGGATATTCCGTGTTCTGCGAAATTGTCTACATTGGGTCCTTCCTTCTGGGTCCGAGTAACCGATCCGACAGGAAACGCATCAAAGGAACGGAAGGATAGACGTTGGTTTTCATGCACAAATCTCTGACCAAACGCGCGCTCCTTCCGAGAGGGCAGTATGAGAAGGTTTGACACAGTGAGAAGGTTTTTTCCGCTTCGACAAAGTCCTGCCTGAGAAGGCTGTAGTCCATTGTAGAGCTTTCGCTCATTTCTTGCTGGCACACGAATTGTGTCCAAGTAGTGCGCTCTGCTCATGTATTCTCGCACCTTCAATTCCCCGACTGATCATCGCGCTTGACTTGCTGCTGCTAATGCAGAGGTGGCCTAGATTGCTCGAATCACCCTTTAATTAACTGCTTTGTGGGCATTTGTGTGCAGGGTTGGGTTCCGCAAGCACTCGCTACAGCAGCCCCATCGAGGAGGACGACCTTACATAGCTTCGGGGCGGCCAGCGGCTCTCTGCGGGCCGTTCCTTTATTCTACAGATCGAGATCACAGTTCGATGCAGAGCGTAGCTCAATGCGAGTCGTTCGATGCAAAGACTTATACTTCAACGGACGTCAGCCTGCAAATCCGCTTGCCTTGTCGGTTTCAAGACTAAATACAAAACTCCGACGCATCTACTTTCACGCCGTAATGGTAAGGTGCTCTGCATGTCACTGTGCCAAAATATCAAGCTCAGCTACGCATTTCGGACGGTTGTGCACATTTGCATTTGTTGCATGTCAACTGGCCGGCTCTTGGATTTGCGAGCGGTCGTAGGACGGTATCGTCGGACTGTACGTACGACTTCATTGTTTGCATGCCTTTCATCGCAGCCTTCTGTGTAGCTGCGGGAAATTTGCTGATGCACAAACTGATCATAGCTGCACACGCTAACCGTTCGTGCACAGCCCAACGCGTCGGCCTGCCACTTGTCAAGGCATTGGCAGCGCTTTAGTACAAGAATCGAACTTTTTCACACATGCATCGTATACTGCGCAGTTTCAGTTCATTTGCACATGATGCTCTACTTGATAAGTAAGACGCGGTCTGGCCCACATGACTGATGCTGATATAGCTCTCAAAGTGCGCTCTTGCAAACGTGTGCTCTCAAACGTGCTGCGCCAGCATTGGCACCCTCAACCGTCCATGACATGTCATGGATGGTATGACTGCAGTCAGATATAGCTGGCTGCACTTTTATTCATTTGTTGCATGCACCCGTGAGTTTGCCGTGCAGCAAACTCACGTGTGGAATGCAGTCAAATCATTTGAGGGAGAAACTTGAGCTCAATCAAGTGCAGCTTCAGCATGCACATTACAGCATAACCGAAGCGATGCAACCAATTGAAGTGCGTTACGGTTGAGGCGTTCCGACACTGAAAGCCAGAGTCAGCCCCGTCGAAATCCTGCAGGCTGGATGATGGGTGCAGCTTTAGCAAGGACTTGTACAAGTCTGCGACAAAGGCTTTATAGCACCGTGGCCGTTTTTAGACACGAAGATGTTTCATCCTTGATCTACATAGATTGTGTCAATGAAGCAAACTTCATAAGTCCCATCAGAAGCAAAGCGAAGGACTAGCGTATCACAAAAGCAACCGTCTGCAACCATTGAGTGCACTGCCTACTCGATACTAGCACTCCTATCATTGCGGTATAGAGGTCTCTATGATTGGAGAGCCCGGTGGTAATTTACCAAGACCAGGAAGAATGACCTTGAAACTTCTAGGCATAGGGGTAGGATCGTAGTTCAGTCCCTGCAACACGAGCCCTGCACGAAGATCAAAATTGCCATCAGAAGCACGCGAACGGTATCTTCCTCGAGCCTCAGAAAACGTTGGATGGAATCAAAATCTGCTGGAGTTGACAGAAAAGAAGACGCTACGTCCGTCCTACTTAGTAAGTGGTGAACGAACTTATATTGGGTGGAGTGTCTGGGCCCCACCAGCTTCTTCGCAAAATTAGCGGCATTTTAAGCATGACTAGCGAATTCGTGGCTCGGACAGACTGTCGTAGCGGCCTGATGCTGGTGCTTGAGAAGACCTTTCTGAAGCGCACGTCTCAAAATCGACGGCTGCAAACGCCCACGTCTCCTGTTTAGCAACTCCGCTTCAAAACCAGTGACTCTCCCGCAGTCGTCTGTGTTGCTCGTTATAATGAGCCAGCTCACCAGAGTGCTGATCATCGAAATGATCTACTCCTCCTACAGAGCAGGCCGTTGCTTGCTCCTCGTTACTTCGTTACTGACAACATTAACAACTGTACCAAAAGCATGTCTAACGATTGGTTCATCTCTCGTGGAGCTGATACCGGGTAGTGCAGATAACAACGCTGCGCAGAATTACGACAACAGACGAGTCAGAAAAGAAGTTAAAAAAGGCAGAAGATGGAGTGCTCACCATGGCTCGTGATGCCCTCCACCTCCGTGGGCGGCAGATTCGCGACAAAGAGCACCTTCTTCCCCACCGCGTCTTCGACGTCCATCACGTACTTGCACTGCGACACGACGGTGCGTGTCTCGGATCCAATATCCACCTGCAAAAGAAGTTCACGACTTCAGTGAATGCACTCTGTCGTTGTCTGAGGCACTCTGTGGGTTTCCCCGTTTCCGAACCGCTGTACCTGAAATACAGAAGACAACGAGCCATCGTGACTGTCATTCTTTTCCAGAAATACGGTTTGTGAGCCCCTGAATCTCGTGTCCTAAACCGCGGTATCGGAGATGACAAAACTAACGAGCGACTGTTGCCTTGATATTTGTTGCTTTTTGTGGGTCTAAAAGGTACCATTTTAAGTGCATATGACAGCGACTTCGATTCAAAGTGACGTTCGAGCATTACTCTCAAAAGCCACCACGTTTCGAGAAATTCTAGGCGCACTCGTGACGGTATGTGAATGCTTGCTTTTATCCTTGCCGAGCACAAAACTACTATCCTAATCTCAATCCAAAATGAATGGCAGACACGAGCAGTTAAGCTTCCAAATTCAGATCCGAGTGTAAGCATTTGCATGTCTTACGGAAAGAGTCAGCCCCAATATCTAGATCCAAGCGAGGGATCTCGAGCTGACAAGCTAAATCTTCATTCAGTCAAAACCTCCCACGGTCTTTTCGAAGAGAGGAACATGCAAACCTGAGAGGAGTTTGTGCTTTTCAAAGCGATTACCCACAGACCACCGAGTCAGACATCAAGAGTAGCGCCAAAGTCTACACTAGCATGGCGCAGTATCTTAAGCACACAGATAGTTCTTCTACACCTTGGCGGGTGGAAATCCACCGAGCGCCCCCAGCACACGAAAGTTGTCCCCCAGACTCAACTATGAACTTCCCGACAATGCCGCCAGAGTACCTTCTCACCTTGAGTTGCAGAAACTTGCGGCTCATAGTCGGCTTGCCCCGCTTTTCGGTCATCTCCTTGTCGGGAACAGCCTTTGCGTCAGTCTGCAGGATGAAGTAAGGCAGCTTCTTAGCTTCGAAAGCGAGTACGAGACCACTAGAAAGGGGTATGATACGTAGGTGAAGCAGCCGAACGCCTTAGTCCGATTACCTGTAATGCTGGTCAAGAGCAGGCCTGTTGATGGCGGTTGAGTTCAGACTTGAAGTTTTCAAAGCTAGGAACAGAGTCTTCTGCGTTGACGAATTCGACATGAGTGAAACATGACAGACCGAGGGGCTTTCAGGTCTGAATGAGAATAGCATCCGCGTCTTGCATTCGAAGGGCTTTGACTCAATAGAGTGTTTGAAAAGCCACCCACACCTCAGAAGCAGGGCCTGAATCCCTTCCTGGGACCCAAACCTCGCTGCGTGATTTCTGATATCAGAAGACATGGCCTATTGAACAGCTTTCTGTTCTTGCTAGGGAAGCATGCAATATTCTGATTCACAATCATGCGGGACCAGAACACTAGAAGGAGCAGACGTTCCCACTTACCACCAAGCCAACCCGGATGTCAACCTTGGCGAAGTCGCTAAAGCCTATTTGTTCTTTGATCTTTGGACATGTACTCCTGTCCACTTCTGCTGCCTCCGTCTGGGTGTGCGCTCGAACACCCGCCGCAAGTGGCCGGAAGTTCTTGTGCTTTTGTGGTAAGAAGAGACCTGGGCAGCGCGCCTGATGAGTCAGAAGTCAGGACAAGCTCTGATACTCTTACCCCATCTAGGCCCACAATTATTGGTGACGCCAACTCTTGGAGTGACAACATAACTTGATGTCTAGCAGGCAGCCTGTGCTTTTCACTTCTGTCTCACAACACTTCCTTTCTATGCTGATTGTGCTCGAAATCTCCTCCCAGGGGAGCGAGCATCTGGAAAGTACAAAAAGATGTTTGTGCGACCTGTGCTCATCTCCTGATGGATTCCAGAACGAAGGTAAGGGCACCACTCAAGTGAGGTCAGCAATCAGTCACCGTAGAAGCATCGGCGCATCACTCAATTGAGAAATTGCTCTCTCCTTAAACAAAGAAGTGGAGAAGTGAGACTGTAACATCAAGTGTGAAACAGTATGGTGATGTAATCAAGGGACATGCCGCTCCTTGCCAAAGAGCAAATTGATTGAACGACAAGCAGTCCACAAACCAATGGTAATCTGAATCATAGTGATACATATGCAGGGGTGGTGCAGCCAAATAAACCCATTTCTTGATGCAATTGTTCTGACTTGCAGTCAGAGTTTCTTTGTCACCAAGGAGTCTGCATTGAGAGTGAAACAAAGTCGAGGAGTCGCCACTTGCAATTGCACCAACGACTCACAAATGACCATGAATCGGAGCCACTGCTTTATAAAGGAATCTTTAAAAGAAACAATTCTTCTCAATGTAACCACTCACTACTGACGTCGGGTCTTCTCAGCATTCTTCCTGCCCCACTCATTCGGCTCGCAGGTTTTATCGGCACCCGGTGGCAGAGACAAGTTTCTGCGTTCTGGGAGGCGCATTTTGAAACCAGAGTGAATGCACCTCCTTGCGACAGCAATTGAGAGGCAGCCATGCTAATATAGGTTTGTGTATGCGCCTCAAGAATTCGCAATGCGAGGAGAATCAGAGAATGTCGCGATCTCTGCGGGCGCAAGCTGGATTTTGGTGAGGCAACTGGCCGATTATTAGATAATAATGACTTAACCAAAGCTAACCGAAGCCAACCAGTAAAACGGGGCGGCGCGGCCGGCCCAGCCCGCGGCCACGCGATGCGCAGCCGCCGCGCCTACTTATGTATATTGACATGCGCCGGTTAACAGCCAAGCATTCTACGAACAAAACAAATCAACATGAGCTCTCGATCAGTACAATTAGGCCAACCGTTTCTTCGGAACGCTTTTGTATGTAAAACAGAAATCTTACGAGCTTTCCCTTCATAGCTAGAGGCTCCGTCGCACTACATGCACGTACCCGTACCCCATGACTGCTTCTTGTGTGACGATGGTCAAACTAAGTTCACCCGCAGCCGAAGCAACGGCATTCTTGTTGAGTCTCGTATCATCAGACGACCCTTGCAATATTCGTCCCTTATATACAAGAAACAATGGAGGTTCATGGGTCGCTGTAAATCCATACATGTGCATCGAATGGCAGCATGCTGCAGCAATCCAAGTGAATATAGTCGGACATACGATTAGCTCGACATAATCAGGTATATGCAATATGCAAATGCAACTTGCAATGCTTAAGGAGGATGCTGGACTCAAAGGTTGCGTTGGCAATGAATAAAACGGATCACCATGGATGATCTTGGTGATGCCGCATGGCCACTGCCGATTGACAACGCTTGTAGCTGCAGTCTTCCGAATCGGACGTTTTTGCCTTTTACGCTCACCTAAGCGTTTCAAGACGCCGGTGCTAACCACCGCACCTTGATTGGATGACATAAAGGTAAGAAGGCAACCAAAATTGTGAAAATCTGGTTCTTTATTTTCGAATAAGATGATCAGTCCTGACGACGTAGCTGGCGCATCTTATCAGAAAGGTCCAACAATTATTTGGACACGGACGTATGTACAGGTCTGAGACTAGAGGGCAAAAGCATCATCCAACCCTTTTGGACTGTGCTTTCTTAGCTTCTTCCAGGATGGGCTCGAGCTCCCCCGTCTGCAAAAAGTCACATGCGGGTCCCGTTAAGGACGTTACAATCCGTTATCAAAAACTTGCGGCGTTGACCAAGAATACAATTTCCTGTCTCTTAAGAGTGAAGAAACGCTTATCCAGAAAACACCGGAGGAAGTGAGCAAAGCAGGTGCTTAGACATGGCCGTCTTGTGCAAGCAACAGAACGAGAATCAAGCAGGGTGCCGGAGCAACAACAACGGATGGAAGGCCAAGATGCCGTCCCCGATGCACTCAGAAAGAATCCGAAAGTTTCATACCTTGCTCATATTGACCAGAATATCACACCCTCCGATAAACTCCCCATTCACGTACACCTGGGGGATTGTGGGCCATTTCCTGGACGTCCAAAGAACCAAGTCACGAATTGGAAATGGATCCAGGAGAATGCAACTGAAGAATTACGCCAGCACATATCTAACGTGCACTTGGGCAGATCTTAACGTCGGAACACCTTAGCCAATCATTAAGGTGATGATTAAGCCACAACTTCAGGAGGTTTATATGCAAGAGCGGGTCAGGTCACTCGCAAGCGATGGGCAGATCCCAGCCGAACTTCTGAACAGCATCCCTGCAAATGCTGTCGCCCTTCCTGCTGGTCGCTGAGATAACCGGAAAATCTTTCCCACACAAGCACCTTGACCGAGAACTTGGTGAACAAAGAGGGCAGTCAATAGAGCGACTCACGAGTAAGACTTGACGCCTTGCCTCAGCTCCTCATCTTGCAGGACATTTCGACTGCTGAATGGGACCTCTGCAGAACAAGAAGAAAGTGAGCATGACTATCTGCCTTTTGTCATACGGTCCATGACTCTGTTGATTCTCCAACGGACTTACCGAGTTCTCAAAGGGCACACACCATTTGTGTGCGTGCCACAGATCCATGAATTAGATGTCAGGCCATCGCCGAAGCATGGTGACGATTTGGAGAACATAAAAACATCAGACACTAGCATGGACGCAGGTTGTAAGAGAAGGCAACAGAACTGGCACATGCCAGGAATTGCACTCAAAAACTCGGAGCAGACCAGACAGAAAGAATTCCATCATTCTGGTGAATGATTGAAGCTGCCTGGATTCGATACCAGGTAGACCAGCTAATCATGCCCTTCGTCTGGTTTTGGATCTTACCGTATGCTTTCAAGATCTGCACCACCGCCCTACTGAAGCCACACATGGGGGCATCTGGAACGCCCTTCATGTAGACCATCACTGGGTTCCCCTTGACGTCCTGCAATGAAAGTTGAGCAGAAATCTTCAATGTCCCTTCAATCCAATCGATGTTATCTGCAGACTGCTTTTCAACCTCCGCGGCGGCCCCTAAATCAAGTGTTGTCCGACGAAATTTGTCAAAAAACCTGACTGAAGCTAATCACCTGCAGCTCGAATCTGGTGGTAAGCAAGAGTTCCTGGAAGGTACCAGGGCGACGAAGGGTGCTCAAACATGAGGCGTTCTTCTCAGTCATGAGTAGCACAGGCTGATATCACTGGCTTTTCTCCAGTGCTGTGCACCATCTGTGAGCCCTGTCTCAGGAGGCGCAAGACGCCACCATGCCGTGGTTGTGCTTATCACTTGAAAAAGAGTGCCTGGCATATGCAAGAGGACGAGTGCGATGCAGACCACTGTATGCAACGGCCATTAAAATGGGTGGATACAATCAAAGTTGCATGCACTAATTTCAAGTTCAACACGCATACGAGGATCGCTTACCTCCTCTATCAACTGGTGAATTGTTGGAATTTCATCCTCCTTCTTGTACCTAGGCTTGAAGTCATCGTGTGTGTCTGCTTCACCAGCTTCTGTGTCGGTGGTGCTGGAGGTCGCCCCCTGAATCCAGCGAGCGGGTGCGAAAGAAAAGCCTAACGAAAGAGGCAAGAAAATAGGTACATCAGCACGCGTGACAACAGTTGAGTCAACAAAGCAGCTTCCAATGCTTAGAGAATCAACAAGAGTAACTCTGGAATTCAACTGGGATAGATTGCTGCACCACCACTCAGCACAGGTGCAACTTGCTGAAAACCTGAGCTCTGACAGACTGCAAAGCTGATGGATGTACTGAATTTTGATGCTTGAGGACAATCGCCAGACTGCCAGCATTCCTTTTTCTTATCAGGATGCATAAGTGACCGCTGCGATTTCACCCAGCAGTCTGTGGATGAGCTTCGGTACCAACCTGTCAAGCTTGACGTCTTCGTGTTGTCAACGCGCAAGTGCCGACTGACAGCCCTGGAAAACGACAACATGGTGGCAGGAGAGAAGGACCAGACTCCCTGCAGTAGTCCTATGGGTAGCAGTCTATGCTCTCTTCTGGTCGTGGCGCCTCTGTTCCTCCCTGCCAAATGAAGTTTGCTGAGCTGCACAGTTTCCGTAGACGCAAATCTGTGCACGGGCAGGGGGGTGAAAGCAGGGTGAAAGCAGGGTGAAAGTGGGCATCGCTGCTGAAAACGTGCAGAGATGCTCTGCATATGCTGCTGCAGTGCCACACAATATAGCTACTCAAGCAGTCGACACAACTAATCTACGATGTGATACTGAACTTCGCTTATAGATTGCCGGCGACCACGGTTGCCGGAAGCGTGGAACGAAGTACCGATCTCAGGTATCGGGAAGTTTGAATCAGCTTTTGAAGGTAGTATTGTGGTCGGTTAGCTTGATAGGTCAACCGGAATAGACGACCGGGTCAACGCGACTTCACCTTGAAATCCCAAAATTAGCCAATTTCTACATTCGGCTTGTTGCCCCGAGTATGTGGATACGGCGACCCATTGTGGGCAATATACGGTGGCAGAGTCGCTGTAACAAGTCCCCCCGAGGAGTCGTTTTCGACGGCCTTGTCAATTGGCCGTAGATTCCGTTCGATAAAGTGCTGTACGTGCTAATCCGTCGAAAGATTCTGCCGCACTTGCCCGCGCTCCCGTCACCATATTCACCGGTTTCGACGATAAACGGCCATTTATGTAGAAACAGGGCAATATTCTAGGTATGGCGTGTGCTGAGAAGTTCAGTAATAATCCACCAATTTCTGGAGGTTGATGTTATCCTCTTATAAAGAAAGATCTGTTGTCGTATGTCCCTGACCAAAAACCTGAAAATAGGAAGAGCATCAGCTGCGACTTTGCACTTGGTCGCACTTGGTCCTGAGTCAAACTCCAGAGACACAGCTTGCGATCAATCAGGGCGTTGCAACTGTTAGAGGAGATGAGAGGATCAAGGAGCAGGCGCATTTTGTGTCCGCAGTTCCTGGTCAGAGGTGGCAACAACCTCTTTTGATGAAACGGGTGGCTTCTTGCCAGATCTATTTTTGAAGGGGCCAGCTGCATTGACATACATTTGCACCCCTCTGTAACGACTGGGCAGCTTGTCGCTGGCCACATCCCTTTTCCTGCCAGCGGCAGCGTTCTTTCAGCCCTGCGTGTATAAATTGCTGCAATCCCACAAGATCTCATTCTTCAACAGCTCAAATAATCAAAGAGGACCCCCAATAGGATGGCATCTTCAGCAGGGCCCAGCTACCCAGACAGATTTTATCTTGCTGCAAAGTATGCAAGCATTCCAGGAACTTGTGAGGGCGCAGAGGATCGCGTTCAGCCCCCTCCTCTACGGGATGATTCAAAGCTAGTTCTGTACGCGCTCTATCAGCAGGTTGGTGCATTTTATCGGTGCAGCCAATCATTCAGCTCAACTCTTTTATTGTATTGTGATTGAAAAGAAGGGTCAGATCAGTCGATCAGTCTTGTGGGACTCATTAGGTGCAGAACTATAAAGTGCAGCAGATCTAAGGCTCAATCTTATTGTTGGATCCATTATATGCAGCTCTGGATCCATACTTGTCAAGTAGAGTCTTTCATCATTGACGTTGTCTTCCATTTGCGCAGGCAACTATTGGTCCTTGCAATGCTCCCAAGCCCTGGTCGTGGAATGTGGTTGAGAGTGCCAAATGGACGAGGTAGGTGGAGGGGACTTTCATAATGTACCTTCTCTCTATCTTGCGATGCCTGGTTGGATAGTGTGTGGCTGTTTAGTAATGTTGTGTGTCTCAATTGCGCCAAGTGACGACCAATCAGCCTGATGCAATCAGCTCGTTAAATTGGCGAGCCATATGAATAAAAAGCGGATGCACGCTCTCCTGTTAAGGTCATCGATGAGTGGTGTTTTGTAGATGTCTGTTTCCTCACCTCACAAGGTTGAATCCATGCTGAACAAATGGCCCTATGTTGTACAGTTGGAACGCGTTAGGGAGGACAGCGCCAGTGGAAGCGATGAGGCTCTTTGTGAGGACACTTGAGGTAAGAAGCTTCAATCTACTGGCTGGATGAATCTAGTTTCAGTCCCTTGCAACATCAGCGTGTGCAACCAACTGCTGATCAACGTGGCACTTATACACGGGCCTGTGCCAAGTGCAAACTCCATCTTCCCTTCATCACAGGAGGAAGAACCAGACTGGTTCGCCAAGGCAACTGAGGGAGGCATCACACTCAACGTGGCCAACGGCGCTCCAGACAGCTCTCCGAAGGCGCCAGGGCCTGAGGCTGCTGTGCCTCAGCAGAAGGCGCCTGCAGCACCGGCCCCAGCGACCACTGCCAAAGAGGCAGCCAATGGGGCAACACCGGTAGTGGCAAGCAAACCTGAGGTCAAGGAACCAGAGGTCACTCGTGTGGAGAGTTTCAGGAGCATCAGCAAGTTTGACCAGTGGATCTCGCCGTTTGTGTCGGGGCGGAGGCCTCCGCCGCGGTATCAGGTGCGTGGCAGTCTTTTTCCTGACTGCCTGCTGATGGGACCTGTGGCGGCTCTTATTAACATGGCCATCGAGGCTGTCCTATGTTTCTCTTCTTGGAACAGTCAACTTGTTTCCAGGGTCCCCCTTGATGATGAATTTCCATCTGTATCCAGCATTTGGTCACATCAGTTTCACCCTTTGGAACAGACATTGAAGAACTATGTTCTTTTGCAGCATGAGGTGGCAGTGGTTGGAGACCAGCTTTTTGTTGTCGGTGGCAACTCTGGAGGCCGCTATCTGAATGATCTATGGGTAAGTCTTTCTAGCTTGAGCTGTGGCAAACTACAGGCCCCACAGGAGACACTACGTCACCTCTTTGGGACTTACAGGTCACATCTCCTTCCAGAATCCTGTGCAATTCCCTGTTGCTCACGAGGTGTGTTTCCAGTCACCTATTTGTCACCTGCTGCCTCAGTTACTGAAACGATCATATCTATGTCTGAATCACCTACTACTTGTAAGTTTAGACCGAGCCTTTCTGTCCCTGCTTGGAGGTGGTTCTTCGGGCCACATTTTCGCATATTCAGAATGCCTTTTCCTGTGCGTTTGCAGGTTCTGAGTTTGGAAAATTTCACGTGGTCACGGGTTGAGCAAATAGGGCCCGCCCCCCCTTCCAAAGAAGAGGACGCCCCTCTTCTCGCCCCCCCTCCACTGCCCCCTTTGGCAGGCCACTCCATTGTAAGTGCCTCTTGTTAACCGAAGAATCAAGCTGAGAGGTCACTGGTTGGCTGGCTACGATGCAGAGTCCCCTTGCGCTGAATTGCAAGGGTCTTTTCTCTTAAAGTTGCAACGGTTGCTAGTGTATGCAAGCAGAATCTGAGTAACACACTCCGCTTCAAGGGTTTAATTATTTGCCCAGCCTGAGTTTGGAAAATCGTGCTTCACGTCATCATACATCTGTACAAAATTGTTTCTTGATTTCCACCAACAGAACCGCAGCGTAAGCTCGCACCGAATGCTCCTGCATTCTGGCTGGTAACAAGATTCTAGTGTTGATTCTATCAAGCCTTTCACACGAGCCAAGCTGCTAACCCATAGTTCCACCTGACAGATCGCGTCAGGCTCCACCCTTCTAGCCGTCGGCGGCCACACCAAAGAACCTGCTCCCACGGTCCAAGTCCGGTCCTTTGACACGACAACCTCCAAGTGGTCAATTCTCGAGACCACGGGAGACGCTCCCGCCGCCCGGGGTGGGCAGACGGTGGTCAAGGCTGGCTCCAGGCTGGTACTGTTTGGCGGCGAGGACCGGAAGCGGAAGCTGCTGAACGACGTGCACGTGTTGGATCTGGAGACGAAGGCGTGGGACTCGCCTAGTACCAGGTACGTGTGCCCATTAGAAAAGAAGGCTAAGGATAAACGAAGCATGTGTAGCCTGCTCTGATCCTCCAGGAGGGTGGGGGTATAGAAATCAAGGATCGATAGGGACGAAGGCATTCGAGACGAGGCAGGTCCTGAACGCGATTGGGGTCAGCTATCGGAGTTTCCAGGCTGCGTACCTGATCAGAAAGTATAGCAATCACGTTGTCCAAGTGGGAGCAAGTTGTAGGTCTTTCTCAACGCCTAGTTGCATGCAGCTTGGACTCGTGTCCGGCTCAACTGTATAGGTTCAGTCCGGGTTATCTAGTGCTTCCGCCGTTATATTCAGCGTCTTGCCTGCTTCGCTGCAGTGGGGCGCCCCCCAGTCCTCGCTGCGATCACACTGCGACGCTTCACAATGGGCGCTACATGCTGGTGTTTGGAGGGGGCACGCTCGCTAACTGCTACAACGATCTTCATCTTCTCGACCTCGAAACCGTGAGCAACCGGATCAATGTCAAGCACTCAGCTGTCGACTTATCCTTCGAGCCTGTCCAATCCTTAATTCGTGGCGAAACTCATGCTATGACGTTCTAAAGCAGCCGTGTAATAATAGACACGCCTGAGTCATCTTCAATTGGAACCCTGTCGTTGCTTCGGTTATTGGGCCGAATGCAAGCCCGGATTTGAAGAGGATAGGTTCTTCGGCCTCTGTGACTTCCTCTTTGTCAGGATCTGAAGTGGTTCAACAGCAGACTGAAAGCTTCGACTTCCTCCGCCAGTTCGAGTGGTCCCGACCCGAGACGCATGGCGACACCCCGCACCCGCGCTCTGGCCACGCGAGCGTCGCCATCGGTGACACGTGGTACATCGTGGGAGGCGGAGACAACGCCCACGGGATCGCAGACACTCTGGCGCTGAACCTGAACTCGTTCACGTGGTCGGTGGCCGCGACCGTCCCGACGAAAACCTCAATCGCGAGCGAGGGGCTGAGCGTCGTTGCGGCGTACGAGGAGGGGCTGGTGGCATTTGGAGGGTACAACGGGCGGTACAGCAACGAGGTGAGGCGATGCAGAAGCGCTGTCGTGCGGAGGGGGGGCCGCCCTGTACAGTGAGCGACATTTTAAACTCAAGTGGAATCCAAGGGCTTCGAAGCTGGGACGATTAGGGCTAGCAGACGGAGACTAAAGCATGCGACGACAAACATCTTTCGAAGCCGAGGCAATGCGAAGTGGAGCACTGTCATCTTGAAGTCTTTGTCCAAGCTCTGTGAAGTGTGCGCTCTGAAGAGGACCTAATTGATCATGCATAGCTCCTAGATCACCTACTCCTTGCTGACGTGCCATTTTTGTACCTAGCACTTCGCTCCTTCTGCCGTCGCAGATCCATGTTTTCAAGCCCACCCCCGTGGAGAAGCCGAAGCCGGTCATGGTCCGCTCCAAATCGGCTGAGAACGCCGCCGCCGCGGTCGCTGCCAAGTCGCCCTCGAAGCCTGCCCCGGAGAAATCAACCGACCCACCCAAGAAGCCTTCTTCGGCAGCGGCCCCGCCAGAAGAGTCCCCGGTGGAAGCCACCCGGCCGAGCAGAGAAGCGGCCGAGAACGAGAAGAGAGCCAAAAGGGAAGCGGAAGCGAAGTCGAGAGCGGAAGAGGAGGCCAGAGCGAAGGCGGAAGACGAGCGGATTGCAAGGGTGCGGCAAGAGATGGACGGGAAGAGCAAGGTGAGCGCGGTCGGTCATCTGGGCGTTGCCAGTTTTGTTGGCAAATCCGACTTGTTGGCAGTGTAGAAAATGCCTTGATGTCGTAGTGAAGATCAAACCTTGTGCGGAGGCGACGGTCGGGAATCGGTCGTGATGCGCGGACGATGTTTCTGGACTAGGCAACGTGCACTCGATTCCGCCGCAGGCAACTGCTGCTTAGACCTATGCAAATCTTACTTCGCTGACTCCTTAAAACAGACAGACGCGAGTCCTCCAGAGTTACTTTGGCCTTCTTTCCGAGGCAACAACCCGATACCTTCGCAGTGCTTGGCGGGAGTGATAAGCTACCGCAATCGGACTCACGAGATGTTACTATGCAGTCTGCAATTGAAGCGGCGGTAAAAGCGAAGGAGAAGGCCGAGGCAGCCGCCAACGCCGCTGTCGCTGAGTTGGCGAAAACGAAGCAGGAGCTCAACGCCCTCAAGTCAAAACGACTCGACGGTCATCAGGTATGCTGTGAATGAACGGAAGAACCAATTCACCCGAGAGTTGCTGTGATGGAAATCATAGCATCCTCGCATTGACAGAAAAGCTTTGTTGCATGTTGACACCTGTTGCTCCTTATAAGGACTTTTCGCTCTTACACGTTAAATCTCAAAGGCAGAATATCACCACTGAACGGGTCTGGCAAATGAGACCTTTCTGACTCCCTGTGCTTAGGCTAGCAAAACCCGTCAGCACACTGTCTCTGGTCTGAGTATCTGCTCGTATCCGGTGCCAATGCCACTATCAGGTTGCCAATTTCCTGCTCTCAGGAATGCCGATCTCCTCGCCCTATCGCTCTTTCTCGGCTTGCTTCACGGAATTCTTTTGCACTCCCTTTGCAAATGGACAGCCTTGTAGGAAGTGGAAATCAATGAAATAAGCAGATTCGATCGAGTAAGTTGGTGACGTGGAGCTCAAAACAGTCGCTGACGTGGACTTCCTCGACGCTGCAGGAATTGGAGACGGCCAGGAAAGCGTTGGCGAGTGAGCAGCAGCGCTGCTTCCAACTGGAGGTGAGCCCTTCTGCCAATGCTGGCGGTACAGGCTTTAAGTCCTCTGTTCTGTTTCTGCTTTCCAGCATGCTTCGACCAAAAAAGGTGTTGTACGGGAATGAGATCGAGAAGAGCGAGTGTGGAACTCAAAAAGGTGTACAGCTGCGCTGTGGTCAAACCCCGCAGGAGTCGCTCATCCATGTGGTTGCTGGCTGATCGAGGTCTGAGGCTGTCCTTTGAATGGTCTGAGAGCCGGGAACAAGTTGCCAGTGATTGTGTCGCTATCGAGCGGAAAGCTAATTGTCTGGTCTTGCCCTCGACAGGTCGAGGTCTCGAGTTTGAAGCAACAGCTAGGGAACGTGGAAGCCCTGGAGCAAGAGATCAAGCTGCTGAGACGAAAAGCGGAGCAATCCGAAGCAGCGGCCGCGTCAGCCAAGCAGCAGCAGCAGAGCGGCATCTTCAGTTGGATAACGGGCACCCCGCAAGCACCAAGCCCCGACGAACCAAGAAGTTGACCTTAAGAATGACATATAAACCAACACTGCTTCAAACTGGAGAAGAGATCGTTTGTCCAACTGTGAACACGCCTTTGATACTGGGGTTTGTGCACGGATCATTGCTGGTGCAGACCGTTTCTGGAGACGAACAGCCCATGCGTAGCACATCGAGTCCTCTGCTACTGGCTTTGATAGGCAAATTAGATTCCTGTGCATCGTGAACCCCGTTAGCTGGTGATGGAAACCATCCCGTGCTCGCGGCCAATTCCTTGCTAGCCCAAAGGTTGGTCAGACATTTGGGCGGCATGCAAGTACAAGCTTGCAACCTACCTGGAGTCGATCGGCGCATGTGAGTATACGTAATGTATTCGTGGCCCCCCCCACCCAAAGTGCAACCGTCTTGTCGTGAGTGAATGAGCATTCAGCTGGCCCGAACTCACACAAATCTTGCATGAGCGTATATTGCACGTCACTTTACTAGGACCTCCATATGCATCATGTTCCATTCGAGGTGCAACAATCGATTCCATATGGTCGCGTATAGGACGCCCGCGATCCTGTAACCATTTATATGTTTGCATGTGGCCCGAACATGCGCACTAAAGAGCTTGCAGATCACGAAATTGTAGATTCGTGAATCTATAATATTCAATTAGGCGCCGCCACTGTGACTTGTACTAGTTAGAGGCTAGTCAGCGTTGTGGTCGACCGCCCGCGGCATGAGACTATACGCGCTCATCTACTCCAGCTTGCCAGCACGCAATGATACGAGTGCAGGCTAATAATCCCTGCGCATGGCAATAGTCCGATCCATGTATTCAAGCGACTTCGCGGCAGGTCTAAGCGTCTGCAAAGCAGAATCAAGCAGGCACAATCTGCATGCAACGGTATGAAGCGCCTAGCTCGCCCTTCGAGCTGCCTCACGCTTCCAAATTCTGAGTGCGCCAGCTAGATCTGCCAGTGCCGATGCCGGCGAGGTAGTCTAAGTTCCTTATCTTCGTCTTGAGAGTGTATCCGGAAGCCAAGGAGCATCGACCTGCGACGTACGACGCTCTGCAGATAACATGATGTGTTCACTTATAGATCAATGTATGCGGCCGCCTTAGGTATTGGAGTCATGCATTCCGGCACGGATAGCCAAACGTGGCAAGAATGATGCTTTCTATAGGGTTGCTCCTAGTTATAAGGGCTCGCAAAATCTCGGAGTTCTGAGTAAGTCATGGATACGTACTGGTAAGACGGTCTTCTCTGCATCCATCACCTCGGAACCGTGTCCCAAATGCAAGTATGCTGACGCAAGGTTTGGCCTTTGACGGCGGTGGCCGGGTTTTCCAGCCTTCGGGTTTCATCTATATCAAAGTTTTTGAGGCGTGCTGGCTCTAAAAACCAAGGCCGTAATGAAACATTCATCCTTGCCTGGAGCAACGATACTCGATACAAGTAGGGAATCTTTTGGGCAGGCTGAAGTCGTGCTGGCTACAGCAGGACGGTACATCAAGCTGCAATTTGCAGACTTTGCCCGAACCGACACTGTCACTGGCCCTTATGGATTCTTCCCGTTCGGGTCGCACTGCCTTGACTGGCATTGCCCTCAGAATCGATCACCAACCGTGTCTAGCACGCTATCTTTCAGGCTTCATGTTTTCAAGCTTGGAGGGATCCCCCTCCGCATCCATCCCCTCGGCGCCCATCTGCGACTCCACAACTTCTTCCTCCCGCTTCTTCGGCGCCTTCTTCCCGACCCCCACGAGCCGCCAGTACAAGAAGCGTTTCTCCACGTGCACCGCGCGCAGGGCCGGCCGCGCCGCCGCCGAAACCCCGTCCAGGAAAACCCCCAGAACGTCCTCGATGACGTCAGTGCTGGTGAACGCGTAGTCGTGCCCGACCACGCTCTTGTCGAAGCCGCTGGCGTCGATGACGTCGACCTTTTGAGAGAGCGCCACGTGGCGTGTTTCGCTGAGGAAGGAGTCGATGCGGAAATGGCCCAGTCGGGGAAGCCCCCCGTGCACGCGCTCCGACATGCGCAGCGCTTTGTCGTTGGCGGAACAGTAGACGGATACGCGATCGACCTGCAATTGGAACCGGAGCTAATCACTGATGATGACTGAAATCTTGGCTTCATTTTCTGATGCACGGTTTCCCCCTGGTGCTTGCTTCGCTTTTGATCACGCAAAGATAAAGAGCTTGATGTACAAGTGAAAGCAGCAAGCTGCAGCAGGCGGAATTCGCGCAAAGTCGAGAAGTCAGACGAGTCGTTTTATCCAGATAAGGTTGGGTTCTCTGAAATGTGTCGCAGGCACGAGAGCAAGATTTGCCAAACGATCCTCTCCGTGTGTCATCTCCTGAGCCCGATATCCTCAGAATCTTCTTCATCTGGCAAGTTGCCAAGGCGTCGATTCTTGCGCGACTGGTGCCCGTCGTGCCGCATGCTCAACAGATTCTTATAATTGTGCGGACATCTGACGAGAGGTTCTTTTGATCTGCTTTTCTTCGTTGCCCGTGACACTTGTTTACCCGAGAACGAAGCTATAAACGTTGAGCAATCGATCGAGTGTACGAGAAATCAAGTCCGCAGAATCTGTGCCAAAAGAAAGTCTGGATTTTATCGTTGGCACTTGCACTTTTACAAGGCTTAATTTTCTCCCGAAGCGACCACCCTTCAATTTCCAGTTTTATTACCTTACCACCTGATCCTCCGGTCCGTCTGCATCGAATCGTTCTTATGGTCTGCCCCGTTGTCACTATCCACAACTTATAGAAAGGAACCTTTCGCAGAACACTGTACTAACAATCTAACTCCAAAGGAAGACCAAGTCCTCACCAGCTTGTCAAGGTCCGACTGCGCCTCGAAGAACTCCCCGGTGTCAAAGTCCGGGGCGGCCAGCACCAGCTGCCCCGGCCGCGCGGCGCCCTTCGGGGGACTCCAACCGGTCAGTCGGAGGAGCCCGTTGATGGCCACCTGGCTGCCCATGCTGTGCGCGAACACGTGCACTCGTTCTAGCCGGTACGACGTCATTAGGCGCTTGAGGAAGCTGGCGAAGTGACGTACCGACCACGTGGCGTTGGCTTGGTCCCCTTCGTACAGGTCGAGCGACTGCACCGCAAAAGGAAAGCAATTGACGGTGATAATATTGGAATAAAAGCGGCAGTTTCGCCATATCGGCAACTTCAAAGAGCGAGATTTGAGTTCGATCGCAAGCAGGCTTATTCATTGACGATTCGGGGATAGACAAGACTGACGTTGAGATAATGCCACCGCTTCCGTAACAGCGTGACCGCACTCCAAAGTGACCTTAGTTTTATAGCGCTCTGAAGCTTGAGTAGCACAAATGATGACCAAGCTTCGAGCATCGAAGCGAGCAATTCGAAGGGCTACCAGTATTGCAGGCACGGAACGAGAAGACGGAGCATGCTGCTTATGGTCGAAAAGATACGATGGAACTCCGCACTCCCAAAAAGACGCATAAGACGACTCGGCAACGAGTTGACGTCTACGGGGGGACGGAGTAACGAGGTTCTCGCTAGACGCCCCGAATCAAAAGCATGCGGAGAAGCGGAAGATTCCGGTTTGAGCACCTTGGAAAGAAAAGCAAGTTCAAGAATCGAAACAATTCTTCAAGTGCTCGGGTATGAAAGTATGCACAGGTTTCAAAATGCTCCTTCAAGTGCCTGGAAAGAATGCAGTGCAAAGAGACCGAAAGAACGAAGCACCTGGAAAGAGGGCCAGCTGAAGACGAAGATGGGCACGTCCCGCCGCATCTTGTACGCGTAGAGCGCCATGTACTTGGCCGCGCTCGCGAAGCGGCAGTTGAAACCTGGACATGAGAGACCAATGTGGAGTAAGACTTGCGCACCAGGAGAAGATCAGTGTTAACCAAGATTTTCTTGCAGTTGGTTGATTCTCTTGTACCAAGGGAACTTACGTTCTCGGTTCGAAGCACACAACCAGTCGTGGTTAAGGGCAGAAGCTTCCTGCGGCGTACAGTATGGCAAACGATTTCGGGGGGATGCGATGTGATAGTGCCTACTTTTCAGGGTCTGGCAATGACCAAGCAGAATGAACGGCACCAGAGCCGCGAATCACAGCAGGCAGCGGAATGGAATGGCCGTGCGGGACGAACGGAAAGGAAAGGGAAGGTGTTCAGTGCCCCCGAAAGATGTTGGAAATGGAGTTCACTACGAATGCTAGCTTTTTTATGTCCTTCAACGGACAGAAAGCAACCGGGGCATGACATGAACGACTGAGCGCCGCACTCCGCGATACTGCCTGCCCTTGTGAACGGCTCGCAAGACACTTCGTGTAATTTCGCTTTTCCTTACTCGTAGCTGTTGGTTTTCCATACAGTCAGAATATCATTTTGAGGCGCAACCAACGAGATTGCCGGCTATGCCTGCACGAAACAACGAAACAGACGCCTTTGCGGGGGCGGCCGCTTTTGCTCGGCTACGTGCGCCAAGTGGCGTAGATAGGCTCTCGTTCTCTTGATCGCACTGATAATTACATGAGCAGAGAAACCTTTTGTTGTTGCCGTGACATGATCGAACACGGTTGGCTCCTTAAGAGCGCCGTTCCGACCGACCACGTATGCCACGTGGCAGTCGAGAAGGCTCATCATAATCCGATAATCGTGCTGATTATTTGCTTTGACAATGGAAACGTAGCAACTTATCATGAACGAACACGATCGCCTCCCCGGGGGGCGCCATCCCGACCAACCAATTGTGCCACGTGGCGGTAAAAAAGGCTGACATGACCCTGCTATCGTGCTGATTCAATCGCATGCGATTGACAAAGGAAAGGTAATACGTACCATGAATGAACACGATCGCCTCCCGGGGGGCGCCGTTCCGGCCGACGATGTGCCCAATGTGGCAGTCGAGATCCATCACGATACAGCTCTCAATCGCGAGGCTCTTGCTCGTGTTCCCGGTGGGCCGCTTTCGATACGAGCGCCACAAGAAGGGCAGGTCCGCGCCGTTCGATGCGACGTCGTCGAAGTCCGGGAGGGACACGCGGACGAAGCCCGTTGAGGGCGTGTGCGCGCGCGCTCTGCCGAAGAAGTCGTCGGGCGTGCGGCGGCCGGAGGGCGCGCGGACGGTGCAGAAGAAGAGGGCGACCTCCATGTAGCCTCTCCAGTTGGTGGAGTCGCCTGAGAAAAGGCTGAGGCATTATCGGGGACGAGAATCACGTGAGACTGAAACAGGGTCCAAAGCAGAACCATTTTGAATAAGAATTCTAGATGCCGCTGCGAGACTGGTGGAGAGGGCTGTATGAAGTAAGAACATAGAGGTTGAAGAGGCAACGTTTGAACACTCGGAAAACCGTACTTGGTGGGGCCGGGACGTTATACGAACATCGAAGAATAAAGGGCGGGCGTCCGAAGATGTCTTTGATTCGAATCCTTCTCGAGAAGAGACTCCAAGTCATTGGCTTTTCGAGGAGGCAAGAATACTAACTTGCATATGTAAAGGTTTTCCAAAGTTTGCTCAGGAGACATTCAGTTCAGGAGAGAAGCAGAGGGCTCTCAAAAACACCGTTGGAATAGTCGCAGTAGTACGTCTAGCACCAGGTCCGACCTTCGAGAACTCCCAATGGGTAGGGCGCGCAGCAAGAAATCAACACGATTAACATAACGTACCACAGACGGCGTAAAAGATGGAAAACATTCATAACCTCAACTTGTGACGAAATAGCGGATCCTGGAAACTGGCTGTACTACTTCCCAAAGGGAAAGCTCGAAGCTTTGAGTCTACAAGTTGTTCAAGCTCAGCCGAAACCGCAGAACTTGACTTCGCTAGAAGATGATCGGTGATCGAAACTACGTTTCGACTGGCAAATGATATCCGCAGAGCAGATCCCAGTCACTTTCACCCTGCGCTCATCATTCATTGCTTCTTGGTCCCACTAGAAAATCGACTTTCCGGTGTTGCATGCACGATATTGATGCAGCCTTCGCTCTACTTACCTTCACTGCTCCCCGCCTGCAGGTCTTCGCTCGGCTCCTCCCTTCCTCTTTCCAACTTCACATACATCAGCTGAAACAGATTCAGCAGCTCCTGTTTCTCTCGCCACCGCTTCGGCAGCACCAGCCCGGCCGCGTCCCTAGCCGCGTGCGCGGCCATCTGCTTCAAAACCCTCGCCTTCTCCCCGGGCCAGCAACTGCTCCCTGATGGCGTCACCCAGGCTCTGCAGGACGCTGACGTCAGCATGCCCGTCCTTGTGCGCGCGCACGACTGGCAGGATGCGCTGATGGAGCTCCTGTGCGAAGGCGTGGTACTCGTCCCCCAGGCGCTGGCGAAGGTCGTCCAGATTGGCGACCAGGAACCTGAGGAGCAGCACGCGTTCCCGCTCTTCGTGAGAAGCTTGGTCGCCGGAAGTGCAGGGGTCATGCAAGCAACTAGAGAGGACCATCTTGCTCGTTTTTAGATAAATCTCCTTTGTGGTGACGCCGGGTGGCTGGTAGTGCAGGGGTCATGCAAGCAGCTAGAGAACCCGAGCGTCTTGCTCGCTGTCAGGTGATCAGCCTCCTCTGTGATGGCGCCGGCGCCGCTTGTAGACTGCCATCCTCAAGAAGAGGTTCGAGGGCACGAGACGACTTTTCTGGGACAGGCGTTGAAAACCGAAGTGCGAGCGTTTTCCTGAGATGCAAGCGTTCTCCAAGTCTTCAACCAGATGCAGCGTTTGGTGTAAGAGATCGAGGTGTGGCTCAATGCACAATTGCAGGCTGCCGAGAAAGAAACTATCCAAGCTTGATCTGAAAGCCTGAATGGATGCTACCAACGAAGCGGTGCCCAATTCCAAGCTGCGATTGCATTCTTGGACCTTCGGATTGCCCGGATGAGACGCCGCTTCCCTAGCGCTTTACAATACAGGGGAAAATACAAGGGAAATACAAGCTGCAAACTCGCACACGGAGCCGGTGAGACAACCAGCTGGCGGATGCCTGACAGGCCTTTCTCTTCGTCGCGTGCTGCGCTTGTCTGCAAGTCGAAAACTTTATTGAGAAGAAGCAAGTGCGCCGTCAATACTGCACTTCCTGCATGCTCTTGACTCGTCAGCTGTGAGAACAGTGTCAAGCTCGAACACACAGAATCAAGCTTCGTACAGGTTGCATGGCGACTCTTCTCCTCTAGTGCTGAAGCAGGAAGGAAAAGCACGTCGTCTGTTTCAATCAGAATTCACGATAATCTTACATGAAGGAACCCGAGACACCGTCTCCCTGTCCACTGAACTTGAAGGCGCTGATCATCCGCAAAAGCGGGACGCGCAGAATTTCATGTTTAGGGTTTCAAGTTCGTCGAGGGTTTTGTGTTCAGCGCCCCTCCAGCTCCGAATCCCCCATGCATGCGTTGGAACGTCACAGGGTACGTACCAGCGGAGAGGGACAGGCCAACCGAGGGCTCTCATCCACAGGAATGCCCCTAGCTTTGACCGGAGAAACATTGGTCTGGTATATCGTACCAAACATGGAAGCTTACCGAATACCGATCGAGATCAGCAGGGGGGGATGGGAAAAACACGACACATTCAATCTGCAGCGCTAGCGCGCGCGCTATCGCTCAAAAGACTGAAGGCTTTCTCTACTTTTCTTTCACTCCAGGACACCAAACGTTAGAACTGCTGTTTTCAAGAATCAAGCGCAATGGCTCCCAGCAAAGGAAAAGCGGGCCTGACCTTGGGTGGTATAGGCTCCTCACTCTCCGTTGCCGATGTCTACAATGTGGCTGCAAAGAAGGGGAAGGTGGCGCTGGACACTGCGGCGCTTGAGAAGCTGGCAAAAACCTTGGCGGCACGGCTCAAAGGTGATGTAAAAGTGAAGGACGCAGAGCCTGAGGAAACAAACGAGGCTGCTGCAAGTGGTGTTGCCAAGGTGAGGGGGAATGGAGCCCAATTTTGTCTGCAGGCGCCTAACATGCCATCATAGAGTTTGGGGCTGCATTTGCTTGCGAAACTGTTGCTTCCAAGTGGTGGCAATGGTGCGATGCTTGATCCTGCTACCATGGAAGCTGCAGAATTGCATGCTGTCAGTGTTGCGAAGTTGTGGCCTGTTGTACGACATGCCTACATTGAGTCGATTCTTTTAGGTTCTGAGAGCCGTCTGCGAATGCGAATAATCAGCAATATGGCTCAAGTAAACTTCTCATAAGGTCACTGACCTTTTCGGATTCTGAGAGTTTATCCAGGATAAATGCCCTGTTTATGTACAGACCTGGAGATCAGGATCTCTTTCTTTTGCATTTCTTGATTTGCTCTACTACCGGTGGGTGGAAGCTGATTGTCTGCTCTGCCTGGAACAAACTTTTCCCTCCCTCAGTTTGAAGCTGTTCCTCTTTTCCAGGAATGGCTCTCGGATCCTGAAAGCCGGGCAGCGCTCCTCGTGAAGCTGACCGAACTCATCAACAGTGGCGCCCTCCGACCTGCGGCTCTCCAGTTCTTCGAAAGCGTTCTGAACAGCCAAGTCACCTTGAGCCTCCCCTCCTCCGCCACTGACGCCCCCATTCTGAGAGCCCTCGCCGGCGGCGCCGATGGGAACTGGAACGCTCCTCAAATAGGCGTTCAGCAGGAGAAGGCAGTTGAGACTCTCGCCGGAAACGAAACGGGTGTGAGCAAACCCCCGGGGTTAAGTGCTGCTGAAAAAGTTGCCGTCGGCCAGGGGATCGCTGCGTCAGTTGGAGTCTCGGCGTTGGCAGTGTTTGAGGCAGAGCGGCTGGTTGAGATCATTGATGCGGTGGGGGCGCTCACGTGTGAGGCCCTAGGGGCAGTCACGACGGGATTTGATGCGGACGTGCACGACGTTGGGAACCCGCACAAGTGTCAGGTGAGGGCAGGATTTGCGCTCTCTGGCTGCAGCGCTGATTATGGTTAAGACCAAGTTTGGATCCCTAACTTTTCTTTGATGATGAAAGAGGAAACACCATCTTGTTCAGCATGCGTTGAATCTTTCAGTGGACTGATGCAATGCCTGCTGATCACAAGCCCACGGTGGTGATTGATTTTGCGACTCCTCTTCCTAAGAGATGTCGCTGGAGGAGATTCGTGCGCTGGTATGCAAAAACTGAACATGGAAAGCAAGCTTAAGCATTTTGTCAGACTGCATTGGTCGTGGAAAAGCCTACTCACTGGGATCAGATCCGTTTCATAATGGACCGATTGTCACTGCTTTGGTTGATGTAGAGCCTCAGCGCCATCAATCAGGGGAGGTGAAAAAGCGGTCATATCCTACGGCGGGCCGATATTGACTGAACACCTTGATCGCCACCTTTCCCTTCCTGATTTCGATTTGATTGCTCGTTCCTGCAGGTGGAGGTGGCAAGCGACCTGCGGTCCCTCTTGGAAGGCTCCACACTGGTCAATCCCCGGAAGGGCGGTCTGAATACCCCCGCCGTCTCAGCCATGCCTCAATGGCACGGCCCCCTGCGAGGGACCGTCAGGTCCGCTTCCAGCGCCGTCAGAGTCGAGTTTGCCAGCGGGGGCGGCGCACCCGAAGGTGCCTCAGCCGACGGCGAACTTTCTGGGGGGGGCTCCAAGACTGGCGGGGCAGAGTACGTCCCATCCCCCCAGGTCGTGATCGACACGACGGTGCTACTGATGATGCTCCGCCGTGTCGTGGGGCTCTCTGTAGATAGGATCTGTGAGCTGGTGAAGGCTCTGGAAGGACTAGAGGTTCCGGAGGGCCAGGGGGCGTCTAAAGATCCCGACGCGCTGGTACGGACCGCGCATGACGCGCTAGCGAAACTTGGCGTTGCTGCGGAAAACGCATCTACCACGATGGCGGGTGGGAATAGGGCCGACGGCGTTTCGTCCCAGATTCCAAGGGTGAAGATTGCTCGGGATGCGTTGTCAGGGGTTCAAACGGCCCGGGGCATTTTTGCGGCGGAAGCGTTTTTGGCGGGAAAGCTGCTGAAGGCGAAAGAGACGGCGCTTGCAGGGAAAGTCGGTGGGAAAGGGGGGAAGGAAATCGGGGGAAAGGGGGAGGGGCCAAAGGAGACTCCGAAGAACGAGGCGGCGAAAGCCAACTCCAATGACGAGAAGAAGCAGCCGAAAGACACCAAGAAGAGTCCGGAGAGTGCAGAGAACGGGGCGGTCAAGACGACGGGAATTGAGTCGGGGGTGGCAGCCGTTTCTCTAGATGGGCCTACAGGAAAGGCTGACAAGAAAGCAGTGCAGGAAACGGACGGGCAAGCACCTTCTACGTCAGGCGCGCCGGAAGCAAACACAGCAGATGGCAGAAGGCAACCCAAAGAAGGATCTGCGGACGGTAAACAGAAATCGGAAGGTGGTCGCGGGAAGGGCCGGGCCGCGAAGCCGGAGGGCGGTTCAGAGCAGGGGGGTGCCGAGCGGGGTCGTGGGAGGGGGGGTGCAAAAGCGTCGGAAAAAGCGGAGAAGAAGGCGAAGAAAGGCGGGGTAGCGCTTGGGAAGGGGACGGCGCTTGTGAAGGAGTTTGTGGACGGGGTGTTTGCTCGCGAGGGGGGGGAGGACAGGGCGGTTTTGGCTGCGCTTTCGGTGGCGCTGGACCCCCTGAGTAAGGAACTGGGGGAGCTGGTCGGGAAGGTGAAGGAGGCGCTGGAGAGCAACGCGGCAAGGCGGAAACCGAAGATTGCCAAGGTCGGTGGTTGCACCTATCCACATTTCGCTTCGTCCAAAGTGTTCTCAGAACTTGATGCGTTTGACATTTGGAAGTCCGCTACAACTTACTTCCTTCTGAGATAAAGTTTGCGGCTCGAGCATTGGTCCAACAACTCTATTTTAATACAACGAAACGCTATCCATACACAGTAGGCAGCTCTGTTATCATGTGCAAGGCACAAAGGTTCAGAAACCGACATCCAGAGACCTCTCCAGAACGACAGGGGCGACAGTCCATGCCGAGAGTACCGAGGACATGGTTCTGAAAGGGATGCCAGAAGGTAGTGCACGGGTCTTGTAAAGGGACGGCTAAGCTCAGAAACTGAAACTTGATTTCTGAACCACCTCTGGAAAGGGATGTGTTCCAAACACGTCCAATCACACCTACGACACCAAGGCTAGACATCTCCGCGACAAAGCGTCGACTTAGGATAAGTACGCATAAGCAATAGAAAGCTTGCCAGCCTGAGACGGCTCGGATTACTTGGAGAACTTGATGTGGGTAAGAGTGAGGAGTTGGTGGGGATTTGAGGGTCAGGTTTTTCAATTTTAAGCTAGCAGCTTAATATTCCTGATGCTTATTGAACCTAAATTGAAGAAGCATATCTTCTTTTCTGCAGGGCGCGCGAGACTTCATGCCGGAGCAGATGGCCATCCGGGAGAAGGCCTTTGCGACCATCACGGCCGTGTTTAAGCGCCACGGAGCGGTTTCTTTGGACACGCCCGTGTTCGAGCTGCGGGAAACGCTGACCGGCAAATACGGCGAGGACTCCAAGCTCATCTACGACCTCGCAGACCAGGTGCGTCAGAAGCAAGTTTGAGGCCGTCCTCTTGAGTCTCTTCTTATGTTCGCTTCTGTGATGGTTGAGAGCTCGTCTACACACTCTCCGAATAAGTGCGTGACAGAGTTTTGTGAGGCTGTCGTTACTTTTGCTCTATTTGTCACCTTGTGTGCTTCTCCTCTCTTGCTGCCCCTCTCTAACCCCTTGAGACTTTGCAGACCAGTGAATCAGCAGTGTGAAATTTATCGTCCGCTACCATTTTGAATGTGGCTTTTCCGTGGCCGACGACGCAAATAGTACGTAAGAAAAAGGTTCAGGGCTTTTTGGCTCAGCTCTGTCCCAGTATTGTTCTGTTAAGGTTCACTTTTATCTTGCAGAATAGTGGATCGAAGGAGGTCTGAAGAAGCTCGACACCTTCCGTTCCGTTTGTCAAATCTGCTGTCACTGCGAAGCATCTACAGTCGGGCGGAGCAGCGAAGGACCATTTTTTGCCTGCACTCATTCGAGTTCCTCATCTTCTAAGTTGCCTGTTTCGTCCAGGGCGGCAAGTTACTCTTTTTGACCTAATGGTAATCTTTGCGCGTTACATTACGTTGAACAAGATGAAGCGGTTCATTCTCTTCCTTTCTTTCCCTGATTTGCACCACTAACTCCGATGAATAAACACTTTCCCAACACGACCTATTCGGAGGGCTGCGAAGATGTCGAATTGAACTAGATTCTACTGTGTCGTCTATTCTCTCCCTGCGTTACGACCTGACGGTCCCTTCCACGCTCTACGTCGTATTGCAGGTTCGGTCAAACCTGGCCGCCTGACCCGAGAACCGATTGGGACCGATCGCAGAACTTGCCGATGCGCAGAACATTGACCCTTCGATTTCGCAGAAGGACTTCATCGAACGGCCCAACTTCTGCCCCTGTGCCCGTGAATAAGTTTTTACAATCAGCTCTGACCGGACTCACCGGCCAGGTTTTGCAGAACTTGGGCCGTTCGATGAAGGGCAAATTTAGATCATCGAAGGGAGGCAAGGCACACAGGGGGATAGG